TGATATGAAAAGATTTGGAGTTATTTCTGCTGTGCAGTATAGTGGCGAGTAGATTTCTATACCTACAAGGTTATAGGTCGGACATCATAGAACGGGATACTTCTAACAGCCTATGCATGTGCTAGATCTCTGAACTTGTACAACACCTTTGTAGTACTTTCATTGCGCATCGAATATGTAAATTATGACTCATTAGTATTAACATACAGAATCATTTTCCCTAACCACCCCTCTGTATATACCGTAAAATGCGTGGAATTATCTCTATAGTTTTAAGATTGTGTTGGATTTTTAATTGTAGTTATGCACGCTGTATGACACACACCTGTGTTATTTTCATGTTCCACGTACCTCCAAATGCCAAAGTCTCGTCGTTATCCTAGTGGATGTGATTTTAGACGAACGTAGTTCATCAACGGCTGACGTGTGAGCAAGTCTATCGGCGCAAAAGAGTCTAGCTCAGTCGGCAGCGGTAGCAGCTCGAATTCCCAGAGCACAAGCACAAAAAGTGTCTTCATAGTATGCATGGCGAGTCTTCGGCCTTTGAGAGATATCAGCCAGTGTAATGGTGTCCACTGAGTCGACTGTCATGTCTGGAAGTGCTACTCACCGAAGCATCCTCTCGGACCAACCCCAAAAGCATGATTTGGACCTGCTTGTGGGTCGAACACCGAAGTACCGTCTTCAATCGTGCGAAGCCACCTCTCAGGCATGAAATCGGCTAGGCTATACGGATCCCAAGATTCGGTCCATGGCGACTTCAGTACTTCTGATTCGTTACCGCTTCTGCGCCTGCTGTCTGGGATATCGAAGGGGGGAGTCGTCTGGCTTGGTCCAACATTCTGTAGACATGCATTAGTATGAATGTTGTTCGGAATAGCAAGGGAGTTTCGACCTACCATCAGCCACACTTCAATACCTTTAGGAATATGATACCCCAGGACTTCAACATCTTGTGTAGTGATTCGCCCATTCGACAAGGAGGTATGAGACAATCGTGTCATCTCCTCCAAAAAGGCATCAACATAAGGTATCTTGGTATTGTGTATAGCATCGAGCGTCGGCAGCTCACCTTGCGCACAACTATTCTTCAATGATTCACAAAGAGCACGTCTTAGCTTAGCTTGAACTTCTTGATGTCTAGTCAAAAATTTAAAGCCTGCGAATAGTCAGTCAGAAACTCGTCCACTCACAACTATGCAAATAAGTACCCCATTTTACGGTTGTAGGACCTGTGTCGAAGCCAGCGAACAGGAACAGGAAGAGCTCGTCCTTCACCATCGGGCTATCGTATTGTGCCTTCCTGCCACTTCTTCTGGACTGCGCAACTTCACGAGCAATTAAGAATTCAGCTGCTGACTTGGCATCGGCCTCAGAGCTTGTGGGTCGGTTGAACTTTTCCCATGCCTCGTCAAGCATCTGCTGTATGAAGCGGTCCTTGCGCTTGACAGCCTGTCGAAGTTTTGGGTAAAATTTTAGTGCAAATGCAAGATGCCACGCACCAAAGGGAGACTTCAGTGCAATCTCTGGGCTACCCAGGACTTTGCCAATGTCTTCGTACACGGCAGAACGTTTGGCTGTTGGAAAGACAATGACTTCGTGGTCGTTTACGATCTCTCCTACAAGCGGGTAGGATAGCGCTTCCAATTTGGCGTCTATACCACCACGCGAGACACCAAACGCAACGGCAAAGATAGTGTCGTGCATAACCTCCTCTAGATCGGAGACTATGTCGAAAGGTCGACCTTTGGCAATAGCTCCCTTCGTTTTCCACAGCTGTATGAGGGATCTTGTATCAGAGTGGTTGTGCGGACCTGCCACGTTCCGCAGGAAACTGGGAGACATTGTGTTTGCCATTAGTCGTCTACTCTCACGCCAGAGGTTCGTAGTGCGGTGTCCAGCTCCCGCGTGGGGTACCATGATCCTAAATGGATGACCAAAGATCTCGCCTCGATCGAATTCGCGAGTGCGGCGGGTCAAAATGTCCTGTGCTCTGTTCTCAATGTCAATGGATGTGTAGAGATAGCTGATTGCATCGACTTACTCGCGACTATCCGTGATGATTACCCAAGGTTTACTGAGAAATGGTCGAATGAATATCTGGGTAACTGGAGAATTCAGCTCAACACAGTGGCTAGCGAAGAATGAGACGGTCTGCTTGGTTTTGAACATATATTTGAGCATATCCGGAAGATCTCCAAGTAGTCTGTTCGCGCTGACTTTCTTGTAAGGAATGCCAGGTAGTGGGGTTGGCATGGCAGCTTGATAGGCCAAATAGGTCACCACAATGATCGCTGCCGGCGCCAAAAGCCACCATGGAAGCAAGTTCATGGACATGACGAATTATCTGCCTCGTGCGAAGGTGATCAAAGAGTTGTCTGGTCGCAATGATACTGCCGATAGGACTGTTTCCGAGATCGAGGCGGTTGGAACGCCCGAGTATATGACCAGGACGTACCGTGGTCATGCAGCAAGGATCCCTTGGACTACATGCAATTCAGAATCGATAATCCTACGATAAACTTTTGGGATCACTACAGCTTGAAGGAGTCCGGGTAATGTGTAATCAATGATCAGCTGCAGATCAGCCTTAGCGTGAATCTCACCTATTACCGTAAGAGGCAATTCGAGGCTGATATGCAGCATGAATATTACTGATCAATGGTGGCTAAGCTGAATACTGGTTTTCAATTCGCAGAAAAGACGATTATGAAACGGTAGTTGATTGGGCAATAAGGTGGCAGAGGACTTTCGAGCTAGGGGAAAACCATTGAAGAATGGCTAGTACTAGGTACGGACTACGTAGCCAATTAGCATGCACGCTTGTAACTGTAGTACAGCAACAATAACAACTACAGTTCTCAAGAACAGTTCGGAACTTATGTGATGTTTTTGATATCCTAACTAGATACTGCATTCTTTGAAGAGTATTACCACAAGTACCACAAGGATGTTGTAGAGAAGATACGTGTTGCGACTAGCCCCTCACGAGTTATTCTTATCGCCCTTGTGTGTTCAATTCCATCCACAGGCTCAGCCGCGGACTCATTCGCGCTAAGTTAGTCGAATCCAGACTGCCCAATATGGCAATATACTTCATACAGAAAGATAATGACTGCATCGATAAACTGGCGACATTGACTAGAACGGCTTGCTGGATGTATATACAGCCTGCGCATCTGCTCCATTGAGCTTTGTTCAGCTTGTAAACTTTCCTTCAGAAAGTTCAAAGACCTTCAATCATGGCATATAGTTCTCATACCAGCGCTCGAGATGTCATTGCTGAGATCAAGGGCCAATCGCTCGTGTTGCCTGATTTGTGGCAGTACATGCCTGCAGACTACTGGCCAGTGGATCTAAACCCAGACATCCAGGGCCTCCGCAAGCATATTCGTGAACGATTTCAGTGGTATGCTTCGACCGAATACAGCCGTAGCAGCTGGTACTGACTGCGTGATAGGATGATTGAGCGCATCCCGAGCAAGCGGCGAGGACTTCGTAAAGTCGAAGCCCAAGATCTGGGTCGCTTTGGCGCAGGATGGTGGCCGTATGCAGACTTTGAGCGCATGGAAACATGTACTGATCTATGCGCTTGGGTACGACCCCTGCTCCATTATTTGTATATCGAGTGACACTCTGCAGCTATTCATCTGGGACGATGGTGAGCTACATGTCAAAACTCTACATTTGGATCAGCATGGACTGATAGAAAGCAGAAATCGATGAAGCAGAAGGAGAGTTCAACTCTGATTACGAGCACGCCCAGAAGTGTCGCGACGACATTATACATTTCGTACGTGAGTTGTTAGATCTGCCACCATACAGGAAAGTCAACACATCCTTTCGACCAATCTTAGAGACATCTCGGGATGTTTGGCAAAGACTTCGTAAGGACATGACACTTCGTAAGCAAACTCTTTGAAACGCCGAACTGAATATCGGCTGAATCATGACAATGCACAGATGAGCGACACAACCTTGCCAAGGAGATTCGTATCTATCTAGAGATGGTCGGATACGAACAAGGTCTTCGTGTCGATCAGTCTTTGCCGACTCTCGAAGAGTATTGGCGTTTAAGGATGGCTACCAGCGCTGTAAAAATTACCACAGCGGCACTGCTGTTAGTCTACAACCGGAGGTTTGCTACTGTCAAAACACTGATCGCTAATCATCAGCAGTTACGCATGCAAAGTACAGTTGCCTGCAGATGTGCAGGATTCGAAGCTACTGGATGATGTATATGAGGCTGGCAATGGTGTGACCTCAATGTTAGTCGCCGAATTATTCTGATGACCAAGTAGATCGAATGCTTATAAAACACTAGTATGAACGATCTGCTCTCTGTGCAGAAGGAGTTGGTAAGGCTCACACGTACAGTTGGTATACCTGTATGCATAGTACTGACAAGTGCTCCAGGCCGCGGGCGCATCCTCCTCGAACATCTTATTCGTACTTTACGCCGAGACTGGTAGTCTCCAAGGAGCACTGGATCGGGTACTGGATCTGCTTGCGCAATGCTCAGCGGAATACGAGATTTGCACCGCTAGGCTCTATCGTGCCTATCAGGATCGCCCTGATATCGTGGAGGCTCTAGAGAAGTTGGTAACAGGATGCAGATATATGTGCACTGGTAACCTGGCCTGGAGGTATGTGACGTTTTAACACACTTGGACTGATTAGCTCTAATCATGCCATAGCCTTGCCACTACACGATACGGAGTCGTTGCTGAGCATGACGGAACTGTTAGAATATCTTTGTAAACGACTCTACTAAGATCTATAGCTATTGTAGGCTATTTTAATCTAACTACAATAGTAAATAGATGCTATGGTAGGCAGGGTAATAGATGTGTAGTTGACCGGCGACAGGGAGTTGGTAAACTTGGGCTCTTTGGGACATCGATATAGAAGAGGATATAAATATGAAGATAAATTTGAAGTAAACGTGTCGCTAGAAGTAACAGTATTAAAGCTATATATTCCGATCTTCAAACAGTACGCTATATCGATCCAGAAATTGTTCCGACATGCTCCTCGATGGGATGTGCTGAATCTTCGCGCGGCAGACACTCCATACTTTTTGCTCTCCGCTGCCTCCAGATATTTCTGTTTTCCGTTAACCTCTTTGCCTCGGGATGTTCAGTTGTAGATATCTTTGCTAACGCAGCCAAAGCCTCCTCAGTCACCCTCTCGCATTCTTCAACTTTTCCCAGCGCGTTGTATGCTGTTGCTAGTTCAATCAGGCCGCCAATTCTATCGGGATGAAACTCGCCTCTTCCTTGTAATGTGTAGCGCTGTCTCTCTGTGACATCAAGTAGATAGGTTACTGCCTCCTCCCATCTCTCCTGAAGCACCCAAACTCGGCCAAGGTGATAACGGCCCCAGAGATAGGCGATGTGGCCTTCACCTAAATTGCGTGCAGCGATAGGTAAGCCATACTGGAGAAGTGCTTCTGCTTCATGAAGCATACCCATCGCGCATTTTACGAGAGCGAGATTCACCATCGCAAGTAGTGTATAGGCATGTTCTTTGCCAAGTTTTTCCTTTCGGACCTCCAGAATCTTTATCATCATCGCATGCGCTTCGTCCAAATGACTTTTGTCCCCCGTCCGAATGGCAGAACCGCAAAGGTGTTCCCGCGCTTCGAGTGTACGTGTATGCTCATCTCCATGCAACTTCTCCATGCCTTCTGATGCGGTGACAAACAATTGACGGGCACGAGCTACATGCTCTTTGGTGTAGAACATGAGTAAAGTCTGACCAAGCCGGTCAATTGCATCAAGGGTATCTTCGTGGTCCAGGCCTATCAGTTTAGTGAGCCCCTCGACCGCCTCTTCTTGGAGAAGTTTGGCCTGGCTAAATTTTCCTTGCAAGAAAAGCGCCTTTCCAAGAGTGAATTTGGCTACCAGTGTCTCCTGATGATCGGCGCCCAAGAAAAGCACACAAGCGTCCAGGACTTCTTTTTCCAGCTTAGCTGAGTCTTCGCTTTGGCCGAGGTTGAAGAGGGTCATGGCCAGTAGTCTAGTGGCGCGACGAGTGACAGGGTGCTTCATGCCTAGGATTTGGCTCGTGAAATCTTTTACTGCAGTTTGTAGTCGCTTGGCCTCATCCCATCGTCCATTCTGCATGTAAACGAGACTGAACTTAGCATATGTTATAGCTTTGCCCCTATCAAAGCCACCATCGAATACCGGCCATGGCTTCATCCGTGCCATGCGCTTGTCCCTCATGCGTTGCTCTATAGATTGCTGACATTGGCGTACGTGATCGACATGGGGGAGGATATGTTTCCGGACTTCTTCCTCCTCCTCCGTATTGCCAAGCGGTGGGATCAGAATGCAGTGTGATAGTAGCATTGCGGCTGCCTCGGCCCAAACTCCTTGCGCTGCGATACTCATACCAGGTCGCTCACGCGCCCATTTGTGCACAAGGGGGTGCATAGAGTAGCTTTCGGAGTTGTGGCCTTTTATTATGAGTGAAAATTGAGTCAACTGCCGTAAAGCTAGACGTAGTCGATCTTCGTTCATCTCCTTCTTATCACGTCCATCTCGGATGACCTGTAACGGTTTAGCGAATGTCTTTGAAGAAGCAAATGATGGTGTGTCCTACACTGGGCAGAACGGGTGGGCTTCGGTTCTGGTAGAGGTAGGTAAGGACTAAGAACGCAGTTTCTTTGCACCACGTCGACCAGTCGCGTGAGGGCTTGGCTGCCTTGGATCGACGTTCATTCATTTTATCCTCAACTTCCTTCATATGTTCAACCTTGGCATTCTCAATAGATCGTTGCAAAAAGTCGTATCTAATGTCTTGGTTGTGAAGAAATGCAAAGGTATCAAGCAATTGAAGGGCGTCTCGAGATGCTCTTGTCGCTCGGTTCTCGATAGCTTCTCGGTTCAACTCGAAAGTTGAGAAGACGCTCAACTCGTCGGCGGCATCCTTGTCTTTCACTGGAAGTCTGGTTTGTCTTGTCGCTTCCCATTGACGTTCGTAGTAGTGTAAATACTCGCTCAGCTTACAATACTCTTCGCGAATGGCTCTACCCGCATGCGTGATTGCCAATGCAAGATAACCAAGGGCTTTCGCGATCTTCAAAGCAATGTTGGATACGACCGTGTCCCATGGTTCCGATTGGCCGGCTGCTTTCAGCAGTAGATTACTTGCATCGCTGGTACTTAGTCCTTGGAATTCAAAAAATCTATCACCAGCAGTACCAAACGACTTCTTCCCAGGGTCACGGGTTGTTACAAGAACGTGACCTCGATTGCCTCGAGGAAAATAATCCGCAAGCTTGAGATCAGGGTCATCAGCATTGTCGATGATAAGAAGCCAAGGAAGACTTAGGTTTGATAACCAATGGAGTGCAGCATTTTCGTTGAGATCGACTTTTCCAATCTTTGACACATTCTGAGAGAAGGTTTGTTTCAACCGCGACCGGCTGCTACCATCTACCCAAAAGACTCCCCAGAAGCTAGAAGTGACCCATCAGCAGCGTTACATATGTTCGAAACCATGATAAACTAACTATTGGCGATTGTCTTCAGCAAACTTGGAGCAGAACTGTGTCTTCCCTGCACCTCCAAGCCCATACACAACGAAACGCTTTTGTTCTGCTTTGACAGCCGATGTACCGCGTTGCTTCCGAGAATGATTCGGTAGCATCCAGCTACGCAATCGTTCTGCGTAGTCTTCACGACCAGTATAAAACGGATCGACGGGTTTCGGAATATCAAAATGTTCGTTTGTCACCGAGGCGTCGGACACTGGATTGTGCGCAATATTGTCGATTGCAATGCCGAGCTGGTTCACGACTGACACAGATTCCACGTTGAAGTCGCGATAGGCTGTTGTGGTAGTCACGGTTTCATATAAGGGTAACGGTGTGTACTGCGCTTGTTGTTCCATTCGACTCTTCAACTCTTGGAAATCAGTTACCAATTTGTCGAGCTGGGCATTCTGATCCTTGTGGCTTTCACGAGTAGATTGCCTGCGTACCGGTCAATGGAAGCAGTTGGGATAACTGACCAACTTACATGGAAATGAAACCGAGCAACATTTGTAGGGCTCCCTGATATGTGTTGATCTGGTCTCGAAGTCCAGAGATCATGCTGTCTTTGCTTTTCTTTCTACGCGCCTTTTCCCAGCCGTCCAACCTGCTAGTGACGAGTTTATGATCACCGTAGATAGACTGCACTGATTCTTCAAGCTTCTTTGTAAGCTTCTGACCGTTCTTGAGAGTTTGTCCTGTGCTTGTCCAAAGGCCCCTCTCGTCGTCTCCCATGTCGACGTTAGTCATACTCTGGAGATATTCTTTCTCGAGGTGACCATGAACCTTTTGGAGACCTTCAATCTCATTGATCAGTCCTTCAATGTCTTCGTCTATAGTCTTAGCGGCTGCTTTGATGCCTTTGAGATAGGTGATGAGCCGAAATGCAACATCACCGATTCCTACCCCCGCAGCCACCAGTGAAATAGGATCGGCCATATTCTACGCTATCTCGAGCCAGTTGCCAGGCGACAAAGGTTTGCGAGGTTGCTCATGGGAAGGTTGTGCAGAGTTTTGACATGGAGTACGTAGTACAACGTGGTCAGAAAGCACATCGAGAATGTTTGCACTGCATAGACAAGCACTGTAAAATGAAGCAGAACAATCTTTTCTGAAGTGATCGGTCGGCGGCCGTAAGAGTGGTATTGCGCTGGCCTAGAGAGCAAAAGGCGGCTGCCTTCGCAGATATGCATGTGAGCGAGTGCCTCCATAGCCTTGCGTCGCTATGCATTCAGCCGATAGCCGTCACAGGAGGGTTAGAAACACGGATGTAACATTGGAATAGGCTCAGAAAGCCGAAGGCGCGTCGCGGGCCAACCGTAACCGAGTATGTTAGCGATGGCTTAGACAAAATCATCTGACTGGTCCGTTAATAGGTTCAGCCCCGCAGGCCATGGCCCTCGACCTGCCACACTTTTCGATCCTGTGCGCTGATAAGAGAAAGCAGAACGATTGTGCCGCTGACTTCAATCTGGGGGCGAAATGCCAACCATAGAAGTATATTGTTGACGCCCTTGCACCTACAGCCTGCGACTGCGAGATTTCTTTGAATTTTGCTATCTTTGAACTGGATGCGGAATCATAGCTATGAGTACCTTGGACATCAACTTTACAGGCAACAAAGCCTCTAAACTCATAGCCTTACTCTTGATTGTTCTCCCCTTTTGGGGATACAGGATCTGGCGTCGCCAGATTCAACGTAAAGTATGCGTGTTCAGGGATATTTGTTGTTGTTCTACTGACATATAAGAGGAAGAAGACCAATATGCGGCGCAAATGGGATGCAAAGCACCACGGAGGTGGGCAGCAAAATGGCCGCAAGGCTTGGATCTGCTCCTCAAAGCAGGGCAACACGCAAGAGCCCAGACTATCCTACAGTTTTTCTTGGATGTAGTAGATTCCAGTGGTCCTACCCATGAGTTCGTGGGCCTTGCTTCCTTGAGATGACCGAAAGGACTAACCTCCGTGACAGATTTCAGTCTTGGGCTCCGACCAAAGCATTTTGCTCCATTGATGGGAAGCGGCATCTTTACCCAGGATGGTGCAGCATGGAGGCATTCACGTGCGCTTCTGCGACCTCAGTTCACCTCGAATCGCTACCAGAACTTCGAAGAGATGAAGAAGTCGGTCGAAAGTCTCGTCGATCAGGTTTCTCCCGATAGCGTAGTCGATTTGCAGCCGTTGTTCTTCCGTTTGACTTTCGATACGACGACATTTCTTCTCTTTGGCAAGACACTGAGCTCTTTGCAAAGCAATGACATTGCTGGAAAAGAGTCCGAGTTCGCGGCGGCTTTCAACTTAGGCCAGGATTACATATCGCACCGCGGCCGTTTGGGAGACTTATACTGGCTTGCCAATACGCCAGAGTTTTGGCGGGCGTGTAAGACTTCACATCGTTTTGTTGACGATGCAATTCAGAACGCACTAGATGATGCGGAGAAGCCCAAGCTCAAAGAGACGGAAGACGAGGACACGAAGAACTACGTGTTTATTGATGCTCTTATCCAAGAAACCCGGAACAAGAAGGAACTCCGTGATCAGTGTCTCAACGTCCTGCTTGCGGGTAGGGACACTACTGCGTGCTGCCTCACTTGGACCTTGCGCTTATTAGCTCGTCACCCTCAGGTTTTGGAAAGATTACGAACAGAGATAGAAGAAGTAGTAGGCATTGGAGAGCATGCACCTCAGCCAACTCGGGCAGATTTGAAGAAGATGAGATACCTCGACCTAGTACTGAAAGAAGTACTTCGTCTCTACCCATCGGTGCCGGTTAATTCCCGTGCAGCCCTCAAGACAACAACGCTGCCCGTCGGAGGCGGCCCGGATGGAAAGTCCCCGATATTAGTGAGAAAAGGCGAAGCCGTTGGTTATTGCGTATACGCTATGCATCGTCGCAAGGACATCTATGGGGAGGACGCCCTTGAGTTCCGCCCTGAAAGGTGGGAAGATGGACAGTTGTTGCGCGATGTAGGTTACGGATATTTGCCCTTCAACGGTGGGCCTCGAGTATGCCTAGGCCAAGAGTTCGCCCTCTTAGAAGCGGGATACACTGTAGCGAGGCTAGTGCAAAAGTTTCCTTTCTTGACTGTCCCGCAAGACGAACCCATTGTGGCAACTGGAAAGGAAAAGCAGGTTCTAACCTTGGTGGTTGCTTCGGGAGATGGGTGCCGTATACACATGCGTTCGTAGAGTACTATTGCAAACAAGACGCAAAAACATATCTCTTCGCAAAGAGTATGGCAAGAACAGAAGCTCACAGTCACACAAAGAAGAACAAGCGGCGACGAGTGTAATATGAACCCCCTCCCAAAGGAATGGGATGAGTACATGGCGACAGACGTGGCGGACTCCTTTTATTAACAAACAATGGCATCTATGCGCTTTCCTTGGACTGAATAGCTATCCGAGCTTGCTTTCTCATTGTGAATGGCCTGATGACTACTCATGGACGTTTCTGTACTGCGTCAAGGCAGACTGCAGTCATCACTGGGCTCTTTCCTAGATCAAACCCAGGGAAGGAAAGACTACATGTGCTTCTCAGGCAAACAATCGGGTAACCGCTCATGCCACACATTGCCTCTATCCCGTAACGAGATGCATTGCAAGACAAGCAGACATGAGAAGGTGAGGCGCTCCTGCAACTCGCTGCCATCTAATACAGGTCGCTCAAACACTAAAAGAAAAGCATTTGAAAGATAGAATCCTAGTGTTGTGAGGGAAGGAGATCAAACATGAAAGTCAGGTAGCAAACCAAGAAAATGTCATTGTGTCGTCATTTGTTTGATGAGGCGTGTCGTGAGGGCTGCCTGCTCTAGCAGGCGTTCTTTCCTCGCGGGCATTCTACACTGACTAATCATATTACATCCAATCACGTGTTCCGTGTTTCTCAATGCACATTTCAATTCAGCTTTGCCCTGCCATTCATCAGCATGATGCGAGGGTTCAACGTGGTCGTGCTTGGGTGGCAGGAGGTGGAGGAGGCTTGTACTTGACGCGAGGGTCTTGAGAAAGACGATCGGGCAAGAACAAGTTAACGCAACCCTTCATCTGTGTCTGAAACCTCTTGAGCTCGTTGACACCTGCCTCTAGCACGGCGGCGTTGTTAAAGTCCTCAATCTGGACAGTGGCATTGAGTACGTAGGCGCCGCTCGGGTCTAAGAGATGGAGCCCAGTCCAGGCAGGGAGTGTGGATTTGGGGGCCTTTTGGATGCTGCGAGCGCCGGGCTCGTGGAGGATGCGGTGCAGGAATATGATGACGTTGCCGTGGACGAAACGGTATCCTTGGACGTAATACTCGGTGACGAACCTGGGCTTTGGTCAGAGGGGGCACTAGCATCACGGCGGGAGGCAATCTAACTGGTTTGGCCCAGAGGCGAGCATATAGGCATGAGGGTCGCCAGATAACAAGTCAGTGGTGTGGGTGAAGCGGATGGAGACGCCTCTGTCGCCAGTATCTGGTATGTCCTTGAAGACAAACGACCACACGGGCTCGTCCCCATCCTCTACGTCTGCAGACAGCGACGTGGCGCTCTCTGGCAGTGTGCTTTCTTGAAGAGCAAAATCATCTTCCGTCAACTTCTGGACCAGCTGGGTGTGGTACAGAACGACGGGGGCAGCCTGCTTTGCCTGTTTCTGGGCGACGGTCTGGGTGCCTCCACGGCGGCCCAAGTTGGAGCCGGGCTCCTCAGGCTCACGCAATGGCTTGTAGATGATGTGCCGCTCGTAGATGCGCTGGGGCTGCATAGCAGCAACGCCGGCGAGTATGTTCAGGACCTGCTCATAGCGGGCAAAAGTGACCTGGCCATAGAGGTTGAGCTCGTGCATGGTGGCAAGGGCGGAGCGGCGGTCGGACGAGCAAGTATCGATATGCAATTCCCGGTGGTCAGGATGCGGAGAAGGGCCGTGGGGTCGATAAGGGCGGGCGGGCGTGTACAGCGTTTCGATTGGTGGGGAGGGAAGCACTTGCAGAGAACAGAAAAGACAGCCGTGGGCTGGCCGGCGCGGCTGCAGGAAGCTATGACCGAGATGCGCAAGAACGACTCCCACCACTGCGCGCCGCCCGCCGCCCGCCGGTGCCATGTTTGTCCGTCCATTGCGTGCTGTGCCTGCTGACTGCTCACTGCTCACTGCTCGTTCGACCGTGGGCAGACACGACCCCCGGCCAAGCCAACTTTATGCTGAGCGGCTTCGGCGTTAGTCCTGTCCCCGCCCGAGTGAAATAATATTTATGCCCTGCTCTCACTCAACCTGCTCGGCTCCCCTCCACCACCAACCTTGTTGCCTGCCTCTGCTTCCGTCTCTGCCTCTGTCTCTGCCTTTGCCTCTGCCTCAACACTTGACGCCTCGTACTATACCACTGACCCGTTGCGCCTCGTCGTGAGATTCCGCATTCGCCAAACCCCGCTTGGCTCTACTTCGGCTCATTTCTGGACCTTGATACCACCCGAACCGCTACCTGCCCTTCGTACCACCACCACCACCACCACACCACCGCATACATTTCACCATGAACGCAACCAGGGCACTCGCTCGCCAGCCCATGATCCGCTTCTTGGGCAAGCGCACCACTCCTTCGCGTATGTTCTACGGCAGACGGGCCCTGCTTCGCCTAACTAATGTTGAATTACAGACATTGATCACACCCCGCACGTGCACCCTGCCTCTCACATGAAGGAGCTTCCCTCGTCATTCAAGGCCTACCGACAAAAGGCACAGCAGCACGGCCCGCTCAACGCAAACGCTAGCGGCCTTGTCGGTGGTCACATTGGCGGTGCAGCTGGCAGGAACCTTGGTCCCGTCGAGGCCGGAAAGGGCCTGTACTTTGATCGCTCCGAGCTGCCTGCCCGCTTCCAGAACCTGTCATGGACACAGGCCGAGATGGAGCTGCTCGAGTCTGGTGGTGCCAGCCAGTTTGCGTAGATGGCCAAAAGATAACGACGCGAAGATAAGGCAATGGTTGGACGAGCTAATAAGGACTGACGTTTTACGTTTACGCACTCTAGTGCGGGGCAGAGGATCAAAACTGGCAACGAGGCACGGCATGAGAGCTAGACACGAGGTTTCGCGACAGAAGTGAGGGGCACGTGGCTGCTTTGGTTCGATACCCATCAAGATGGACATTTTCGAGGATACTGGTATTTGGGATACGGCATGGTTTTTGTTTGACAATCATTTTTTTGCGGTTTGCTAGGGACTGTATTGGAACTGTATGGGTACTGTATGGTGACAAGAACGGCATTCATTACTTATTCAACACGAAATGCATAAACAATTGATAATCGACATTGGTTCTGGGTGCCTTGCATGTGTCGCGTGTACTTTGCATTGATTTGAGCTTTTTTTTTCGCTTGCCAAAGAAGCAATATTTCAGCCCACATGTATTTTGACGCCTGTGCAATACTCCATGTGCCCAAATCACACAATTGACTGCGACAATGACTGTTACAGCGATGGCGACATTGTACAACAAGACACGCAACTACAAACCCCCACATCATCGACAACGCGCCGCGGAATCAACTCGGGCAGTCTTCGGATGAGTGGGTAAATCCAACTCCACCATCCCACCTGGCGCCTTCCCACAAGCTACCTCGGCACACATCCCCCCGCCTGACCCGACAAGCACACACAAATCAACATCTGACAAGCAAGCCAGTTGGCAACCCCCCACTGAAGCCGAGAATCCGATTTATTTTCTAGGGAGCAGGTGTCACAAACGATATTCCCTGATCTGCTCTTGGCACACCCAATCACAGCGCATCAAGCACCGTAAGCTTATGCCCAAGCCTAGAATTTCGGATTTTACAAAGCAAATATTAGCAGTAGGTGTGGCGCTGGCATGTGTAAATAGTACATGGAAACAACAAGATCGGTGGGGCGGAAATGGCGTGTGGGATGACGGGCCTAGCCCTTTGTCTTCTTCAATTTCCCCAATTCCCCAATCTAAACCCAACTTTCATGCGCGCGCATGGCATGTTGGAGCGAGGGGAAAAAAGATAACGTTGTGGCAAATGAAAAAAAAAACCAGTGGTACTCCACATTTGCTGTTACTTTCCCTATCTAGAAAATCCCAACACAACAAGGTGTGTGGAAGATGGTAAGTATCCCGTCGGATAACCGAAAACAGCACAAGAAAGTGTCCGGAGTTTCCATTTCTCCATGGTTAAGGTTTTGGGAACAGACAAATGGGGGATGAGCGGATGATGTATATTACTGCCTCCCATTACATCCGGAGGACTAGACAGGGGCCCTCATCAAAGTAACGAATGCTGGATGGATTACGTGGTCAGTTTTCAATGCACATCAAAAAACGTCTGTGCACCATCGTTGCCCTCAATGGCGCTTTTGAAGCTCTACTACTACGATTGTACTACGCGCTTGTCTAGTATTGTTAAACTCCCGTAGTAAGCAGTGAGACAGACAAGAAAGCTTAAATAAGCTAGCAAAACAGTGTTTTGGGTCAGTATTGTGGCATGGACTCGTACCAGGATTCTGCTTACAGCTAATAGCTCACCCACCTACAGTCCATGACGGCGTTAGCCATCAATGTTGCTGGGCTCCCGCCCAGCGCGAAAGATGATTATGGACCTTCAGCTAGCGGAGTGGCTGTTACAAGAAATGTAATACTTTAAAAGACACTCCCCACGAATAGTCGAAATCAGGCGGCGCTGCGATACTGTGGCCCCAAGGCTTCGCCCGTCCGTATGCCCCGCAGAAAATATTTAGATAAAATGTTAAGCTTGAACGAACAGACAACTAAACCTACGGGCCGCGATCCGCAAGATTCGGTGGTTTTTATCGACGACCACGTTGATGTCGAGGGGGATACCGAGGAGGTTGTTCCCCTATCGGCTCTTTGGTGTGGATGGACAAGTCACCGTCTTTCGACAAAGTAAGTCGCGCGCGAATCTTGCCTATGAGGTCCATACCGTAGCGAGCAGCATGGAGGCCGACGGGAAGCCTATAGTCAAGTATCTTACCAAGCAAGCTGAATTGCCGGGTAAGCTACTCGTCTATGCTCCCTGCAGGAGACCATGCATTAGCTAGCCCGCGTGCTGGACTGCTTCCAGTACGAAGGGCAGCTGGAGGAGGAGGAACGGCGTGAGAACCAGTGCGGCTTTCTCGCTTGCAAGTCGGGCATCATGGTCGCGACGACGGCTTTCAATGCCGGGGTGGATGTGCCGGAGAGCTGGATCATCCCATCTCAGAATGGAAAGCGGTGCGTCGTGCGGATTCTTCTGGGCGACAAGCTCAAGTCCTTTTTCAAAAACTCGGCGCCACCTTCACCGTCAACCAGCTTGCGATCCGCCCAGACGGTATCGAGAACCGTATCGGCTTGAAATCTGCCATCTTTTCCACCAAGAATAATAATTATTATATTCAACACCAGCTGTACCGTTAGGATACAGGTAGAGACCGCTAGACCCCGAGCCCGTTGAGGGCTGTCACCCGGTATCTACGGTTCGTTGGACATCTGCTAGTACGATCAATCGCGCTAGGCCATCCCTACGACCAGGCTACGTCTATAAGGATATACTCCAACATAGGAGAACTCGCCATCTTCACCGATTCTCTTCCAGTCCACGGCTATTGCTGTATTCGCGTAGTTTTGTGGGACAGAACGTTTAATTCATAGATAGATACATACAAATATACATACATACAAGGAAAATAGGATAAAATCACAGCGGACGACGATATCTTGGCGAATCGGCGACGTGATCAATGTAAATAGAGGGCTTACAACGTAGTAAAACGCCTGTTTTTACACATCTCCAGTCCATATCATAAGCCGCTCGTAAAATATATCGTTTGTGATGGATTTTAGTAGGGAGTTGGTACTGCCTTGCCAGCAGCTTTTCCCTATATCAGTATATTTAGTCTAGTTATGTAGCTTCAACAGCTGTTGCTACTACAAAATTATATCTTTTTTGTCTTCAAATATGGCTATATAGCTTCACACCCCTAAAGGTAACAGCGGTCAATCCAATACTACTACTACTACTACTACTACTACTACTACCACCAAGAAAACGCCAGCAAAACCACAAAAAAAAAGACCAGCCTACTTTTGGCCGTAAAAACGCTGATAAATGCAGACTACGTAGCTGACCCCGGATACGATTGCCAAACCTATTATTACACCGGGTTGGTTGGTATCCCTACCAAAGCCCTGTCCTGTTCCTTAATATGTGGTAGGAGTATGCGTACACGCACGCGCACGCGCACTCGCATGTCCCGTGCTCGTAAGCACGCCGCGATTGGGCGGAATGGCGCCATACGTCGCACGTAGCGCCAAAGTAAGCAGGGAGTGGCGCCCGGCAAACGGGGAAACCAGGGAGAAGGGGGAGAAGAAGAAGAAGATGATGAGGTGAGATTTCAATCTCTCTCTCTCTTTCTCTCTCTCTCGAAAAAAAACACCAGGGATTATTAGACATGTTTGTGCGTGCGTGCGTGCGTGTCTGTGTGTTTTGTGTTGGAAAGTTTAAACACCCCACAGGTAAGGTACTTTACTTACTTAGTACGGAATCGTCACGGTTACAAATAAAAACTCAAAAACTTTCACGGTATAGGTGCATGTGTCGCGGTATTACCATAGCTCACCCACATCACACACACACACTCTCTCTCTCTTCCTTGTAAAACGGGCGGCAATGTGTAATCCAGTAGTTTGCAGCAACGACAATGCGCATTACATGCATGAAATTAATTTTTTTTTAAGCAACAAAACATCCCCAGTAGTTCGCATACTACTTAACCCCCAAGTATGCATGATCCTAGAGACTAGAAATAGAAAACATCCCTTGGGAGCCGGCGACGTAGTTTTATTTGGCTCCAAAACACAAACTCATTTGTTGTTTACTACCACACCACACCCCCCCCTTTTAACCCCCCCCCTTCCCTTCCCTTACCTACCGGCTAGTGTCAAACCATGGCGCCAAAGTCCGTCTTCCCACCACCCCCGCGTCTCCTCAGGCAACCCAGGCAAACCCATGAAACACTAGAGTAAGTACCCGGAGTCGCGCGGGTTTGGGCAAACAAAGATTTGAACGAACCAACGAGGAAGGAAGGGAAAAAAAAGGGGGGTGAGGATGGAGGCGAAGTTGGACGGGTGCAAGGGGGGAGGGGGGAGTGAGGGAAACCATTGTTTCAAACCTGTCACACATGTAATAATAATTTTTTTTGTTTGCTTAATTAAGCAACCCACACATATTTTGTTTACTACATTCATGTTTACTTGCGACGCGGCACGACAATTTTTTTTCCCTCCCTTTGTTTCCCTTAGCAATTGTTGTTGTTGTTATTGTGTTTCTATTTTTGACCGAACCTGAGGCAAAAAAAAAACACTCTCTGGTTCACCTCGACGCTTGCTGGTCGCACAAAGGTGAAAGTCGAGTCGTGTGGTGGTAAACAAGGGGACTTGGTTTTATTTCTCGAGACAATTTATCCCATGCCGTCCCGCGTACGCAAGGGCCCTCGCCCCGGGGTAGGCAAGGAAAAGGAAAGTGCTGAGCCGGGTCATTGTGGCTGGAGAGAAAGGGTCAGTGCAAGAGAGTGTGTCTGTGTGCATAGTCCGACTCGGGGCCGGGGAATGCAACGTCCGTCGGTCGTAGTAAGTGGCGCAGTGTGGGTAGACAGTGGCTGTGCAAGCGCAAGTCACAGTTGCAACGTAAAGAACAGACCAACAAAAGAAAGAGAGAAAAAAAAGGACGTGCGTCGTCGTCGTCGGGCCTGTTCGTCTTGTTTGCATTTCGGCAGTTTTTTTTGGTTCCTCGTCGAGACCAAGACTAGACCAAAGAAAGAGAGCGTACGCAGTACTTTACGAGTCAAGGATGCTTGCGTGTTAATACGATAGCTCAGGTTCCTATTGTTAGGGGTGAGGCACACGTATTCACTCTTAGCTGGATTACGATGTTCGCTCGCGGAGACGCGGAGCCGTGTCATTGGCCATGTGCGTGACATTAGAGAACCCAGATTGGGGGCAGTGCACCGGAGCTTGGAAACCACGGCAGAAGCAGGGAAATCACGATGTGCAAGTGTGGGAAATTTGTACATGGTTGTTTTTTAGACAATGCATGCGTGCACGCAATCGTCATGGAGATTGATTGTTTTGTGGTATCTGAATTGTGCCTGAAGATGACGAGCATATGGGTATCTAAAGAAAGAGGTTCGAGCCCATACACCGGATCCCTAAAGCTGTGTACATGAAAGTGAATGGATAATACATGGTCCAAGCATGCTTGGGGTTAAAGCCAAGGCATTGATTGGTAAACGAGTGACGAAGAAAAGAAGAGGGGTCGTAACAAGGTCGTGCAAAGCGCTGACCCGGCCTGCGCTAGCTAGATTGCAAGAATCTTGGGTATATTGATCATGGCGAGAAGCGCCTCTAGGACAAGCTTAGGCCAGGCTCCAGTTGGCCTTGAGACGGGTGGTCTCGGTGATACCAAGAGCCTTCCAGGCAGCACGGGACAGATCAATGTCGTAAAGGCCTTCGCAGCCAGGGCACAGGTCCATGATGGTGGCCTGGCAGCTCTTGCCCTCGTACTCAATGTTGATCTTAGCACCGCACCATGGGTTGCTGGAGGCACCAGTCATGACATCGTAGGTAGAGCCACCCTTGGCGTTCCATGCACCCTTGGCAATGGCGACAACCATCATGTCGTCGGTGAGGGGCTCACCGCAGGCACCAGCGGCACCAGTGTTGTCATAGACGGTGATGTCGACATCCTGGTGAACGTCGCCGCCAGAGGATGAGGACTCAGTGGTGGGGTACTTGGCAGGAGCAGGAGCTGGGGCGGGAGCAGGAGTAGGTGATGGGCTGGGAGTTGGGGAAGGAGCAGGAGCCGGGGTGTAGACCTCCTCAGGCTGAGGAGCTGGGGCAGGAGCTTGGGAGGGTGATGGCTGAGGCTCAGGCTGAGGCTCAGGAGAAGGAGATGGCTGGGGTTCCGGTTGAGGTTCAGGAGAAGGAGTTGGACTTGGCTTGGGCTTCTCCTCGACCGGAGGAGTGTAGACTGGAGGAGCAGGAGCACTGGAAGCAGGAGCAGGAGCAGGAGTGTAGGCCGGGAGAGCAGCTGGGGTGCTGCTAGGGACGGGCTTCTTCTGCTCGTAGAAAGCAGCAGCAGTAGTAGAAGAAGAAGAGACGGCACTGGGAGTAGGAGTGGGCTCGTCACCGTAGACGGTGGTGTAGATGACGACGACCTCAGTGACGACCTCGGTCTTGTAGACGAGGGCGCGCTTGTCCACGGGGGCGGCAGCGGCAATGGAGCCGAAAAGGAGGGAAGCGAGGACAGTGGAAGCCTTCATGTTGACGATGGATATGAGAGTTGTTTGGTTGTTGTTGTTGTTGTTGTTGTTGTTGTTTTGGTTGGTTCCAAGGAGTTGGCGAGTAGTGTTTGCAGTTGAGAGGTTTCTCAGGGAATGGCTGAACTGGCTAGCAGTTTCAAGAGTGAGGTTGTCGCGTTGACAAGTCGAAGACAAAGTGTCTTGGAGAGAGAGAGAGTGGAATGAATGAAGGTAGAACAAAGCCTCAAGCCTGTAGAAAGAATGATACAGGAGGAGGGCGGACGACTGAAATATAGAGAGGGTGGTGTGGGTTAGCGGAGGAGAGAGAGGTGAGGGAATGCAAGAGGGTGGGTGCGTGGGTTCGGTTGGGCCTTGACGCTAGCGCCGAGGCACGGCCCCTTTGCAACGTGCCTGGCCCGCCTGCGCTGCGCTGCACTGCATCCACATCGCATCCTCCGCGCACGACGAGGCCGAGTGAATGTGGCGCTGCCATGCCGGCCCGGTCACTGGTCGAACGGCGTGTCCCTGGCGCGTTCAACAGTGCGCAGAGTCTGCAGCCGTCCACTTTTTTTGCTTATATGCGTGTTCGTGGACATGCGCCGTGTCAGGCCGCCGGCATGTCCGCCCCCGCTGTGCAGATGCGACGACGTCTTGGATCTGAGCTTTGTGTTTCCTGTGCTGACAGTGCGTTCGTGTGTGCGTATGCGCAGTTGATTGAGGCTGCGCTGCAAATAGGGCACACAAGGCGCATGCTGGTTTCATGCGTCCGCAAACGGCAAGGGCGGGGGCCAGCCCGGCAGCCAATCACAGCGCTGTTCCTGACGATCACTAGCGCCCGGGCCGTGAGCGGCCAGGGGCACAGCTGCCAGCTGAATCCCGCTAAACGAAACACTCCCACCCAGCTGTACTCTCCTTCACCGGCTCCGTATACCGGCACACACGTGTATCCTCTCGAGTCGCCGCCGCTGCCCGCCCTGCCTGCGCTGGCGCACCACAGCACCACAGCACCACAGCACCACAGCACCACGGCACCGGCACCAAACACAGCTGCCACCGTCCCGTGTGCATATTCCCCGCCTCCATTGGCCGCCTCTGCTTCGCCCCGAATCTGCTGTGCGCCCGGTTGCGCGCCGTGGCCCCCGACTTGTCCAAGATTTCACCACGCCGCCAAGGTGACATCGACTGCTGCATGTCCTTTTTGCCGGAGTCTCATCGACGCTCGTCGTTCGCTCTTTGTGCTGCGAGCCCTGCCACTCCGCAGCTTATGGCCTTCCCCGTCCCACGGCCATGCACTCGAAATGAATTGTGGGCCGCCGGTTCCTTGTTCCCTGTCCTGACTGGGTGGCTCTTGTCCCGCGCGCCAGCTATGCGCGAGAATTTTGACTTTTGCCCTATCCACTTATCGATTACGATAGGATAGCTATCCATCTGCATCCGTCATACCAATGCATTGCCCATCTTACCCGACCGCGCGTCCTTACAGCTTCTCCCACTGCTAGGTGTACGTCTAGACAACCAACAATGTCGTCATGACCCGACCAACTTTCCTTCTACCTCGTCCCGTCCACGCAAAAGGCAAGGAAAAAAAAACTACTCTAGTCTTACCCTCTAACCGGCTTGCCGAACAAAAGCCGTGCAATGAATGAATGAATGGTACAGTGCTCGGCATACGTCGTCCCAACATGTCATCTTCTTCAAAGCCTTTCTTTTGTTCCATGGTTCACTACCCGATTTCCCAAACGCCTTACTCCGTCAGAATTTTCTCGCTTGCTCATCTCCACCTTGCCCTTACTACCCTTAGCGTATCTCCCGTCATAGCTGCGTACATACAAGCCGCTTACGTTGAGAAACCCCCATGTCCAACAAAACCCGCCACGGTCTAGAATCGTTCGGTTCCCCTCACCTCTTCTAGCCTGAACCTCATCTTTTCGTCATGTTGCATCTTGGTACCCTAGACGCCAATCGAAGGCTTCTGCCGAGCAATGCCCTCGTAATTTTTTTCTCCCTTCCCAAGATCCCGCAAACGGCTCAACTCTGGGTCAGGGTGTCATGCACATACACACCATGCTTCCTTTGTCCGGCATATTTCTTTGGCTCTTTCCTAGTGCAAACTCAACTTTTGTGGTACGTAACAAAATTTAGTTTATGTAGTTTGCCATGCGTGCTCTGGACACTCTACTACAAATCAATGCATGAGAAGGCGTGGAGCACTCTCCAGCACGCTTAACATCATCATCTCCACCCACACGCCACGCCCTACCACAGCCATCATCTCCACCTACCCAGAAAAATGAAAAAAAAAAAAGATGAAAACTCGGCACCGGGGAAGTACGGGTATGCGAACATTACCCCGCGACCTAAACTTCTTCCTTTCTTTTTCCTTCTCTTCTTTACTTCTGCCTGTTTGCGGAGATTGCTCCCCCAAAAAATGAATCCGCTGCAAACAGAAAAGAAGAACAAAGAAAGTTCGTTTCTCTTACATACACACACATGCACATGCACATGTACATGCACACAGACGCCACGGACGCATCACAACTTGGAAACTTTGTCCGTGTCGGAAACAATGCCCTCGCGCACCAACGTGTACCATGTCCATGTACTTGATCATCTCTTTGCCTCCTCCCAAAAGAAGAGAAGAGAAGAAAAAAACTTACCCAATGCGGGTCTATTGAGAGAGAGAGAGAGGTCTGTTGTGCTTAGTCCATTTCCTATGTGTGTATCCACCCGGTTGAACATGCTCCGTTCTCATCAGTCTCCGTCATATGCTACCTCTTGTTACTTCTTTTTTGACGGGTTTCTTTGGTTTTTCTTTTTGATTTTTTTTTCGGCTTCACATGCAGGGTGCAATCGCTACGTCTTGTTGTTGCCTCGTGGCATGTTCCGTTTTTTTTTGGGCTCTACTCTTTGGGGGTAATTGGGCTGCCTGCTGCTGACTACTCCTTCCCGTATCTGTATGTGCGTACTTCTCTTACTTTCCGAGTGTAAATGGCTGTGCTGAGTCGTAGTCGTAGTCGTTTTCATCACGTGCTTAGGATATGACATAATGATTTGCCATGACTTTTCTTGTTCTTCTTTCTCTCCTTCTTGCTTGGTGCGGCGAGTAAGTGATGATTGGGTACTTGGTCGATTGAGAAATGAGGTGAATACTTTATTGTTCTTGACAGAGATGGAGACATATAAAGTATGCTTTGGCATTCCAACCCTAGTGTCGCTGGAACAGGTCTTCCCTATTTACTTTCCTGGATTTAACTGTGGTTGGTTCAATACTCTGGCATCAAGCATGTCCAACAGATACATGGTCTGAAGTGCTTTGTGAATCCAGCAATGGCTCTTATTTGCCATCTTATCGATTGCAAGATCTCACAACAGATGCAACAAGGTTGAGGCCGGAGGGTAGAAGAAGCAGAAAAGACGCCAAAATCTACGTGCTGGGATGATTGATATCGATGGACTCGAAATTGCTACGGCAACTCTTGTAGGATATTGGTATTTTTCTTGTGACTCTTTTTGGGCAAGTGCAATGATTGTCTATCTTGTGCTCGGTATTGAAACGCGGGCTCTGAGTAGGTATGGTTCAGTTGACACATGTCCTACTCAGAGTATGATATCCACCTCTTGTATTTTCCTTCCCTCACTGCTACTGCGATTCTGTCTGCTCTCGCTACCTCTCCTTTCATCCCAGCATGAGTATAGTAGTCTTTCAACAGATCCACCACTTTATCTTGTTTATTGACCACCGCAAGTCCGAGCGCGGTTCTTTTGGAACACTGTTCAACCTCCATGTCGGATTTGCCTCCATGTTTTACCAAAATATTGCACATGTCAACAGATCCGTTCGCAGCAGCATGATGCAACGGAATAGTCCCATGAATCGTAGCAATTCCTGAGTTTGCACCTGCTTCCAACGCTCCCTGAAGTAATTCGATCGCCGTATCATTCTCTTCAAACTGGCACAATATGTGCAGCGGTGTTCTCCCAAGTATGTCTTGACTGTTCCATACGCTGACGTCATTCTGTAAGTGTTCAGCCTGACCCAAAATATGTGAAAGCTCTTGATCTTCTTTAAAACTGTAATCAAGAATACGATGGAACTCTGTCCTTCGCAAACAATCGAGACCTCCTGATTGCGATATTGGTATCCTACGATCCAACCAAATCACCCAGTCATCACGGAAAAGTCCGATAGATCTACTCTGCTCGGCAAGGTTAGAAAAGCCCAAAGCTTCAAGCACCATTCCGATTTTCTGCGGTACTTCAAGTGACAATTTGGTATACATTTGAATTTCTTCTTCCAGCTCGTCTTTATTGAACTCATCGCCATGGCACTGGAGCACATGTTCCTTGAGCACAAAATTTCTGCATAAATCCATAGAATCTATAAGCCCATTAATCGGTATTTCGACACCGGAATAGTCGCAAAAAGGGCAGATGCCAATCGTGATGTGGGAATCCACAGTGAGAATTAGACTGATAAATAAAGAGCGTATCGAGGGGCTGTTCAGGAATTGTTGCTCAGTCAAGAGTATTTTCAAGCATAGGGGAATTGCTTCAAAAGAGATGGCGTTGACAAAATCGTAAAAACTTGAACCCGAATCGTAGTCATCATATAAAAGATTCCACTCAAGGAATGGTTTCATGCTTTTTTGAAGTTCATTCAGCCTTTTTCGAGCCGCGTCCATCATTTTGTAGTAGCTTACGAGAAGAGCACTGTGAACGCGTCAACCTTTCTGGTCTTATTTCGCAAAACTCGGGGGATATCAACATACATTTGGTCAAAGCTGATTTTCAAGGCATCTGAAACGATTGGTGGGGAAATGTCGTTGTGCGTTGGTGGCGGAGACTTCGATGCAAGTTTCCGAGGGCGTATAACTCGGGTTCTTTCTGAGCAAGGAAGCCCCTTTTCAATGCAGCGGTTGCATTTTCCTGAATGTTGCCCAATACACTAATTGTTGACTATCAGTAAGAGTTTTGAATACTTTTATCGAAATGCTTTTGCGTGCGTGAACAAGTGTATTTCTGGGATGCAAGTCTCATCCCGATGGCCACGCAATCACTTACCTTTTTTTTTGTCATCTCGACACCTTTGGCACTTGTCCATGTTCAACTTGCGTTCTTTGCGCCCTGAAATCGACGACGACTGCTGCTGCTCTTTCGGATGCTCTCGACGGGGCTTCACTTGGTTTTCCTGTTCACGATCCCCTTCATGTTGTACCTGTCCTCGTATCTCTTGTCCATTATTTCTGTCCACACCGCGAGACCGATCCGGCTCCGATAGAGCTTGCAGGATTTTTTCGAGCGAGTTGCCAGGCCCTTCATTTGTGTTTTGATGAGAACTCAAATTGTGACCACGAGGCACAAACTCAATCACCGGACAAGCTTCGCATGTTGCATGGCCGCAGTTCATGCACAAGGCAGGAAAGGAAGCTGTGGCAAATAGCTTATCACATCCACAGCATATCCTGCCGGGGATGCGGGGGGTACGTTCTGTTTGATATAGGTGACTTGCTGGGCGGGCATTCCCGTTCGTTGGTGTTCATGAACATGATCGAAGTCGGGATGTTCTTTGGGGTAAAAACGGCGCGTAATTCAAGAAATGGAGTACAGATGGAAGAAGTCCATGAACGAAGAAGATTGAGAGCGATGGGCTGGTCAACTTGGTGGAAGTGAGAGTGAACTCTAGATATAAGTCGCGTCTTTTATATATATGTGGAAATCTGCTCTTTTGGAAGCCACTATCCAGGTGTGACAAAATGCGAAAAGAGTATCTAATAAGCTTTGCGACAAAGTGCGATATTGAGAACAGCATGTACACGTGCTGCGCTGGCAATATCAGCTCATGCAAGCCACAACATGGCTGTGAACTTGGCCTATCCGCAGCATGGGCTACCATTGGCTGTCGCACTTTGTCGCAGTTACAAGCGACCAGGGATGCGTCACTAAGTATGTGCGGTATGATTGCAGAATGGTGAACTTGGCCCCCCTCAGCCTCCTTCATTAGTGGTCGCACATTGTCGCAGTCACAGGCTGAAGGTTTATCTTGGCGTGATGTTGGGTTCCCAACTTTATCATTGTTCATCGCATATTGTCGCGCTTTTCCAGTACGTACCGACTGTGGATATCACGTAGGGAAACCTGGATCAACTCCATTCGCTCATTCGTCATCGCATCTCATCGCACTTGGTCGCATTTTCGAAGATGCGTTACCAACAGGGCAGAGTCAACTGGCCTCTGCAATAAACATAAAGATGATCCTGAGCCTCTTACCCTGAACTGCTTCCTCTCAATCAAGTTCCGATTGATCAGTCATAAACATCCATTTCATTTCATTTTGAGTTTCTTCTCGCAAGCGTACTCTGCAACATAAATCGACCCCCATCCTACTCGATTTACAAAGACCATCATCCGCCATGCTCGCCACAAATATAGCGAGGTCAATCGTAACACCCGGGCCGTACATGAACGCCACAAATCCGCTTATGACCTCTTCAGCAAACGACACAATCGTCAGCAACGAGAGTTCTGAGCCGCTCAGTGTGGCAATAAGCTTTGGTGTACTGGGCCTGGTCGTGGCGATGGTAGGTGTATTGATAGCTGTCTTACAGCTTCGACGCATGTCACGCTCCAAAAGAATGGCCGAAGTGTATGAGCTTCCATGTAAGACTGGACACACCGAGCCACAAGGCGCAAAGCTGACCAAATTTAGGAAGAGCACTTGAAGAACCCTGAAAGCAGACAAGGTATCCGGACTGGCAGAAACGGGCGATTGAGAGTTTAGCTGCTTCGTCAGACAGAATACGATGTAGTATAGAGTAGACTGGAATGAGGGATGGAATTCAGCCAAGGCCTCAAGGCCTCTAGACGCCGAAGAAGAGACAGGTGTAAATACACACCACCTGCTATGGGTGTGCAAATATACTGTGTGACTGGTGTTGTTAGTAGTCTGTTTATCTGATGCCTTTTTTGATAGCATAGAATTAGGTTAATACAAAGCACGAGATTGTCCTTCAGGGTCAGCGCCTTCTTCCTGAGTGCATTTCTTAGCGAAGGATACGAGGATGAAGACCATGCATCGTATAGCGAACGGGTCTGGACCTTCAGACGGTAGCGATCTGAAACCGGGCAGAGATGAGGATCTTCGATGTACATGACAAAAGACAGTCGAGAGTGCTCGCTGTTGGTACGGATGGGGATTAGTGCATCATCGAGCAATCGTGCTACACAGCCGTTGGAACATCGCACACGATACAGCGTGGATGGGAGAGTTGGAAGCTCTGGCGGCGAGTAAGGAGCCAGATGGGTAGGGCTGAGAGTGGAGGTTTCTTGGGCGTGGGCACGTGTCGATCATCTTCTATGAACTTCCTAGCTGCCGTAATAAACGCCTTGGCACCGGGCAGCACGCGGCTTTACTGTGCATCCAGGTTTCGTCATCTTCGGTCAGGCAAGCACAATCCCATGGACCCCTCCCCAGCCACCGCATCTACCTTCTTCTCTCTGCGACGAGTGCTGTCGCGCCCATCTTCTCCGCTACCTTGAAGGCTGTGTACATACGCGGCGCGCCCGTGACCACGTTCCATAGTCGTTTTGTAAGCACCCTGAGCACATACATACGCCCGCCGCAGTTGTTCATCTATTCTGCGCGCTGATCACCTCCTCCACGGATAACAGTCCCCTTCATTCTCGCCCCCATATCCAAGTCTTGCGCCAAGGGACTTGCTATTACTTGCATTACCCACTACCTGTGGCTTGCTGCACTGAGCACCACCACTGAGCCCGTGCTTCGTTTCACCTCTTTGTAAACACCACGACTGGTGGCTCCCACTCCCGACTCGATACACTCGCGCGACCCCCGGTGCTAGACAGCACCCCCATCGCCATCCTACATAATGTCTCTCACCGACTCCGAGTTGGAGCTGGTCAGCTCTGAGCTGCGGGGTAACAGCGACGACATTCCAGAAGAGCCCGACATGATACTGTCATCCGACGCCGACAACGCCGAGTCGTTCGCTCCACCACCGCGCATTGCGGCGCGCTTCTATCGACATTCAGCGAACCGCCGCAAGTCGTCTGCGACGTCATCACGCCGCAACTCGATATCCTCGACACATTCACACACATCGAATCGATCGTTCCGCAACAGCTGCCAAAGTCACCAGGTAGCCCAGCACCTTCGCCGCGCTTCCATACTCGAAGACCGCAAGGCAAGATTGGCAGACCGGGCAGCACATGCCGAGCAGGTCAGGCTGCGTGCTGCCCTGGCCAAGGCCGCCCCGCGTGGCTCAAATAGTGAAGAGCGAGCCCTCGCAGCAAAACAGGCCCGCGAGAAGCACCTCGCCCAAGTTGCTGCCTCCTGTGCCGAAGAGGTCAGAAGAGCCAAGAAGATTGCTGAAGACATGAAAGAGCGCAAGGCCGCCGAGGAGCGTAGATATCGTATGGAGATGGAGGAGAAGTTGGCAGAGGCTGAAAAGAGAAGATTGGAATACAAACGTAATCCCCGACGACCGAGAACTGCCAGTTCACCCCCAGCTAGCCTCAAGCCACGCACCCAGCGTCCCGTTTTATCCACCGAAGATGCAGCGGGGAGAATCCAGGCGGCCTGGAGAAGCAAGGTCAGGCGTGATATTGTCAGAGAATGGCTGAAACTTGGTCTGTCCATTGAGATGGTCCAGGAGACTAGTTTCGACGTCATCACAGGCATGCTTGCAGACGAGAAGCTGTTGAAGACGACTGATAGGATCATGACCTTGTTTGTGCTACTCCCTGACGCAGATCCAGCCCCCCGTAGCGCCGCTGTTAGGACCTTCCTCTCCTCGTATCTTATCCTGGGACACCCTACCCATGTCTTCAGCCGAGACGGTGACCAGGAGCAGGATCTGATTACCAAAGCCAAGGACCTCGTCATCAGCTTTGAGTCTGCTTTGGCCAAACTGACAAAGCTCAATGCCTACACTCCATCGCCCACACGGACAGAAACTGTTTTGCTAGCCCACAGTGCGTTCGTTGCTGCCTTCAACGACTGGAAATCTCGTGATTCGTCGGCGCTGGTTGAGACCATGGTTGCCTCGTTTGTCAGCCTGGACGAGATATGGCAAAGCGTCAAGGATGCAACAGTCGATGAAGTCGCCAATGAGTACAGAAACGGCATTCGGGACAACCAAGCTATACTGCTTAGCAGGATCAAGAAGCTGGCCGGCCCCGACAAAGCTCTTATGCTGATCAGGAAGGCTATACGCGAAAGCCGAAGGTCGAAGCCAAAGAAGAGGCCTGCAGGTGATACGGTTCGACCCCGTGTGGCCGGCGAGTCCACACCAGACTCTCCACTATCAGCCGAAAGCGCTGCCAAACAGGCAGAGGCTGCTTCTGAATTGGCGGCTTCCGGGCAGGCTAAGCCTGAAGACCCCACTACGCAGGGTCACCAGGCACAGTCGCTATCCAAGGTCTTTACAGTGGTACCCGACAACCGCATACTGGTTCACGAGTTGTCAATTGACAAGGAGTATCGCATCGATCCTTCACCAACTGCCGACCTGCGCGATGCTCTCAATCGTGAGCTGTGTGATGCGATGCGGCGGGGATTTGAGGAGGGCGATAGTGCAAACTGGACCACTGCTATGGCAGAAAACATACGTGGCAAGCTGTTGCGGCTGCTGAAGCCTGGCAACTCTATGCACACCCTCATCTCCGAGACGCTTGATCCAGAGCATGTCAACCGGCAATGCAGCCAAGGTGTCTTCTCCTATGGCAAATTCTTCAACTTTATTGCCAGCATCCTGCCCAAGCTTTGTGCACCATTCCGAGACACGGAGGTTCAAGCGCTTGCCGAAGAACTAAAGGAGGAGGGAGACCTGTCGAGCATGATTGAGAAGTTGTTCAAGATTCTTCACATCATCGACCTGCTCTCACTAGACTACTCAAACTTCTTGTTGATGAATGCCGCTCCTACGCTGATCAAGGAGGCTGTTGGCTACGAACAACGCATGTTCACACAAGACCTGGAAGAAAACAAGATCACTCTTGACCGCACACGCCGTTGGTGGCGTAGTGCAGCAGTTAACATGCACACCGAGGCTGATCGCCGCGACCCGTGGAGCCAGGCCAATCCCCTCAATCGACCCACTGCGCACAAAATATACGCCCGTGGTTTGGTCGATCTGGCAATCGCAACCCCACCTCTTCGGGAGTCTGAGCTACCAGAGACACTTGAACTGGACCGAGCCCGGATTGCCCGGATCCGCGAAGACGCGCTGCGCATCACGACCATCGGAGGAATCCTCCTTACAGCTAAGAATCTACTGAAGCGGGATGTGCGGTCGCAGTGGAAATCTGAAGCCAACAAGATGTGGCTGGTACTCAAGGAAAACGGCTACATGTCTGACGCTTCGACGCCGGTCAAAATTTCGTCCCTCCTCGAGTCATCGCGCAACATGCCGCCCTCGACACGCTCGCAGCTCTCGTCGACCATCACGAGACTCCTCACGCAGGCCGAGGCCGGCAAACTTTCCGACCCCGTGCTAAAGGTCCTTTTCCAGCGCCTCAAGACGCACATTTTCAACCGCGTCAGCGCCAGTAGTTCGGGCGAGCGAGTCAGAGCTGCCAGCACGGCGACCGAGGGCCTCGCCACCACGGGCCTACCGGAGTTTGTGTCTCAGGTTACGGATATTTGCGAGCAGCTGAGTAAAGTGGGTGAGGTTGATCGCAAGTGCCATGGCAAGTGGTATGAGGAGATTGCGGAGGAGATGGAGAGGTTGGGGGTTGAGGGGTGTGAGGAGCTTGTGCGCTCGCAGAGTGTAGAGAGTTCGGGTGCGGCGTCTTCGTCTTCGTCGTCTTCGCTGTGAGACTGTGAGATGTGAGACGGTGGAGGGGGTTTACTTTTGGAAAGGGAGGAAGGAGGTTGATGGGATAATGTGGGGATTTGGCGTTTCGTCTTTTCTCTCCTTGTGTCTCTTTTCCGAGTCTTTCAAGGGGTATGCTTTTTTTTGTTTCTCTCTTCCGCTGCTCGGGATGGATGGGGGGGGTTCTATGCTGTTCTCTTGTTGATGCCACTTTTTTTTTCTCTTGCCGTTGTTTTACTTGCAAGGCGCTGCAGGTGTTTTTTTCTTCTCTTCCCTATCTCTCCTTCTCTCTTTCTCCATTATTTGGCTTTGATCAAGTCTAGACCATGACTTTTTTTCTTTTCCCTTCTTTTTTCTTCTTGATTTCTTTCACTCATGAGTAATATACCAAGGTTCGGGACACACGGGATGCTTTTGCTTGTATCTTTTGTTTTCTTGGTATTTTTGCTGTTTGGAGCGGAAGCGAGTCATGTTTATACGTATACCAAATCTTTTTCTTCTTCTCATCTCTTCTGCTTGCGTTGATTGGTGTTGTTCTTGCTTTTCTTCTCCTGTCACTTGATTCGACTGTGCGTGATGATGATGGGTTTTGAAACCCGTGTTGTAATGTCAAGGCAATGGCGCAGTGCAGGGTAAGTGAGGTGAATGAGAGAGTAAGTTCAAGTCAAACTGTCTTGTTTTGTCTAGAATTACATGAGAAGAGAGTAATAGAGCGCTCATGTGTAGACAGTCAGTTGGGTTAGTTGACCAAGTGCAATGACTGTGTCTGTGTGGGTATCGATTAATGGTGCGCATAGTTTTGTTTCAGCACCAGTCATGATGGCCCACTTGCTGCTGTTTCTTTCTCATGGGAAGACGCGTGTAAAGATCAGACAGTGCATAGAATCGAGATCTCATGTGTTCAGCGGCTCAGAGGGTTCGGAACATTAGGAATCAGTACAGTAATCGAATAACAATACCAATCGAAGGGGATGTACTTGTTTCTTTTTTGAACGAGTGAATTTGTACATGTTTATTTCTGTCTGCTGTATAAAGATATGATAGATCGATATTGTCATATCATAGAGTATTGATTGGTTTTTGTGAAGATCATTCCACATCTCAAAGAAGTACAGATTGTCCGTTTTTTTTGGATGTGCAGCAATCGGCGTTTTTCTTATTTCATTTTTCCTCCAGTCATGAACGAGTTATGTCTGTGCGTTGTTTCTTTGTAGCGGGGGATCGCAAGGCGAGAGCTAGTACCGAAACGATAGGTTTCACTGAGCAATTTGAGGATGTGCCGTCGTCTTGTTCACCTGTACCGCAGGCAGTGGACGAGGAGAGCCACGTGCATAACAACATCCTCTGATCAACCGAGCGGGTAGTATCAAAGATTTTGTTTGGGATGGGAATCGCCTACTGCCGGTGGGCCTGAAGCACCCGGAGGCCGACGTATGCCAAAGGTTGCTTTTCTTGCTTCATCGATCCGGCCCTTTGCAAGACTAATACCAGGGACGACCCAGTCTCCACAGCTGCATTGCATGCCCTGCCAGGCATACTTGCCTACATTGGTGTGGCACTTTGGGCACTCCAGACGACCGTCTAACTTGCCTTGTTCGAGCTCAGGTCGCATCCATGACAAGGGATCGAGGAAGTAATGGGCACATTTGGCCGAAGTAGGGACCTCGGCCTCGTTGTCTTTTGCAGTGGAGGAGGATCCATGTGATAGTAGATATTGTGAGGTTGCCAACGCGCGCCTAAAACAAGGTAAGCGCAAGGCCGGAGAGTGGTGGCGGTAAGAGAATATAGGGTGGCATTAAAGCCTTATCGTACGGCCCCACTTACCTGCATTTGCGACACCTTAATTCAAAGGCTGCCGCCTCATCAGCAACATGTTCGTCTTCGAAGCGGATCTTGTCGGCGTCTGGCGCTTGACCACACGCGCGGCTCAACTCAATTTCGCGTTGGTAGACCCATCGTTGGTAGACCGGGGTGGTTTCGACGTCGGGTGGAGTGTGCATTTGAGCATAGAGGTTGAGCTGGTCCATGAAACCTGGGTTGGGCTCGCAGATGGACCGGGCTTGCCGAACGTGGGACAAGGCTTCGGAAGGGCTGATGTTGTGCTGCTGCATCAAATATGCGATGACAACGGTAGCCGATCGTGACTTGCCCATGGCACTAAGGAAGAAGGCGTGGTTGGCATATTGCTACGAGTAACGGGGAATAGAATGAAATCGAACGAGTGGCAGGGAAGCGGTGTGGAATTGGGGAAAGAATGGCCGAAAGGGCAATGCAGGCAGTTGCAAAGAGGAAAAGAAAAGGCGGGCTTTGCAGTCAAAGGATGCAGGACACGACGCGGGTGTGGGGGGGAATAACTGCACTTGCCCGGTGGTGCATTGCTCCCAGCGACAGGGCACTGGAGCCGGCGGGTGTGGTGAAGATGGCAAAATTGCCGAGTAAGGCAGTCGGGGGCGGCGATCCAGGGTCGTGTGGGTGCACGAGGCTTCAGCCCAGCAAGGGTGTTGACTTACCAGTGCACTAGGACGCCGCCACCTGCGTCGAGGCCTTCGCGAATGAAGCGATTCGTGGCCGGGAAATGTTGGAGGAGGTTCTCGTCGTCGACATCGTCGACCTCGACCACCATGTGCTTAAAGGGGGCAAACAGGACGTCGTCGAGGGGCGTGCGCAGGACGGACAGGACGTGGGTGATGTTTGCCTGCTCAAGGGCCTCACGCCGCCGTAGCGTAAAGATGCTACCTCAGTGGTCAGACAGTTGAACAGTGAGTGGACCGGCAAGGCGGCGGCAGTGGCAGCAGCGGCGGCGGCAATAGCAGCGGCAATAGCAGCGGCAATAACAGCGGCAATAACAGCGGCAATAACAGCGGCGACGACAACGACGACGACGATGCAACATGGCCTTGCCGTGAGGAGGGGTGATTCGAAACCACGGCGGGCGTCAACATTACGTACCCGCCAATGTACAGATTGAGATTTCCGGGAACTCTGTCGAGGAGGGCCATGATGGCAGCTCTCAGAGCGGAGGGACCCGAGAATAGTCGGAGACGCGAAAGGAGGGGCGCAAAGGTCAAGGGCTTTGGGGGGGGGGGGGGAGGAAAGGCAAGCTGGTGAAGGTGTGCAAGTGAGGGTCTAATTTTCACCGAGGCTTCGTGATGGCGCACACGCGCCCAAATTGCGGACCCGTCATGTCTGGCGCCCAAGGCCGTATCGTAGTGCCCAGGCGATTACGCTGGTGGTGCACCATGGGGCGGCAGCAATCGTCGGAGATTCTTTGCAGGCATGGGGTTGGTGGGCTGGGGTCACGGAGGTGGATGTAATGTGTGGTTGATGTGTGTGTAGAGAGGTACTAGAAGGGGTGGATGTACATGTCATCCCAGCCAAGGCCATGGAAGAAGCCGGCGACCCAGGCCAAGGCGCCTACGCCTACGCCTACGACTAGGAGTAAGACGACGATGCCGACGACGACGAGTGTACAAGTAATAGATGGACAGACGGCCATGTTCCCTGTCAAGCGCGCATGCCGGCGATCCGAAGCAGAAGGGTGCCAACGACAGCGCCTCCGACCATTTTACCTTTGCACCGTCGGCCATGGCCAGTGTCAGGTGTGTCGTCGTCGTCGAGCCAGCGGAACCTTCCGTACACCCGCGGAGCTGCAGTGCGCGGATCAGGGACTGAGAGCCCTGGCCATGGATGAGCCCTAAAGCCCCGTCTGCTAGTTTGCTCATGGCGTCTTGTCTGCAGTGCCTAGCAGACAAGACTGCGCGTAGAGTATGTGAGTACACGAGGCCATGCCGGTTCAAACGCCCGGACGAGACCAGACCGGCCAACGACCAGACGGGGTCATGGAATCCTGGAGTCTTGGACTGCCCTGGCCTGTGGCTCGTGTTGCGCGGGCTGGCGGATGGGTGCAAGGCTGCCGTGGCGCCTCGTCCCGCATCTCGGCGAAGCGCATCACTGTTTTGGCCAAAAAGATGTGGGAAACGGGAGTTTGGAGTGGCACGACTAGCAATGCTAGAGTCGTCTGCTAGAGCATAATATAGTATGCTGCTGTTTGGCAGAGCGGGCGGGAAATTCGATACTCGACGACACGGCCCATGACTTTGGAGCCTCGCCCTGTCTCAAACGAGGTGTACCGCCGCTGACATGGCCATGGACTATGCGCATGCGGCCCACGTAGCAGAAACATACTATTACTACTGCCACTACTACTGTAAGTACTCGTAGTGCCGTCTGCTTGTGAGGTACCGCTTTTGCACGCTCGCAGCACAGACTTGGGCTTGAATCCGATACCCCGGAGTGTCTGCATGTTACCGCTCGTGGCAGCACGAGGCACCCATGGAGCGAAGTGCGAGGCCAGACGACTCAGCCCCGAACAGCAGATCGGTACGACGTGTGTGGCGGCGGCGGCGGCAGCAGCAGCAGCGGACATCAGTCGAGGGCCGGGAAGCGTGTGCTTGTGCACTCTGGCACGTACATCTGTAGATGGAGAGGAAGCTAGTCGGCTCGCACGTGCGACGTGTGGGCAGATTGGATACAGAGAAGGCTAGATGAACATGTGTGTACATATGTACATAGGTAGATGGGTACATGTATGCACAGGTGTAAGTAGTGTGTAAACCTGGTAGATATACATGTAGGTGTGCAGATACAAGGCAGTCGGGTATCTATGACATATGTAGATGTACGACAGTACGTAAGTATGTGGAATATCAGACGGCGGAAATGCCTCGCCAAGGAGAACCGGGGGCAGGGCAGGGCAGGGCGAGAGACAAGCACAAGCACAAGCACAAGCACAAGCACAAGCACAAGCAGGAGCAGAGCAAGAGGCCGGGCGGTAGGGCTGCGGGCTGCGGGCTGCGGGCTGCGGGCTGCGGGCTGCGGGCTGCGAGCTGCGAGCTGCGAGGAGGTTGCCCATCCTTGGTGGGTGGGTTGGAACTGCTGGTCAGCATCTGTGCGCAGCGACCGCTTCCGCTACCCGCGTTGCAGGCTAAGCCGTAAGCGTTGAATCTGACGCTGTGCCGCCTGCACCTCGTCCCCCCATGGCCATCCAATCCGCCGTGTTGAGCTGGCTGCTCGACACGCTCGACACCCAAGCCTGGTCAGATCCCGGCCATGCAACCCTCGTCAGCCAGCAGGGCCAGCAGGGCCAGCCAGGCAGACCAGCCCGCCAGCCCGCCAGCCCGCCCAGCTAGCCAGCACCAACCTGGTCTGCCCCATCGGCACTGTCCTGCCCTACCACCGCCCCTCTCTCTCACCGTTGCACCGGCCTGACGTACAGGCCATCGCCCTGCCTCTCTGCCTGTCCTCCTGCCTCCTGCCTCCTGCCTCCTGCCTCCTACCTGCCAGAAGGGGGGGGAAGGGGGGAGGGGGGCCACAGGCGGGCGCCAATCCACACGATAGATTGTCGTCTCAATATGCCAGCTAAGCCCCCCTTGGTCGGCCTCTGGCTGACTGCCCACACTGCCCTCTCCTCCCCTCCTTTGCACGCTTGCACGCACGCACGCACGCACTCACACGCCCCCCACGCTGCCCCCGGGAAACCTCTGCCGTCGCCCGCAGCACTCTGCAAATCGACGCCTGCACCTGCGTGTGTGTGCGCCTACACTAGGTGGTCTCCTCAGGCCAGTGCCAGTGCCAATACCAGTGTCCAGGGCCACGCAGCGTTGCAACTACTGGGCAAGCCCTATGCACGCAAGAGGGCCGGCGTGAGCTTCACGCTTCACGCTTCTGGAAAAGCCAGAAACCACGCCTACGACTAAGGCCTGCATGCCCTGACCCCTGCCCGGCAGAGTCTCCACTCTGTTGCTCCGTGCCAGGAGCAACACGCAATAGCCAATCACTGCCCGCGAGTCTGCCCAGCGTCGTGCTTAATGTCTAACCCAGTCCCCGGTGGAGGATCTCTTTTCTCATCCGTCTGCTGCTGCTGCTGCCGCTGCCGCTGCCGCTGCTGCTCCTGCTATTGTCGTGTCCAGTCGTCGTGCCTCTCTCCCTCTCTCTCTCCACACCAGAGGAGAAGAAAAAAACTGTCTCGTCCCTAATGTGCTAGACGCCTTCCAACAAAGCCTCTCATCCCTTCAACTCCACTCGCCTCCGGTCCACGCTAAAAAAACAGGGCCCTTACCCATAGGCCTGTTTGGGCTGCTCTGCTGCAGTGTACCATGAGCATTGCATTCACCACAGCAATTTGACCTTTTGTCTACCGCCGCTGCCAACATCCCATGACCAATAGTCCGCATCGACAACAAGCAAATATTGTGGCGGTGCGGGCCAGAATTGTTTGTTCAGCTCGACCCTACACCAGCGAGGGTCTCAGCCCTACGAGCAGCCTCAATCGCTAGTCAACGGGTACGAAGAAACCGCCCCCGCTCCGTCTACTACTTATCAGCCTCGCCCTCGGAAACACCCCCCAACACCACCCAACTCCCCATACCCAGGTAAGCCACGCACTGTTACTCTTGCAATACCCTTTCAGCCGCTCCGCTACGCAATCACTGCACTCTTCTCTGCCGGTTTCGGCCATGCCGTCTGTGGTTGCAGGCTAACTCTTCTGCGTCTAGGTCCGTGCCCACATACACTATCCAGTAGCCACTGCCTTTCACGCGTCTTGCTCGTCGCGACTCGCCACTTTTGCGGTGCTCGTGTGCGGCAAGGTACACTTCAGCTGCTGCTACCCCCTTAGTGGCGGCCTGCCGACAATTATCGGCATCCTTACAAACCATGTCCTCGACGCCGAGCATTCGCGTATATGATTCCCACCGCTATCCGCTACCACACCATACCCGAGCCTCGATAGGAAGTCCAGCTGTAGCAATGGCTATACCGAGAGTACGTAAGCTCGTGTTTCCGCTTGCTGCTTTTTTTTCTTTGTGTGTGTGTGTGTGGGCCTGCAATGAATGCTATTGTCTCAAATCCGCATGCTTGAAATAGCATCCGAAGCACATGGCAGGGCACTTCAGGTCCTTGTCATTCACCATTCCCATATTTGAACGATTGACTGACCGTGACGCAAATTTCACAGGCTCGCGATCAAGTCCCGCCACCCTTGCCACCACCACGTCACATCGAAGACCTTAGGACTGGCCAAGACCCTGGTTGGCAATGGGGTAACACAAATAGTCCAAGGGACACAGGTTTTGGCGGAAATCGGCTCGCGACAGTTAAACCTGGCTCGAGCTTATACGGTGGAGCCCCAAGCAACTACCCACGGGAGCCCGCGGGCAACTACATTCTTTCTCGCAACCGAGAACCTTCCATCTCCAGGTCACTCGAAGACATGAGCTCCGAACACAGCGGTCACAGCGATGAAGAACGCAACACCAACTCTCGTCCATCACTCGCAAGTCACCGCTTCACAAGTGAAAGACAACTAGGGCAAAAGGCCTTACAAAACTCATCGCAGGCTTACGACAAGCAATTGCTCTCCAAGATTGGTGGCCCAAGTACACCCACAAGGACCACTGCACCTCCACTATCCTCTAGTAACACCCAAGACGCAGCCACTGACCCGCACGCCTCGATACACAAGCACAATGGCCAATTGAAGCCGTTGACTGTACCGGCCCTCTCACCAGGTTACACTGGCTTTCGTAGCCCCATATTCGACCCAACAGAGCCATCCAGGGCACGCTACGGCAGCATCTCGACTCCAGGACCGTTGGATGACACCTCTTCCACCCATCGTGGTAGCTATGATCACAACATGTTTTCAGACCCCGAGTTCAGCATGGAGGAAAACGGCATGCGCGACCTGAACATCAACGAGCGCAGCCCTGCCGAGTCGGAAGAGTACCAACTGGGCCCAAAGAGCGGCCTGAAACGGCGCGCCTCGTCGCCTCCCTCCGAAGCTGCGCGCGACGATCGTCCGACAACCAGTGGCCACAACGATCTATATCACCGCCGTTCAGCACAAATGCTCGTCAACCGGAACTGCAATGCATCGCGGTTCCATTCGAACCCAAGCTCCCTGTCTTCGACCGGATCTGCAAGTCAACGCAGCGGCTCGATTGCGTCTTCGTTTGGCTTCTCCACAGCCCCAAGTAGTATAACAAGCTACGGCGGAGATCAGCGCTTGTCACCCAATGCGTTGTCACCGTTAGGGGAGATGGAACTGGGCCCCGTGTCGCCTTATGCAGCTAACAGGTCGTTGGATCCCAGCCCCCGCGGGTCCCTGTCACGACCTCCGCATCAGCGAGGCTTTTCGGAGACCGAGCATCCACAAATCCGAAAAATGTCGACAGAAAGCATGCTACAATCGCGACAGAATTCAATCGCAAACCGCCTGCCAGGTGCTTACATTTGCGAGTGCTGCCCCAAGAAACCTAAAAAATTCGACAGTGAAGAGGAACTTCGGTAAGTAAACATGGGTCTGCATCTTACCCACCGCTATTTGGCGGCCTACCCATGCCCGAATGACCATGCGCTGACCCCTGCAACAGATTGCACGAGCTGGAGAAGCAGTATATCTGCCAGTATTGTCCTAATCGTTTCAAGAACAAGAACGAAGCCGAGCGCCACCAAAACTCTCTCCACCTACGGCGACACTCGTGGTCATGCGCAACACTTGCCGGCGTTCATGCAGCTTTCCACCCCTCGGCTACTCGCCCAGCTACCGCAGACGTCTGTGGGTATTGCGGTGAAGAATTCCCTAACCCTGCGGATTGGGAGGCTCGGGCAGAGCACTTGAACCACGTGCACAAGTTCGGCGAATGCAACCAAGCTAAGAAGTTCTTCCGTGCAGACCATTTCCGACAGCACCTAAAGCACAGCCATGCAGGGACCAGTGGGAAATGGACTAACATGTTGGAAAACGCCTGCATGAGAGACGAGCCGCCGCCTCAAGAGCGCGTCGGCTCCATTGCCTCCATATCCGGCCCTTCAAGCCTTGCAACCAAGCCTGGCGTCATCAGCGAAGCACACGACGAATCCTGACTCATTCAAAGTTACCAAACACCTAGGAGACACGTGCAACACACCATCTCCAGGCTGATCTGACCGGAATTTATTCAACGAAGCCTAGTCTCTGACGACATTATTCAGTTCCATTCGACAGTAGCATTCTCTCCAAACCATTGCTTCTGGCTTACATATCAGCATTCCCAGGCATGGTCTTAATTTAGCAAAAAGTCTTTATAGTCGCAAATTGTCTTGCATTTACCATTCATTCTCGGCCAGGCCAGGGCACTTCGGCATAACGACACTGATGATGGCATTTGGTTATACGTATCGGTATCAGGGAATTTTCTGATGCTGGTTCAAACGACACATTCGATGCATTTCTATGGGTGTTTTTTGTTTCAGCGGCGGCGTTGATAGGACACACATGTCCAGGATCATCTTCATAGGCAGCTTCTTTATTGCGACTACGTTCCTTGTTGACCTATCATACAAAAACCATTTCACGAATATAACAGCAAACTGTTAAAGTCCTATCAGAGGGGAAAAAAAGGTCTTTGCTTTCCCATTAGTAGTACGGCGTGGCCGAATATCATATTGATAATTGCCTACTTTGTATTTTCAGTTTCGCCGTTCACGGCTGGTTTCTTGGCTTGGAGTACCCCAACATTAAAGTGGGCATGCGGTATGGGACACGAGGCTCAACTAGAACAACAACGTCATGGAAAGAAACGTCAAATCTTGATTTACGCCCTATGGCTGTGTGTGTAGCGTGATAGTGGCAACTTGCATTCCCCTTTTTCCAACTTCTCAGCTCATTTACTTGGACGTTCAGCCTCAGGACCTAGTAGATGCACAAGTGGGCGTCAGCCTCAGTAGTAAACTCTTGGTAGTGTCATTTTTTTTTCTTCCCAAGTAGACGCTTACTAGTCCAAGTGATGTGCACGCGTATCAGTCGCCACCTCGACTTTGCATCAGCAATCAACCAGGGACTCATATCCCTGGCAACCTTGGTAAAAATGTTGTTCCCCGTAAACACTAGACTCGCGACTTTTCTCAGGGTCCCCCCTCGTAATCCCGTCGGCATCACCCCCGTGAGAGCACCGGCCCTGCATATAGTACTAGTCCACTTTTCCGTCAGCCAAAAATCCCAAACCGTTTAATCTTTTTTATAATACACGCATCATACATGGCTTTTCAAACCGGGTTCTTCCTAGAAAGAATCCCCCCCTTCGTACACAACACACACATATTCTAACCCCCCCGGTCCCCACCTCTCCAGAAAAAAACCCCGGTACCAAGCTCCTAAGAGATTTATCCCGTGGTCCCCCTCCCGCCCGGGCAAAACGTCGGATGTAAGCGGTTTCACTGTTGTAAGTACTCACTCCCCCCTCCCCCCCCCCCCCGCGCGCTTCCCAAGGGCGCAAAGAAAAATGCGTTAAACGGCGATTACCTACCCCCTCCCCCCTCCCCACTTGCAACGCACTCTAACCCTTTTCCGAATCGAGGATCCGATGCGACCATGTATGGTAAAAGTGGTCAAGTAACGTATTATATTGTATTGTATTGTATTGTATTCATTTTGCCCAAATGCTTCTTCTTCTTCCTTTTTTAACATGGCGCGCTCGCTCGCTCGCGCCATGTACATGTGTAAGTTCCTAAGAGGAGAAGGAGTGGGGGGGGGCACGGACGGCTTTACCTTCTATTTACGTTTTCAAGAGCAAGGTTATAGCTTCATATATATGTAACGTATAATAGTATTTGGTTTATTTTTTCTTCTCTCCCCAATACTTGGTAGAGTTTCCTTGGTGGATTTGGGCGACGTTAGTTCATTTTCTTTCTGCGTCCTTTTTTTTGGCCTCTCTTGGGTGTTAAAATCGCTTCGGTGCAAAAAAAAAGAGCGTACACTGAACGGTGTGACCTGAGTAGGTGTCGTCCTACTTGGGGGTTGGGTAGTGTGGGTTTAAACCTAGATTCGAGTAATTGCGTATAGCAAGTAGGTATTTAGGTTGCCGGTTTTCACTAGTTTATCTAGTTCATTGACTCTTAGGCCCTTCTTCTTTTGCCCTTCTTATTGCTTCACTAACCAAAGTAGAAGAGAATGATGTGGAGCTTCATGATGGTGTTTCGTATTTGGAGTTTTTATTTCCTTTTTGGTACTTCCGAGATACAGTGGAGATAATGCAGGGCGGCTACTACTTATAGGGCTGGTATTTCGGGGGTATTATTTATTGATGGGGTAGGCGCTTGGTATCTTAGCTGCCTATCTTCTTCAAGCGTGTTTTGCGAGAGAAGCACGACCTATTTGTCATATTGGGCTGAGCACGTCATGCAAGCATTGCGCACTCTGTTGAAGTGTGGAGGTGTCCTCTGCGGCTTACCCTGTCTTGCAATACTTGATCGTGGCTCTCGCGCGAAGAGCGCAAATTACATACAACCTACAAGCATCAACGTTATCTACGCGGGGTGTCTCTAGGAGACTAAGAAACAAGTGCTGTGACGATCTGCCACTGTCATGCCTCTCGGCCCTTTCCGCTGCCCCTCCCATGCTACTCCCTCCATCCAGGTCGAGACTGACTGAGATCAGCAAAGGGACAAGAAGGTACCACACCAAACAACGCATCACGCATCAAACCTGACCCCAGTCTCCCACTTCCACGTGACCCAACCCTTTCAAGTACTCACTCGCCTGGGATTATCCACCCCTAACCCTGCCCAAAACCTCACTCTCATAGTGCTTACCCTGTACTTATGGCCCTCCCCCATACTCCCCCGACCGGCACATTTCCTGTCTTTCCGCCGAGCAGACCGGACCCTTTTTTTTCTCACTAGCTAATTTGTTCTACTGCCTTCTTACCGATCTTCTCCCTTCCCGCGCGCCCTCTCGCGCCAGGGCGTAATGCGGGAAGACTGTGGAGAGTCGGCTAGTGTGTCAGGTGGGGAGGGGAGAGAAAAAAAGAGAGAGAGAAGGGTGAGCACTAGAGATGAGGTAATCACCGACGTGGGAACTTGCCGAGCCGGACGTGTGTGTGAGAGGGAGGGTATGTGGTTGTGTGTGAGTGTGTGTGTGTGTGGTAGGATGACTTGGTGTGGTGCAGGTTAGGGCTTCCTGTGAAGCTGTACGTTAAGAGGCGTATACTAAGGAATAGTACCGGCGGCGGCGGATGTGGGCGTGCGCACGATTTCGAATCGCAACATGTTGGTTTGCTGGGGGTTAGGCATCGTCGGGTCGTTTTTTGGCTGAGTCAAGGTTTACACATTTTCCTGGATGCCATGCCACCTGTGTTTTGTGTGAGGAGGCAAATATTGGCATGGGGAGGGGGAGGGGGGTTATCTGGCGTGTGTATGTAAGACGGGTTACAAAGTTCATTATCTTGGTCCTGATTCGCTGGGCGCTTAACAAGAAAACCAAAATTCGACTTAATTCGACTCTTTTTTGTTAGGTTACTGGCTCTGGTTTGTAGGTTTAGTTCGGAAGTTAAAGTAGCCTCCGTACTATTGATGAATCTTGTCTACACAATGTATGTGTGTACACAGCATGTACATATTTCAAGGTTTCAAACTCTAACATTGTTGTCTCGGCATGTTTAATCCGACCAATCGCGTGATATGCCGTCTTTGGGTCACGCCTTTCCGCTTTAGTATACACTCTGTTCTGAGGGGGAGAGCACAGCAAGACGAGTCATGCTTGTTATTGTGGCTGAACAAAGTTTACCGGTAGTTATGTAGTGACCATGGTTGGTTCCAGGATAACTATGTTTCCCTAATTACCAGGCTATCATAACTGAAAACAATTTGGTAGTGGATCATGGTTGCAGCCATGCATGAGCCTTTTATTTTTATTTTTTTAGTTTCAGATGGAGGGCGCACCGGGTATCTCAGGTGAGAGATGAGATTTTGACAGATCGGGCAAACCTCTTTCCGTGCACTAGATTATTCAAGGATATACTCTACGTATGTACGTAAGAAACGGTGCTTACGCGCTAGTAAGTCATCCACGGATCTTTTCCGCATCTCAAAATCAGCTCTTGGGGAGCTGATTTACCCCAAACAATCGACATGAGTCTCACGACCCGGTATCGCTCAAATAATTCCGACGTATTGCGAAGGCGCCCTCCTTGCCTCGTACTTGCGCCATAGTGACTCGGCATCACCTGACCAGATCTGAATCAAGGTATACCAGCTGAATGAGCAAACTTACACATTAATTATCCTGGCTACCATAGTAGTTCGGTGTTGAGGGCAACGTGCCGTCCCATGCGTTCGCATATGCGAGGGCCTAGTGTTCTCGAGTTGCGAATTGCCCGTCTGACAACGTCAGTACACTTTCTTCTTCATCCCCCCCCCCCACCCCGATGCCAACCGCAATAACACTTATCATAAATCTCCACATCCATGGATCCTAAACTGGGAGGGACGAGGTTCCCATATCTTTAATTACGTCAATCTATACGTACAGTACAACAATACGGCACAAGCGAGGATGGTAAGACAGCCTCGTTGAATACAATCATGACTCGAAAGTCGGAGAATAGAGCCGGCTCCTCATAGTGCATTTACAAACAGGGCACAGGATATCAGTGACATTCCTGTCGCGTCTTGTTCGTCCCCAAAACCAGGCTCACCGCGTTCTGGCTGACGGCAGACACGGTATATGCAAAAAGTTGCAGCGTCCCTTGGACGCCTGATAAGCGGGTCGAAAAAGAGTGGAGAGCCGGCCACTCCGATAAGGGGTCCATCTGCGCGTTTTGTTGCATTTGCCCTATGGTAGGGCTAGGTGCCACAGATATGCATTTTCTGGTGTCTTGCCATGTGTTCATGGTAAGTCCATGCTTTTTTGGGAAGGTGACAAGGCCCAACCATCCTTTCCTCCGATAGGGCTGGTTGAGCCAGCATCATATGCACGATTTATCAACTACTTCTTTAGTTGTGCGGAAATGGAACGGTAAGAGTCCGCACGCTGTGTACATATGATGCATCGAATGATGTGGTGTCTTACTATTACATAGTAAGCCCGTGCGGAACGATGCTGACCCGTCAGGCGTTCTGGCGAAAGCTCATCATGTTTGCCTTGCATTCGTCGTGGCAGATAAGCTTTTTCATGTCATAGTTTTAATCATACTGCGCAACGGGCTTACCGTCATCAGCTCAAGTATGCGCGTTCAGGATACGGTAGTACTATTCTGGATGCGGAGAAGGGCTGTGCTACTGCATCAGCGTTAATCTTCGACAAAACGGTAGGCAGCTGAAACATGGCTTAGTATGACATGCACGGCGACGCATACGTAGGGCTGTCTGGTCGATCATGACTTCAGTTCATGAGCGGCCTTGCTTCCCTAATACTTTGTGTCATGAGAATACTATCAGTGCATGGCGCCCAAGGATAACACCTTGCGCCTGTGGGAGCTACCGTGACTAAATGTCACCATGGAGCATGGGTACTACCCAAAAGGTGTTTTATCTGAGGATGTGTACTTACGTGTCTTTGCAGCTACTGCATCATGCCTGATGCTATGCGTCTATTAGATAAGTCTCCTTGGGCTGGGAACTGCCAAGAGACGCATCAACTACCGATCGCATGGAAATGGACGATCCTAAGAGCGAACATATATCCTGTGACTCGGCAATTGTAGTATTAATGTACGCCGGGATGCAAGTGGGCTGGATAGTGAGTAACTATTCGTCCGTACATAGCTGGTATGCAATATCATCTTGGCCCTACGAATAGTAGCTTCAATGGCCGAATCACACAATACCGCCAACTACACATGATTGTGCAGCTAGCGTTAGGACTTGCGAAGAGCGGGGACTTGCATGTGTACAACAAGATTCGATGCTGTATGATTGGTGCTGTCCGATGAAGGCAGACGCATGGCTACCGCGTCAAGCGCATGGGATTAGGCAATGATAAAAGGTGAAGTCAACGAATCGCAGTTTAGCCTTCATCAATACAGAAAGTCCTGAGAACGGTATGTTTCTAGATCCACCTGCTACTCCAGCGTGTGATTAAGTACCGTATATAAGGGAGCAGTTGCTATCAACCCCTGGTCAACAACGATAGGATAGAAGAGTTATAAATACGATGTTTGCCCACATAACACAACGCCTGAACCCCGAGTTTTAAGAGGATGTCTCTGGGAGCCTGGATTGATGGGTATATTGCGAAATACATCCAAAGAGCGATGTCATGCTTGGTGGATACAAAGCTCTATAACATCGGAATGACCACGAACTATCCCGTCAGCAGACGTTCAAACACCCATAATCTAGATGAACGGTAAATCAAAACAGCTCAATATGCACGACACGTGTGAATTTCAGTAAGCATGGCATTCTGTACAGCCACTAATTGCTGACCGCATTGTGTGCGAAGGATCAATGACTGGCAGCGGTCAGCCCTCCCAAGGTCTGCTGAATGCACTCTCCCCACCTATGACCTATGAATACGAGAAGGATTCTATACAGATGAAACACAGCTGATAGCTGCTGTATTGCTGTCGTCCCCAATGTAGCTGATCGTGATACGCAACTAAGGGTTACCACTAGGTACGGATGGGAAATTCTTAGGGTCATTCAGCCGTTCGTGATTTCTTTTAGCGATTTCAGCATTTCGGAGTTTGTCCAACCTCATTTGGTAAAAACTTCTGTGTAACGTCAGTACAAGGGGGAAAGTGTGCCGAGACATGCGCACTTGTTGAGTTGGAATATGCGAGGACCGAGCTCGGCTTGAGTCTTATCTTTGGTTTTTGAGAGCTCTTTGATCTATATTGGCAGTTAGCACAAGAAATTTAGATTCTCTGATCATACTGGCCTTGTCGTCTTTGGCTTTCTCGTCCTGCTTGTCTTCGTCATCTTCCTTGGCCTTTTCTTCCTTCTCTTTCTCCTTATCCTTTTCTTTATCCTTTTCTTTTCTCTTTTCACGTTTGAGTTGCTGCTTCTGTTCGTACTCCTTCTTAACCGCTTCGATCTCGCGATCCAACTCTTCTTGCTTTTTCTGATCCGCAACCCTCTTCACCTCCTCGGCCTCGGGCTGACAGAACCCTCGATCAGTCAAGTGTCCAGCACAGATGTAGAAAAAGTCCTGAATTAATATGAGCATCTATAGTTCTTTTTCAGAGCCGTAACGCACCTTGTTGGAAGGCGTGATCAGGACACTCGTGGATGGTTTGTAGCATATCCAACAAGCTTTCGCGGCATTGTCTGCAACGCGGCGGAGATGCCACACATTCTCCATTAGATTTTCCTGTTCAGAAATTTTCGCCTTTTCGCCTTGTACGTTGCTCAGGGTACTCGAAGTACACAGTATATAGGTAAACCTCTTGGGGCGTATGAGGCGGATATTGATACCTACGATACTACCGGCTCAGGCTATATTTCTTCCGCTATTTGAGTGTTATGAAGATATCAAGTTCACTCGTATATAAGTGTAATGCCCTGCTATGGTTATTGCATGTGCGTAGAGATGCTCGGTGGTGATGAAGTGGCTGAGCAAGATTGGGAGATGCAAAGGTTCAAACTAGGCTTAAAGCGGATTAGCCTTAGATATTGCAGGCAACTGTGACCATTCCTCATTCTCCTCTCCAACGGTTTTTTTGACTCGTATTTTCAATGACTGTACGGGTATATGGTCTAGGAAAATTGTTTAGAGACACAATTCAATCGAAACAGATCCGTCTAGTCCCGAGCGGTACAAGGCTCTCGAATAACTTTTCAAGTGCGCTATCTTAACACACCTCAACATCCAGTTTTTAAAGTTAACACTCTCATTAGACAATTATCCTCTCCCTAAAAAATTCCATCGGCAGTACAACAACATGGCTGCTTCGACACAACTAAAGTACATTGATGTTGGTTCATATTTCACGCCTCTACCCCGCCAAACTTCTAACCACAAAATCTAGATCGGTATCAACTTCACCGATCCCATCTTCAGAGGTGAATACCACGGCACCCAACGTCACGAAAATGATTTCGAAGACGTCCTCCAGAGAGCGGTCGATGCTGGATGCAAGAAGTTCATGGTAACAGGATCTGATCTCGAGGAATCAAAGCACGCTATCGAGATAGCAAAAGCTCACCCAGGGCTTTGCTATGCTACTGTAGGCGTACATCCTTGCTCGGCAAACCATTTCGACAAGCATCCCGGTGGCGCATCGGAGCTTCTCTCTGCGCTCAAATCCCTGGCCGTTGAAGCCAAGGAAGCAGGCCACGCAGTTGCTTTTGGAGAGATAGGCCTCGATTACGACCGACTTTTCCTGACGGCAAAGGAGCCACAGCTCAAGTACTTCGAGGCACAACTGGAAATCGCAATTGAAGTACAGTTGCCGCTCTTCCTACATTCGCGTGCTGCGAGTGAGGACTTTGAAAGATTGTTGACTGCGAAACTTGACCAGCTACCCAAGAGAGGTCTCGTACACAGCTTTACTGGGACTGCACAAGAGATGCAGCACCTCGTGGATCTAGGCTTTGATATTGGCGTTAACGGCTGCAGCATGAAGAGTATGTACTTCTGTCATATACCATTTTGATTTTTCTACAAGTACTAACTAGCGTTCCTACTCAGCGGATGAAAATATTGCAGTTGTGAAACAGATACCGCTCGAGCGTCTGCAGATCGAAACAGATGGGCCATGGTGCGAGATGCGGCCCAGTCACGCATCAGCCAAGTTCCTCACAGACGCTCCGCCTTTACCAAAGGCAGTCAAGAAGGAGAAGTGGGCCAAAGGTATGATGGTAAAGGGGCGAAATGAGCCAGCTACAATTCCACATGTCGCGTATGCCATTGCAAAGATTAAGGAAATCAGCGTAGAAGAGGTTTGTGACGCGTAAGTGCTTATTGTATCCCTTGTGTGTGGGAGGAGTAACTAATGATACTGTAGTGCTTGGAAGAACTCGGTCAAGATGTTTGGGTTGGGTGAGGCGGTGTAAGACCAAAATGCCGCCATAGATGGGGTCGATTCGGTGTATGCAATGCATATAGAATATCGATTTATACAGAAGGGATGTGTGCCCCAAACTCGCATGTACAAAGACTGCAAAATAGACCACGCCAAACCAGCCACACCTTACTTCCTGTACCACATCCTGGTGATCTTGGTATGCCTCATCTTCTTCTGCAGCTGGAAGACACCGTACATGAGTGCCTCGGCAGTCGGTGGGCAACCGGGTACGTAGATATCTACAGGTACAACACGGTCGCATCCTCTTGTGACTGAGTAGCTGTAGTGATAATATCCTCCTCCATTTGCGCAACTGCCCATGGAAATGACCCATCGGGGGTCAGGCATCTGGTCATAGATCTGTCGCAGGGCGGGTGCCATCTTGTTTGTGAGGGTTCCGGCTACAATCATGACATCAGACTGTCGCGGAGAGGCACGGAAAATGATACCGAGACGATCCTGGTCATATCGTGGAGCAGACAAGTGCATCATCTCGACGGCGCAGCATGCAAGACCGAAAGTCATGGGCCAGAGCGAGCTCTGACGGGCCCAGTTGGCTACTTGGTCAAGTGTTGTCCTGTTGACACAAGTCAATTCATGCCCTTTACTGCGCTTTTTGCCACCCATTTCAATGTTCAAGAGTAATCCAGAGAGAAATCACATACAATGCATATTGCATAGCACCCTTCTTTCCCTCCTGACTTGGCAAGGGCACCTCAACTCGCGCTGACTTCATTGGTGGTGGTGTTCCAGGATTGCCAGGGATGGTGGCAGGCGACTTCATGGTCGTCGCATTGTTGGAGGAGCTCGAGGATAGAAAGGCTACGCTTCCGGCGCGGAGTGGCATCAAGGCCGTCGCGGGTTTGGCTGTCCATAAAGTCAGTCTGGCGGGACCGGGAGCTTTTTCGGGCGTGCGGCGACAAACCTCGCAGAGCCATTGAGGCAGCAGACCTTGTCGTCGAAAGCATGTTTGCGACGGACAGCAAGGAAAGGCGTGGACGAAGGAGTGGAGAGGCGAGATGTGGGGTGGCGGTTGAGGGAGTCGCGAAGTTGATCGATGAGGTAGGTGCATCAAAATGCTTGGCGGAAATCGATTAGTCGTCGGTTTTGGCGCCGTCTGATAGGCCGGCCAACGATCACTCCTTCGCCAACACCCTTTCGGACTACTTCGGCCAGACTACTCCGCATCCACGCCCAGGGTGCTTGAAGACTGTCGTAGTCTTTTGATATCGCATAAAATATGTCAGGCCGGGTAGGCGCTTGATGCGGTTAGGGCTCAGAGTATGTGTTGACTGTGTCTAGGTCCCGTCCATTGCTTGCATTGGCGTTGTCGGCAAGCACGTGAGTACCTCATCATTCACATACTCCTGACCTGTTCCTATACTGATTATTGGTAAAGAACAACCCACTGCACATCTCCCTCTTTCCAGCAGAAGAACGTGCACCACTAGAGTTTCAGTTTCTTCTTTCGTCATGTTTAGACATCTTTGAGGCTCGTCTGCCGCATAAGACAGCAGACCAGGACTTTGGCCTTCTGCAAGCTGTCGACGAGAGACTAGCCATGTACGGCTGGCTCACTAATACTGGCATCAAATTCATCGTTGTCGTAGATATGGAGGGAAAGCCAGCCAATCCCCTCGACAACAAATCTGCGGCTGCTGTTGGGCTGCGAGATGCGGACATGAAACCCGTAAGCCCGATGCTCTACAGTTCAACAATCTTCTAACCTTCCTTAGGCATTTCGAGCATTGCAGACGGCGTACATTAAGCTGCTCAGGAATCCGTAAGTGAAGATGCGGGGTGGTTGATGTGTTGCGACCGCTAACAGCAACACCTAGGTTCTACGACCCTGATGAACATTCTCCAATCACTGCCAACTCTGAGCAAAGGATTGGCTCGACTCAGATTACAAGCCGCAAGTTTATTCAAGAAGTCAAACGGATTGCTGATGCATGGTCTCCTGGTGTTACGAGTATTTAGGCAATTTCTACTTGGGGTTACTATGATACCACATTTCGTTTACAGGCGTTTAGAATCAAACTACCTTGATCCTATTCCGTTGTTTGAGGACTGATCTTTTCCATGTCCCTTGTCCAATGTTGCGACCAGGCCATGTATCGGCACTTCCCAAAAGCGCTAGCGCCGATTGCAGTATAGTCCAATGTGAGAGCAGATCACCTCGGCCATTTGATGTCGTCTTCAGGAAGATGCGACACAAGTTCTACTTCCTCAAACCAATGACTACCAATGTCGTCCACCGGTGTTGCGATCACCAACCCCTTGGTGCTATATCGCAGTCTCATCGCTACGCAGAAGATCCGACCTGATCCCGCTCAGCATCGCCTCGGTATGACGTCTACCATTCTGGACCCGCCAAGGACATTGTACATGTACTAACTGTGACCATCAGCCTTGCACTTACAGAAACTCTATGATCGACTGATTGATTATGAACCGACTGTAGAGTATTCGAAACGACTGCAGCAACTTTCTCGGGCAGTTGGTTCAGATCAAAATGCTGCAACAACAGCCCCAACAGATACGCACGCTAATCGCTTTGGCAGAAGGGGCGTATGGACATCGCTACTTGCGGAGAAAGAGAAGAGAGATTCAGTAGCCTTGACTCGTGTTCTAACAAGCCATGATGAGGCCATGCAGTTACAGAGTCCCAAAGGCCTCATGCTGCATGGTGAAGTTGGGACTGGCAAATCGATGCGTAAGGCTTGAGACAGCATTTTGTAGACATGAAGGCTCATCGCTTCTCTAGTTATCGACTTGTTTCAAGAATGTCTACCCAATCGCAAGAAGCGGCGTTGGCACTTCAATACATTCATGCTCGATACCATTTCCCGACTTGAGCAACTTCGGATATCTAGGTCGTTAGTAACCGGCCCAGGAGCACCCAACGACGAGTATTCGTTACTTCTGGTTGCACGCGATCTCATCGAGAAGTCCCCAATTCTCTTTTTAGATGAATTTCAACTTCCAGACCGTGCTGCAAGCAAGATTTTGTCTAATCTCATGACGTCTTTCTTCCAGCTCGGCGGCGTTCTTATCGCAACGAGCAACCGTATGCCAGAGGAGCTTGCTAAGGCCGCAGGAATGGAGTTTTCACGACCAGTGCACCGTCTTAGTCGACTAGGTTGGGGCATGACTAAGAGCTCGTACATTAGGAGAGATGATGGGGCGGGGCAGCTGGGTGAGTTTTCGGCGTTCTTGGAAGTGCTAAGAGCGAGGTGCGAGGTCTGGGAAATGGAAGGGAAGGAAGATTATCGAAAGCTGGAATTGGAAGATACAAAGGAAACTTCTGAGCGGAGGGACAGCGTACAAGTTTCCGTGTCCGAGACTCTAGATGCCATTGATTCGGCCACGACTTTGACTGCTACTGGCGCAACGGATACAGCGGAGGATTCTGCATCGATCGAGACTGTATCCCCCTTACCAAAGAACTACCTCATCCAGCCCCAAACTGCAGAAACCATGATCGAATTCGGCGAAGCTTTCAACTCCCTGGTTGAACAGGCAACACGCCACGAATATCCGATTCCTTGGGCTCCCGCCACCTTGACTGTATACAACCGCGCTCTCCATGTCCCCGCACAGTACAATGGTGTAGCCTTCTTCACCTTTGCCGAGCTATGCGGTGCCGTGCTCGGCCCTGCCGACTACATTACGCTCGCATCCACATACCACACCTTTATCGTCACTGACGTACCCATCATGGGTCTGCTCATGAAAAGCGAAGCTAGACGCCTCATCACCTTGCTAGACGCTATGTACGAATCCCGTTGCAGACTTATGATTACCGCCGCTGCAGCCCCCGACAAGATATTCTTTCCCGCACGCCCACCTTCTTCTTCAGCAACAGACGGAGAAACGTTAGACACTGACGCCGTACACCCCGAAACCTATTCTGAAATCTACCAAGATCTCAACTCTCCCTTTCGACCAAATATCTCATCTTACGCTGGCTCCAGCCACAACATGCTATCTGACGACGCGCTCGAAGATGACCCGCCAAACCGCATGCGCCGGCCAGATTCTTCGTACACGGATGAGCGCCGCTTGGGTCCTGGATCCCCCGACTTTGCGAATATAGGCGGACTAACAGGTGAAGACGAGAAGTTTGCCGTTAAGAGAGCTGAAAGCAGGATTTACGAAATGTGCTCTGGGAAATGGTGGGATCGTGCAGATGATGTTGATACGGTAGACTGGTGGCGACCTCTTCCGCTGGAGAATAGGCATTGGGAACACCGCGTTTCGTCGTCTGCTACTTCTCCTGCTGCGCCTACACCGAGCACGTTGCCACCGAATACCAAGGTCCTGTCTGCAGAAGAGCGCGAGAGGGACAGGCAGAGGGAGATGGAGGATATGTTTAAGCATGGGGCTAGTCCGTTCCGAGTGCATCCTGATGCGCCGCCAAAGTTTAGCTGGACGCATGCATGGGGAATGATGAGGTGGGGAAAGAAGGCTGGGGCTTGGGGAAAGGGAGTAGAGGGGTTGGGAGAGAAGGTTAAGGAGAAGATGGATGAAGGCGTAGAAGACAAGAACAAGGACAAGAACAAAGACGCATAGAGGATTAGATGAGTCTTGCTTGCTAAATATTTCTAAGATAAAGGTACAACTGTTTTTTTCGATTCGTAAAATCATACAACATGTTCCAGTCATTCAAACCAAGGATCTAGTCACTGGATCTCGCCCTTGTTGACTACGAACGCCTCGAGCGCACTGATGGCACTCCACAGCCTGTTTTCTGCTTCCTTGAAAACGACACTCCTCGGTCCGTAAAAGACCTCATCAGCAACCTCCTCTGGGTGACGAGGCAGGCAGTGCATGAAGCTCCAGTTGTCCTTTGCACCACCACGTTTGGCCAGATCCGATGTGATTTGGAAGCCCTCGAATGCCTTGAGACGTTTTGCGGTTTCTTCTTCCTGGCCCATGGACACCCAAGTATCTGTGACGAGGATATCTGCGTTCTTTATGGCTTCCTCGGGTGTGTTTGTTTCCAGGAGCTTTCCTGCACGAGGGGAGGTTTGCGCGGCGTGGGAGATGACTTCGCGCATAGACTGGGGGATCTCATAGCCCGGTGGTGTTGCGACAGCCATGTCGATGCCCAGCTTTGTAGCGCCAATGGCCAGGTCAAACAAGACGTTATTTGCGTCGCCTATCCATGCGATCTTGAGACCCTCGAGACCGAGCGAAGTAGCAGATGTGGAGGGGTAGATTTCGGAAACGGTAAGCATGTCGGCGATGATCTGGAGGGGGTGGTAGAGATCCGAGAGGGCATTGATGACTGGCACACTCGAGTGCTTTGCGAGGTCTGCAACGTCGGAGTGGGGGCCCACGCGGGCGACGATGGCGGCAGTCATGCTGGAGAGGACGAGAGAGGTGTCATAGAGAGACTCGTTAACCTGATCACCTTGATGTTAGCGGACATGAGGGAAATCACGGATTTAACGGGCAGGCCATACACCCAACTGTATGTCGTCTTTTCCAAGGAACATGGGCGAGCCGCCAAATGCTGCAATGGCGCCTTCTGTGGATATCCTGGTGCGCGTGCTCCGCTTGCTGAAAGTCATGGCAACGGTGCGGCCAGCCAGTGCCCCGCGCATGGAGTGGGGGACCTCTCCTGTCTGCTTGATGGTGGTCTTGTGGCGGTGTGCATTCTGCACAAGCGTAGTGAGCTCAGCGGGTGTGAGGTCAGCTATGGAGAGAAGATGTCGCGGCGCAAAGGGTGATGTGGGAGGTGTTGCTGGCGAGGCCGACGAGTAGCAACGGCGCAAGCTTCGCAGAGCTGCGGTCGTAGGGCGGAAAGCGGGCATGATGTGTCAGTTGCAGTGCAGGAAGTCAGAGCAGGCGGTCCAGGGATTTTAAAGTTCGCAATTGCAGCGTAAGAGTCACAGAAGGCACATTACTCCAGAGGGCCGATATAATGTTTGAAGACGCTAACATTCTGACGCATGACAGTGGGGATGATCAGAAATGCTGGGGTCAGAAGGGGCTAGCGGGCGCGGCAGACAGGCACACGTCGGCCCGCCACCCTGCTGTGCTGTGTGTGGATGTGGGCGCGTGTGGCTGAGTAGATGATGACGAGACCATGAACACCATCTCGTCCCGGCCCTTGGACTTGGACGTGGACTCGACATCTCTCTCTCCGTCCACCCTCTGTCCAACATGGCTCTCGCCTGGACTCCCCTACGGCTGAAGATGGAGAACCCCGACGAGGCGTGGGGCTCCAACTCCTCCTCCAACAACAACGATAACAACGACAACACCATCACCGCCGATGCCAACACTCGCACCCCTAGTTCACGACCCGCCTCGCGCAGGTCTGCCCGCTCGTCACGCTCAGCACGCTCAGCGCGATCAGCACGATCAGTCCGCTCACAGCAGTCGAGCAGAACCACCGAAGAAACACCCCTGCTGTCTCAGCAAGACGTCGACGATGACCACGACGACCATGACGAAGACTGCGACGAGGCCACACCGGCGACGCGCTCACTGCGCCAATCGCTATGCGGTTCTGATAGGGGTGGCAACGCCAAAGGCTCGCTATGGAAGAAGCGCTGGCCGAGCATACTGGCCCTCATCACCCTCTGCCTGCTTGTCATCTTCATCATGCTCGGCTTTCTTGCCAAAGAGAGCATCGAGGAGTACTCGATGCAGGCTGCCACCTTCAAGCCTACCAAGATCTCCATGGACGGCTTGACCAGCAATGGCGCAAAGATCCACATCCAAGGAGACTTCACCATGGACGCGTCAAAGGTCAAGAAGCAGAGCGTGCGCAACCTCGGCCGCTTCGGCACATGGGTTGCCCACGAGGCCGAGACGGGCCCTTTCGATGCTGAAGTCTACCTGCCCGAGTATGGCAATATTCTGGTCGGTACCGCCAAGATGCCAGGCGTCAAGGTGGATATCAGGAACGGACACACCACGCATGTAGCTTTCGATGCCACTGTGCAGCCAGGATCTCTCGACGGTATTCGCAATGTTGCCGAAGACTGGATCGATGGCCGGCTGGGACAGATACGGCTCAAGGCAAAGGCACTGGTCCCGCTCAAGTCGGGTTTGATCCACATTGGCAAGCAGCTTGTTGAGCAATCTGTAGTCTTCCAGGGTGGCGATATCCCCGCCCTGCCACATTACAACATCACAAAGCTCAACCTCGGCGAGGCCAAGCATGGTCAAAAGGGTCTCGCTGCAGACGCAACTATAGTTGTCGAAAACGACTTCCCTATTGACATTACGCTCCCATCCGTGGCTGTCGATGTGGGTATTCAGGGCTGCTCGGCTGACACATTTCTCATGGTCGGAACTGCCCAGACCGGCCAGCTCCACGTCAAGCCAAATTCAGATGTCAAGATCAGTGTCAACGGCAATGTCGAGAAAATCTCCAATCTTGTGACCGAAGTATGTCCCAACACCGCCAAATCACCGCTTGATACTTTCTTGGGCGACTACATGAAGGGCGAGGATGCGACCATCTACATCAACTGCTGCAAGTTCCCAGACCCAGCCGCACCCGATTGGGCTCGTGATCTTTTGAAGGACATCATTGTGCCTGTACCATTCGCTGGTAAATCCATGGGCAACCTCATCAAAAACTTTTCTCTTGCAGACATGCATTTCAGTCTGCCCAACCCGTTTGCCGAGCCGGACACACCCGAGGCTGCGCCCAAGATTTCCGGCATTGTCAATGTCGACATTGGCTTGCCCAACGAGATGAACTTCCCCCTCAATGTGACTCAAGTCAAGGCCGACGCCGATATTTACTACCACAAAAAGATACTTGGAAAGCTGAACCTTGAAAAATGGCAAAAGGCAAACTCGACGCGCGTCGAGGGCCATGGCTCCGAAGGACCTTCTCTTCTCGTTCAGTCTGTCATCAAAGACGCACCCATTGAAATTGTAGACGACGATCTGTTTAGCGAGGTTGTGCAGGCTCTTCTATTTGGCGGCAAGTCCGTCTTGATGGATCTCAAGGCAGCCGTCAGTGTTGGTGTGGACACACCCATGGGTAAACTTGCCGTGCGAGGCATTCCAGCGCAAGGAGTCGTACCAGTCAAACGTTCGTAGCCAGTTCGTAATCCACGTTTGACTGTTTGGACCTCCAGTAAGCTAACGTTTTGTGTCCAGCAATCCGTCATGGCAACGACAGTGAGCCCAGCCATGGTGATGGCAAAGAGAGTGCGCTCAATGTCAAAGTTGGCAACATGGCAATTGTCGACACTTCGCCAACTTCTCTCACCATCACGGCCATGGTCAACTTCACTAACCCTACAAACTACTCGGCTACAGTCCCTTACTTCAACATCAATGTCCTGGCTAATGGTTCACACATTGGCAGTGCAACGGTAAAGGACATGGAGGTTGTTCCCGGCAACAACACCAACCATCTCGTATCTCTTCATTGGGACCCTTATGAGTATGGTGGCCATAAAGGAAAGGAGATTGGCGCAGAGCTACTCTCTCAGTACATCTCGGGTACGACCAGATGAACATACCATGGCACACGTAGCATGCTAATACGAAAACAGGCTTCAACACAACCATAACTGTCCAAGCACATGAGCAATCCGTGCCAGCTGCACCCTACATTGGCCGTCTCCTCTCACGCTTTCCTATTGAACGTCCCATGCCGCACTTGTCTACTCCCAAGAAGCCGTCTGATGGCGATGATGATGATGAAGACCCCGATGACGATGGAAAATCACACTTTATTCGCAGCACCACGATGCATCTCATCAGCAGCACTGCAGTTTTCACTCTGGCCTCGCCATTCCGCTCCACGACCTTGTACATCACCAACATGAATGCGACAGCTTACCACGATGGCCATGTGGCTGGCAAGATCCTATATGACCTGCCTTTTGCCGTACCTCCGGGTCTGTCCGAGTCTCCACATTTGCCCGTGGACTGGTCTTTTGGCAGCCTGGGCTACGATGCCATTAAAAAGGCACTTGGCGGGCAGCTCAAACTCAGTGCATTCGCTTATGTTGGTGTACGCATCGGCGAGTGGAGAGAAAATGTTTGGTTCAAGGGGGGTAAGATTGGTGCCAATGTTAGACTTTGAGTTTACTTGACTTGAAGGTGCTGGACACACCTTTCATTCCTTTCACTTTTTGTATAAGTCCCCTCTGGATACAAGGAAGAAAACCGTGCGCCTGGATGCGTTTATGTGTTGTACAACTGAGGAGAGAGGAGTTAGATTGTATTGGTAGGGAGAAGGGTGGGCCGGCAACTTGGCGTTTTACGGATGGGATGGGTTATTTCTATCAAATTGACACACGCATATGTCAGGCATTATGAAATATGAAAATCCACGCAGACAAGACGGACAATTGAATGACTATGGTAAATGTTGGGCACTTGTGTTTGTTGCTCTTTCTAGGAGGGAGACAGAAACGGCTGCACATGCCAAGATTGGTTTCGCAGCTCACGTAGTTATCGATTCCTTTGGTGCGATTGGTTCTTGGACATGCTAGTGCCACGTCGGTCATGCATCTCCAGCACGACTCGAGTATACCCCAGGGCAAAGCTTAAAGGCCGTGTACACGCACGACTAGACAAAGTTTCGTGTCAGATGCTGCAGGAGAGGATTTGATGTGTCCCTGCGCAGTGCAACGGATCTTGCTGTATGCTGTGCCTGGATGCACGAGAAGGTTGTTTTTCTTGCCGATACTCAGGTACATTGCCATAGGTTCGTCGCAGCAGATTCGGGGTGTTGTGATATAACATGATCCGGAGTCTTGGCGCAAGTATAAAAGCCTGTGCCGTCAGTCCCGACGGCGATGCGCCCATATGTCCTCGAGATCCACAGGTCCACAGTCGAGTCTATAGTTCAATCTACGGTGGCGGCCTAGACCCAGGCCAACAACTGTCCAATATTGATGTGCACCACGGCGACATAGTACTAAGCGCTTGTCCCTTCAGGATACTGGGCGGCACCGCTTGTTGCGTATACGAGAGAACATGGGACGTTATTGCCTGGAGCCAGCAGTGTTAAGTCGTACGTAGGCATGACTTGGCTCATGTCGACTGCTGTGCCCCTCAAGACGAGGGACGAGAAGGGCCGAAGGAGCTCCTGCCGTCAATCAAAGAGCAACATTGTCCAAGACCGAGGCGAGCACAAGGCTGTTCCCAGGCGCGGAAGATGGCGGACAACTGTCACAGGTGAGATTGGGCGAAGCCGGCAGGATGAGCATGGAAATTGCTAGAAGCAGATATCGGCCATATTCTTGTGTCGTTGCAATGTGAAGAATCCGGCAATCGTACCCGATCCTGTCGGTCACACCTAGAGTGGGGACCAATGCGGTGGGGGCTCGTGCAAGGCTGCTGATTGGATAGGCCAGGAATCCCATAAAGTAAAGCCGAGCCGCCCTCGTTCGACTTTAGCATGCCGGCTGCCATGGACGTTTCAACAATCAGCACCCTTTCAACATCGACAAATGCCTTCCCCCTCACATCGCCAACGGCGAAAGGGGGGTTTTTGCGCTCCAAATATGGGCCACCCCACGTCCCCTAAGCCCTGGCGCAGATCAAGATCGTGATGTTAGCCGGTTGCGCAATGGTAAAAAAGAAAAGTTACCCTTTCGCAGTTCTCCAGATGGGACAGTGCAGAGATTTACACTCGCATGATTTCTGCATACGGAATGTTTTGTAAGCATGTAACACCTACCAAAGCAGCCAGCGGAGGGGTTAGGAAGGGGGGAGGGGGAACAGAAATTCAAGCTCGTTGTTGTAACACTCTCATCTCCCACCCATCCTTTGCACCGAATATCCAACAATGTGCTCGCCTAGTCGGGAAGATTCGAGATAGGTAGACCAGATAGCCGCGCTGACGTCGTTGTGATGCATTGGTCTTTCGAGTTAAAGGCATGGGAAACGCCGGTGTGTGCGTGGCCCCTGACACTGGTACGATGCGAGTTGCATTGTTTTTGCGATTGTGGCTCTAATTCTCGATCCCAAGGTATTGGCATGTGCCCTCGCAAGACAGGGCTTGAAAGACCGGGTTGTGCGGGGGAATATTCTAGTATTAAACGAGTTAAGAATGTTCATTCAGCTTTTGCTTTTTGTGAATTCCTCTTTTTTACTGTCTTGCAAAACCGTCGGCTTTGCAATAGGTATATGAGAAGGTACCTTTTCCCAGACATTTTGCAGGTTTCTACTACGACTTGACTTTGCTCAATCCTCCTTGCTGCCTCATACACACACACTCTCTCTCTTTCTCTCTCTCTCCCTCTCTCCCTGGCCATGGCTGTGCACAATCTCCCTGCGTTCACCGCAGGACCAGATCCGACGTATTCTCCTCCAGAGAGTGATACATTTCCATCTCCAGACGAGCTCGAATCTCCCTGCTACGGAGACTCGTATCCCCCGTTATCCGAGTACAGCAGCCTAGACAGCAACAGCGGCCCCTGCTTCACTCGGCCCAGCGAACCGGTGGATCCTTCAAACTCTCTCAACTGGAACGCCCCATTATCCAATGGCTTCATGAGCCCCCCCTCCGCCGTAGTCTGTCCGCCCGCCACCCACGGTCTGCCCACAAGCCCCCAATTCGCTCCCATGTGGCAAACCGGCGTGCCCACGCCTCTCAGCACCTCCGGCGACTTCCAGCACGGCTACATATCTCCCGAGTACACAGCGTCAGCCTTCCCCTCAGTCCCCTCGCCCCTGCCCACCCCGAGCAACCACGGCAGCCCCGCCTCTCTGTCCCCCGTAGTAGCCACCAATCCCACCCCTTCCCCCCAGGACCCCATCTCAAAACCCCTCCCCCGCAAGCGCGGCCGCCCTCGCATCCACCGCCCGGCCTCGGAACCCTCAGCCACCGGTAGCACCAGCCCCGCCAAGCACGCCCGGACACAGTGCATGCCACACACCGAGGTCGAGCGCAAGTACCGTGAGAAGCTCAACGCCGAGCTCGAGCGGTTGCGTAAGGCTGTGCCGCTTTTGCCCCAGAGCGATGCCTCGTCCGAGTCGGGAGGCGTCAAGCCGAGTAAGAGTATGGTGCTTGCTGTTGCTATTGATTACATCAAGGAGCTGGAGCGTCAGCGCGATTTGGCAGTTGAAGAAGTGGAGCGGTTGGGCGGGAAGGTCAAGTTTGGGCGGGTAGGCGGCTGGCGGAGGGGGAGTGAGGATAGTTGAGTTGGAGTGAGTTCCCTCTCTCCTCCCTTCCTCCCCCCCTTTTTTTTCTTGTCCTTGAGGGAGGGGAGGCTGGGGGTGTTGAGGCAGAAAAAAGTCGACTTTCTTTACCTGGTTTGGTATCATCGTTTGCATACCCTCGGGCGCTTTCGACATTGAATTACTCCACTCGTTGAGGGCAATGTGTGGAGAAACGTACAGGAGCATATCTGTTTCTTTTTTGGGGAAAAACTATGCTTCCTCGCGGAATGGGAAAACCCTTCGTCAACCTATTTTTCTCCTGGGACATAGAGGCGAAGAAGGATACATTTTTTGTTTGTTTTTTCCTTTCTAATTTTTTTTGTATTTTATTTGAGAACACGGATACCCACTTGATTATATATCAAATTTCGAGCACATGGAGAGAGCCTTTCGCTTGGCCTCTCGAATGAAAAAATTACTATTATATACACGCATACATGGATTGGTGACATGGGAAGGTTTGGAAATTATGGATGGTGGTTGGGGAACTTACCATAGAGAGGTTAGTTGAGGCAGGTTTGTCCTGCCACTAATTTAGTTTACAATTACAGACGGAAGACCCTGGTCTCTAGCGGCAGGGCATGGGCGTCTGAGTACAATCAACTACTTAATACATGTGGGTGTTTGGTATAAGCTCAATGGAAGCACAGGCTGTGTAACTTACAGGGCAGAGCAATATGATGATTATTTTGTTTAAAGAGACACGGGCTGTAGTGAAAGGAGGCTGGTGATAGAACCTCAGGGATAGACCAGGCGGTTCTGACAATACACAGGGGCAATAATGGTAGGAACATTGCAGTCTAAATATCACCACCATTCAACCAAGTAGTTCTTCGGACTACAAGTAAATGCATATACAGTCGTGATATTATATTAGGGGGTTTACTTATAGCGAGCTTCCAAGAACCTCTTCTATAATAGCTCTTTATTCCACCATCCTTCTTTGATACCCGATTCCACCAGGTTGGGGATGTGGAGCCTGCCATTCTTTTCCAACAAAAGGTACTTCGATATATTATGTCCCAGACAGGTATCCAAAAAAAAATTCCAAGCAATCCTGCTGGCTGGTGCTCCCAACCGAATACAGTCTCTGAGCAGAGTCGTGTATGCTCAGAGCCTGTTAAGCAAACATCGATTGCAAATCTTGGTCCCGCACGTCAAGCAACTATTCACGAATCTGAGGTGATAATCACATATTCCACATACTTCGTAGCCGCCATCCTCGCCAAACGCTCGTTGCCAGCGGTGGTGACATTCGCCAGAGAACTGTCTGGCACTCTCGTCTGCGGTTTGATCGTTGGGAATTGCAAATCCTCCAGCCACGATTCCGAGCCGCATGCGCAGAGCTTCCTCGAGTGTTTCAATCTCTTCAGGCATGGCGATTTGGTTGCGCCGGCCGTTGCTGGCTTGTCTGTTGGCGATGAGGCGGCCTTCATCCATGTGGGGGCAGTAACAGGTCTTCCATAGCTTTGCGCATAGGTAGCAAAACTCCGTGCCGCATCGGCATCTATCACGCTGTCAGCGGGGGGAGGGTCAAACGCATTGTGTACTTTGTTCTTACCGCATGTGATAGCAGCCCGTGGCTAGCTCGATCATTGTTCTGCAGTTGGGGCATCGCTGCCAGTCCTCTTCGAGAGCTACTTGTATCAATGCCTGAACCGATAGATCACTTGGGCACACCCCGTTGTGTCTCGGATTTTGACAAATAGCGCAAGTATCCTTTTGGCAAGTTGAGCATACTGCAATATCAGCGGTGATGTTGCAAGGCTCGATGAACTTGGCACAGCTTCGGTTGCTGCAATATACAGGATTCGGCGTCGTTAGCTCCATCTGTTTTTCCTCGTATTCTGCCATCAGTGATGGTGGGCATAGTTGCTTGCAACGAGATATAGGCAGGGATTCGCCGCAGCATCGAGGTGGGAAAAGGGTAGTGTCTGCGAGGCTAGTGTGAATCAAGTCAATCAAGCACATCCTGCAGTAGGCGTGAGCAGAGTCCTCTGTCGAGCGCTTGCAGGAAAGCTCGAGCGCATCGAAGCGCGGACACAGTTCCATACAGGCAGAACACACGACATGGGTAGCATGCTCGCCGTCAGTTGTTGCCTTCCCTTTGCCTTTTCCCTTGAACTCGGAAGGGCCAGACTCGCTGTAGGGATCATGGTTGGACGCGGCAGCTGATGCAGTGTCATGTTTGGTGTGTTCATGAGTGCCGGTTAATCCCAATGCCTTCTTCAGTAGTTCCAGCCTTTGCATTGGGCTTAGATCCTGGTGGTCATCATCGACCCTCGGTGATTGCATCATGTCGTTTCTCTTCGCTGAACGCGGTAGCGGGGTGTGTTCATCATCGACACCGCTCAGTCCACCTGCAACACCGTGGTCCTCTTCCGCTTGCCTCTCTTCGCGAAGAGATTCGGTAACCACAGTTCGATTATCTCGATCTTCTCTGAGATCCATAGCAAAGACCTGGTCTTGTAAGAATAATAAACTGTACTCCAGTTCATCATGCAATATCATCAAAGCCTTCCGCTCATCTTCTTCTTTCAACTCTTGCAGAGCTGATTGGATGTCGGCAAGCTGCAACTGAATCGCCAGTCGTGCTGTCCTTGGATGAATACCCACCAGCTCCATGATTGCTTGCGGGCGAGGGAAGAGGGGCGGGGGGTTACCTACTTTTACGTTGAGGTAAGAAAATGCAATTTTCTGCGATAGCACTACTGCGTGGTTTGAACAGCTATCGGGAGTTTCTCCCTGAGTCTCAGAGTGGAGACAGCGAGCTGTACTCAGTCGCGGTATCAAATTGTTGTGAGCTTTATGAGAGATGCTGGTTTCATTTTCTGACTATGTTATAACAGCTTGTTAGTGGTTTGTTGCAAATAAAATCTTGTTAAGCTTTGATAAACACTCACTCCGTTGAGATTGGATACGTAACCACGGAAGCGTGCGAGCCTTGAACTGAGGACCATGCAAAAGCACAGAATGTGGACAATTTTGTTGCGAAAAAAAGGAAAGATTAAGTGACAATGAGGCTTTGTGCACAATGTTGACGGGAATTTTGATTGTTTTGTGTGGGAGCTTCGCAAGTGAGGTGTAGTGAAATACTGTTGTGAAAGTGCTTGAGCACGTGACTAAGCAAATGGATTGCATGGCAACAAGATCTCACGGGCCACCTGTGCCCTTCACTCTACCTCGATTGAGCAAAATGAGCGTCAGAAGGCACTCATTTCGAGGGAAGTGGGATACCGCGGTCAAGCTACATGGGTGTTGAAGCACTGGAGGTCAGAGCTCTATAGTTTTAGATAATCATGTGTAGTTGAATTGCTATATTGGTTATATTGACTACTCGCTTCCTGTTTAACGTAGAGTTGGGTGTTTGTGAGAACTTGACAACGACGACGTAGTTCATACTTCCTCTGTTTACGTATTCAAGAGTATGCGCTAGTTTTCCATAGCATGCAATAGAATATATGTACATATGTTGATTTCAACCTCCTTCCTCATGCTCTTTCCTTGAACGGACATAGCGATTGAAGTAATTTGTGTACCTGCACATTTACTAGTCAAACCGCTAGCGAGGAAAGCAGGGTGTACGATATCTACACATAAGTTTCCATTGTACTCATATTTGCATGATTTCCATCATTTCTGAACACCATAGAATCTGTCTCTCATCCGAAAAAAATTCTATACTACGCAAATGGATAAGGAACTGTGGATGTAGTATGAATGATAGCAACTCAAGCGATCAACACCAACCATAACCCCATCACAATCCGTACAACCCCCAAAAAACCCAAAAAACCCCCAGAAACACACCAACATCTCTACCTTCTCCCTTCTCTATCCTCACCTAAGCCCCCTCAACCCGCGCAAAACCCTGAGATCCCCATCTCACCCAACCTCCCCGTGTCACCCGTACCACGCTCCCGGGTCAAACCCCCCCACCCCACTACTACCTACGACCCCCACCACTCAACCCCAATGCATCCTTCCACCCACCTCTTCCCCGGCCAACCAAACCAACGACCCAAAACAATCGCGCAAGCAAGACCTACGTAAAAAAAAATGGCGCTGCAACCCGCTATTCTAGCTCAAATGAGTGAGCAGGACGAGGCGGGGAAGGTGGTTAAGACTTATATTTTGTCTTCTTCCTCTACGTCGTCGGGGTTGGATAAGCATGGGGCGAACAAAAGGGTCGATATTATTGTACGCATTTCCTATGTTCTTTCATTCATTTTTGTTTTTTCATGTGGGAAGTGCACTAGTGCTCTCTACTTTGAATGCTGTATTATTTTTTTTGGTCGTTGTTGCTAATCAGTTTGCATGACGCGTTACTACTATAGGTACCCGAGCAAGCGCACAAAAGCCTTCTCCAGTACGTCGTTGATGTGTTTTTGCCGACGGGGTTTCCGCAGAGTGTTACGGAGGATTATGTCGAGTATCAGATTTTTGTGAGTCGGCTTTCTTTTCCCGTCACTGGAGGGTTTCGTGCGCGTGCGGGGAAGGGGGGTGAGGAAGAGATGCTTGAGAAAAGAGAGGGGGGAGAGGGATAGAATGGATAGGATTGGGGATAACGATATACACAGGATTCACTTCAAGCATTTTCATCGTCGATTGCGGGTATGTTGGCTTCGAGGGCGGTGTTGCAAGGTTCGTTTCTTTTAATTATCTATTTTTTTGCCTACTCTATCTTACCCATACCCCTCATTCTCGAACATCGTTTCTAACTCACCCAAGGTGTGGGCGTGGGTGATTCCAATGCCACGCCCACAGCCGCGCTGCTCCTCTCCGTCCTCCAGGAATCCGTGGGCCGCATGGCAACAATAGCCTTTGCGGATCGATTCGGCACTGCACTCGAGCCAGAGTGCAAAATGTACCGTCTCACCGCTGATATCTTGAATGACTCAGGAATGATTCTCGACTGCCTGAGTCCTGGATTCCCTAAGCCGCTGCGGGTAGCTGTATTGAGCTTTGCGAGCTGTCTGAGGTCACTGTGTGGTGTTTGTGCGGGGAGCTCAAAGGCGAGTTTGAGCGCGCATTTTGCTACTGCGGGGAATTTGGGAGAAGTCAATGCTGTGAGTTTGATTACCCTTTTTTCTTTTTTCTTCGCTGCTCTTTTAATCAATCGAACACATGTCGTGTATTGTTGGGGTTCGTTGTCTCCTCTCAATTATCGCCGGGTAAGCTGGAAGCAAAAACGGGAGGGCAGCGAGTCAAGAAAGATAGTAAGCCGTGTTCAGTAAATGGATTTAGTAGAATCGGGGTCATGAGGACATGGACAAGAGGAGAAACTTCAATCAGGGGTCGTTAAAACAGCAACGTCTATACGGAGATATACTTGCGAGGCTAACGGGAGTTTCAATAGAAAGACTCCAGCCAGGAAACAGTCATATCCTTGCTAGGCATGTTGGTAAGTACCTACCCTCATTTATCTTATCTCTCTCCCTTCCCCTCCCCTCCCCTCCCGCCGTTTGTTCGAAGTCGTGAACGGCCAAAAATACAAAGTAGAATGCTGGATTAACAACCGGACGATCAAACACAGGCAGGGAGCTTTGTGGTATCGCACATCACATCGGATCTAGCAACTTGGTGCACGCTTATACTGCTTTTGGTCATACATCTGGCCACAAATTACGCCGCAGTGCGAGCCGTCAGCATGCAATCGCTTAATCGACAAAGAGCCAATATTCTCTTCAGTCACATTTTGCAGCATGGAATAGTCCTCAGCCCCAAAGAGGTGTCTGCGCGTGAACGCATCTTTGAAAGGGGTGGCGTGCTGCGGTGGGCAGATGACGAGGTACTCGGCAAGTGTAGGATTGGTACCTCTCTGTCGGAACTGCTAGGTCGGATTGGTAGACGTGATAAGCTGAGCGGGTCACTGGCGTTTTGCAGCAATAGTGGCGGCGATGGCGAAAGCGAAGTCGATGTATTCGATTTACTGAGCATTTTCAAGGCCGAGGATTACGTGCTTTGGGCAACTGAGGGACCTGCCGCTTACGAAGCTGTCATCGTGCTCAAGGCTGGGTGCGGACCGATTGATCAGCTTAGGGCGTGGGCACATGCACTGCTTGCTGCGGAGAGAAGGCAACGTGGTGGTAATGGTGGAGGAACAAGAGGTGGGTTAGGGGGTAAGCCGGACGGTGAGGTAGCGTCTGGGGCGGCTAAGGCGGCAACAAAGCATGGGTTGATGGGTGAGCTAAAAGATACGCTGTACGAGGTGCGGAGGATGTTTGACAAATACGGCGACGAAGTGAGGGCCAAAGGATGGAATCTTGATGTTGCCGCGCTCGAGACCAAGGCTGGGATGCGGCTGCAGATTACACCAACGGGGCCATGCACTTCCGATTAACGAGCATTTGAACTATTGGTATACTACAGCAGTTAGAGCGACGCTCCACCCCGTCTGTCCCACACTCCCAAGAAAAGTGTGAAACAAACCAAGGGCGTGGAAAGCATGGGAGTCCCCACGAAAGTCATGTTCCGGGGAGACAGGTAGCCCGAGCGGTTCCACAGACCGTGTTACAGGCGGCTTAGGTAAAACGTCGCTCGGCTACTAGTCAGCTAGATTCCATCATCGTTGTCATCACACGCGCGGCTTGGGGGACAAGCGAGGCTCGAACTGGCCGCATAGGATCGACGCCGGCATGTGGCTCGAGACATATGTTTGAAGCATGTTTGATTGACCGTCAGCATGTCGCCTTTTTGCCGCCTTTGTTTTCCCCCTTCTCTACACTCTACTCCAAATGGGGGTTATTGTCAAATCAATAGTATCTTGTTGCTAACCCGCACATGATCCGTGCCTGGAAAGGAATGGTGTCAGCGCGCTCCATCTGGGCCGGTTTCAAATATACCTAGCCTTTTTTGGTCCGGTCAGCTATGACTGCACCACCGCCGGGTCCATAACCACCATCAAAGGAAAATCAAAAAGAGATGGAGAGAGAGAGAAAGGTGATTGCGGTCTAAGCTCCTTGAGAAGAGCCTAGCAGGCTAAAGGTGAAATGCGGGAATCAGCCTCTGCTCTCTTTCGGTCTCTGTCTATCTCGCTCCCGTGCCTAGGGCCTCAGGTTCCACCTGGACGAATATGCGATGCAACATCATCAACACGGCTGACACGGTCATATAAGACGGGTATATTGTTTGCAATCAAGCGGCCGGTGCAGTCCAAATTGCTTTTCCCGAAAACGTGGTCGTTGGGAAAGGGAAGCCTGCGGCTGAGAGGCTCCAGCGGGACAGAGAGCAAGAGCAAGAGAAAGGGAAAAAAGCAGCCAAGTTCTGCATAGTCGGCGCCACCGTATGCAAGGAGAGGGTAAGCCGTGCCGACCTCAGGCTCGAACGCAAGCGTGTGCACATGGATGCCAAGTCAGCCACTTGGTTTCATCCACGGTGCTTGAACAGACGTGAGAAATGGGGAAGCCAAAGGCAAAGAAGAAGAAGAAGAAGGAAAAAAAAGCAAACGCCACGAAGCGGTGAAGCGGAGAGAAGATGCGAGACATTTTCTTTCCGACTTAGGACCAACGACCACAAAGCGGTCCACAAGCTGCGTCATGGCAGGTTTTCTCTTAAGGCTACTGAGCCGAGTTTGTCTTTGTTTGGGCGGAACACAAAAATTTTCGGTAGTCAGGAGTTCTGGAACTTGGGTAAGGACTGAATCGTTGAGTCGGCTATTGTCGGAAAGAGGGAACACGAAGCGGCGAGGCGCAAAGCAAGAGCGAACACGGCAGGTAGTGTAAACAAGGCAGGCAGGGACATGCAAAGTGCAACAACAGCGGCAAGAGGCTCGCCAGATGGGCCGAAGCAGCATCCCAACAGCATAAGGATGCGTCGGATGTGTGGGCATGTCCGAGGTGAAGATGAGATGACAGGCATTTGTGTTAGTAGGCCGGGTGTTATGCGGCATGGTCGATAGATCGACAGGTAAGAGCGGGCAGACGGCCCTAAACGACATCAGGCAGGATTCTAGAAAAGCGCAAAAGCTTCGAGAAGTCTTCTTCGATGACACGACTGCCAGAGCAGAAGGTGAGCAGGCAGGGGTAAGCGGTGTGTGGTCTGACCAAGTGGGTTTGCATAGGAGGGTATGATGGCAGCTAGCAGAAAAAAAAGCCAGAGTCGGACCGTGACGGACAGCGGCGGAGGGCCGAGGGAAGGGCGGAGGGTGGATGGGCCATGGAAGTCTAGAGAGAGAGAGACTATGTGTGTGGGCTTGGGGAAAGCATGAACAACAGAGGGGAAGGTATACAGCAAGGGTGGAGAGGAGAAACATGGCATCTAGAAGAGTAGGTAAGGCACTAAGGCCGCAGACTGGAATCTCGATTGCGTAGTAGAGACAGCGTGCGGATCATGGATGCACATGGCTGAGGATTGTCTTGTGTCAGGTATTTGTGGCTATACGGAGACGGCTCCCGGCCAGACGTGTGGGCATGGACGCGTTTGTCCCCAGGCATAGGGCCAATGCCAAGCCTGTGGCCGTGCACGGCCCGTTCGCCTGTCTGAGGAGAGCAGGTGGGCATGATTGGCCGTGGGTGACGAGGCCCAAGGCGAACGTTGCATTGCACCAGCGACGGCGCTGGCAAGCGTGTCGACGGCGGTTGGGTGAGTCGGGTCGTTGAGTGCGTGAGTGCGCGAGTGCGTAGTTGTGTGGCTGGCTCATGGACAAAGCACGACAAGTACCGACATAAGTACACACACATTATGAGAGAGTCAGTGTATACAGACGGCGAGCGTGGGCGTGGACGTGGGCATGTGGCATGTGGCAGAGTCATCAGAGTCATAGGGTGGATTAGTGAAGCCGTCGGGCGAGTCGGGCGGCGGCCGTCGTTTTGCCGTCAAGCGGAAGCCTCAGGCCTCAGGCGTGCATACTGCTGCTCGTCTGGCTCACTCATGCTCATTGTTGCGTACATGGACTGCATGCTAGTAGTTTTGTCTGTGTGGAGAGGCCGCGGCCGCGGCAACCAAGACAGCTAGCAGCGGGTGTACGCGCAACAATGCGACTGCAAAAGGAAAGAGTCGACACGGCGGGGGGCCATGGTGTAGTAGGCCTTTGATGCTTGGATGGAGAGAGAAAAGGGCCGAGCGAGGGCGCGGACATTAGGGCGAGAAAGAGAAAGAGGATGACGGCGGCGGAGCGACAGAGCAGCCGACGACGGACAAGGCTGCTGGGGTCAGATAACAACAACAACCGTGCTGGGCTGCAGCAGGCAGTGGCAGTGGCAGTGGCCGTGGCCGTGGTACTACTCTACTGGCACCCACGCCGTCGGAGCAGGCCAGAGGATAGCGTCGTCGTCCAGCATGCCGGTTGCGTTTCTTTTTGGGGTTGGTTTTTTTTTTTCTTTCTTTCTTTCCTTCTGTTCCTGTGCAGCGGTCACGGGACTGGCGGGGCGGGGGGTGGGGAGCAGAGCAGTGACAGTGGAGTGAGGATGGAGTGAGGGTGAGGATGATGGCAGCAGTTGGCATCCCAAGGCAGGCAGCGAGGAGCAGCGGGCGTCGCATTAGCAGTCGCACATACAGGGACGGGTACACAAGACAAGCTCAGCAGCAGCACCATGACCACATCGGACGTGGCGAATGGTGGAGCAGGGCGCCAGCAGGCGAGGGGGCGCGCAGTTTCGGCCGGGATGGTGATGGTAGTGGTGGTGGTGCGGTGCAGCGGTGCAGCGGTGCAGCGGCGCTGGGGCGGGCGTGCGTCTTCCAGAAGGCAGCGGCGGCCAATGGCAGCGAAGGCGCGCGTGGCCGCTTTTAGCAGACGAAGCCGTCCTGTCCTCATGCTCCGTGATGGCCAAACCGCTGGGTGGGGACGGGCCCGTGCCCTCTGACTGAGCTTTCTGCCCACGCATGGGCCCTAAGACGCCAGCGACCGACTCCCTGACTCTCGACGGCGCTTCGCTCAAAACCACGCTGAGCCGCAGATGCACCACGTCCTGTCCTGACGCACATCCACCGCCCTACCTGGCTTACTAGTACCACCACCACCACCACACATACACATACACACTCACCCCCCCACCCACACACACCCACACACACACCCACTATACAAGCACACCCGCCCGCCTTCCACCAATCCAGCCCTCGATGCTGCTGCCGTCGACGTCCTAATCCACCCACCCTTCCGCTGGCCTGTCGACACTAGGTTCTCGCTGAACCGAGTGCCCTCCCGCCGTCAAGCTGGCCCAACAAGTCCACCTCTGTCCCTGCGACGGCTTCGACGAGCAGAGCAGGAACAACGCCCGCCGTGTCTACAAGCACTTCTGGAAAAGCGTCATGGTCACCCGGAAGCCCGCCGCACAAGCCCTCTCCATAAAGACGTCGTCGACCGCCTCGAGCTCCCCCGCCCGCTCTCCCGTCGACTTTGACGGCCACCACTCCAACATGGCCATGGCCGATTACCACCATGCGCAGCCCGCGCCCTTGACCGTCTCCATACCCAAGAACATTCCCAGCCCACAATGCCGCAAACCAAACCTCGCAGAGATACTCAACAATACCGCCCCTCCTCCATACACCCTCACTTCCTTCATGGCCTTTCTCTCGCAAAACCACTGCCTCGAGAACCTCGAATTCACAATGGACGCCTCCCGCTATCGCAAGCACTACTCCAAGATGGTCAGCCGCCATCCTGGCAGCCCAATCTCACCGCTGTCGGACGAGTGCGCCTACGTCCTCATGCTCTGGCGTCGCTTGATCGATGCCTACATTCGCGAGTCAGGCCCGCGCGAAGTAAGCAACTGCTGCCCACAATCGCTCCTTCCACCCCCGCCAACGTACTAACCAACCCCAGGTCAATCTTCCAGCCGAAGTCCGCGATAACCTGCTCAGCCTCTCCGACTCCTACGTCCCTCCCCACCCATCGTCATTGGACAGTGCTGTGGCCAAGATCAACGAGCTCATGGAAGAGAGTGTATTAGTCTCGTTCCTGAACTCGGTCAGCCCACAGAGTGCACATCCCACCATCGGCCACGACAGCTATGCCGGAAGTAACATTTCGCGCTCGTCGACCCGCAGCTATGAGGAACGAAGCATGCTCTCTCGTGCTTCACACCCGCCAGTCCCTGCCCACCAACGCGCATCTGCGCCTTCTTCGCTCACTTCTGGCTTCATGCAATCCCGCCCATTCTCTCACGCCCGTTTCCACTCTCAGCCAACGTCGTCCGGCCCGCCACCGGCAACCCGCGTCACCTCGGGCTACACAAGCGGCAGTGATGCATTGACCGATGACTCGGGCAGTGCAAGCAGCCCATCTGGCATGAGCGATCCCCTCACCCCACCCGGTACTCCGCCTGTGAGCGAATACCCCATGACTGACTTCCACCATGCCTACTATGACAACGCTCCGGGCAGCGGCACCCCCAGCCCCCGCAACAGCCGCGGAGAGCACAATGGGCTCGCTAGCGCTACTAGAGATAGTTGGAAGCGAGTCAGTAGCAAGCTATGGCCCCGCAAGAAGAGCGGTAGCCAGCTCCGCGACGACGAGCCAGGCGTCATTGAGGGAGGCCTCTTCTGAGCCCATACCCAATGCACCCTCACTATTACCACCACTACCACTACCACCACTACACCCACCCTCATTTCCATGTTCAAAAGCACACGATTACGACGATGCAATCAGAGCGACTTGTATCATTTGAATTATGCATACTGGGCTGCATGTCCATCGGCGTCACTAGTTTTTTCTCCATATCTGCGGTCCTCGGCATGCAACGGCGCATCTGGCTCACGACCCGGCGAGGTTGTTTTGTTTTCGGCGTTCCCCATTTTCAACGACTAGACATTCACACGGGCGTTGCAAAACTCGTCCTCAGGCTCATGCACACCCACTGTGGCTTGGTGCTGAGCAATTTGGCGGCGTTTTCAGTTTGACATTGATCAAGAGTGTATCACGACCGAAACCCGGCTGGGTATGATTTTGATACTGGCTTATTTTATATTGACGTGTATCATTACGGCTTCTCCTTTCTTGTTGCTTCTCCCAAACACGCTCCTGAGGAGTCTTTTAGAGTTGAGAAGCAGAGGCGTTTTTTTCTTGTTCATAAGGGTTTTGACGACGGGTTGAAGCAAAGTCGGATTCAATTTAGATACCAAAGGCGCAAGAGAAGCGCTAGAGAATCATGACTACATTACGGTTGGTTTCCAACCTGATAAAACACCTGGTCTTCCTGCATTACTGTCTGTGCTGCATTTGCTGGTATGTACTTAGTGCTAGTTGCGCTGGCACGGAACTACCATGTCGCTCAGTCTTCTTACCCGAGGCATATGCAATAGGACGCCTATTTTTTTTTGTCCCCCTTCCTAACCAGTTGCCCAGCACTGTTCGTCCCGGGTATGCACTTCGCAGCCAGAAAAAGCTTCCCCGCCACCCCCTTGCCTCGACATTCTAGCCCCAATCCCGTGGCCTTGGGGACCACCGTTCGCCCACTCAACGACGTGGTGCGGGAAGGATTTTTGGTCTGCAAGGGGTGGCCGGACCCAGTGATTTGGGGTAGAATTGGTTGAGGATGGGTTGGAGGTTGGGGTATTGTGCGTAGATGAGAAGGGCAATAATGAGGGGGACACGGTTGGAGAGAGTGGTTTGCTGTGTGTTGGAGAGAATTTGCCTCTGTGGTGTTGAATGCGCTACCCAAAGTAAGAGAGGCTACTACTACGAGTTGTTTGGTTCTCGGGACTACAAGTTGCTCCGCAGTCACACCGATCATGCACATCCTTCCACCACTTCTCTCCTATGCTATCAGCTCTACGTATCCACCGCTCCCCTTTTTTCTTTTTCTGTTGGTTTTCTTCGTGCAACGAGAAGATTACTTGCATCAAGGATATGCATAGAATGCAACATGGAGTTTACCTCCCTCTTCAGTACATGACTCTTTCCCCTTTTTCTTTGTGCTATATGCTCTTCTCTGTATATCAAAGATCTGGCCTAGGTAATTTCCACATTTCGTGTATCTCTACAATATCATACTGGTTCTATACATGGCCCGTGTTGCATTGGCCCGTCGCTCGCTTTCACGAGCAATTTCGGCACTTGGAGGATCCGTTTTTCGCTTATCGCGGAAACCCATCTATGGCGGCAGTCGAGCAGAATAGCATGCATTTGCAATTCAGATATTAGACACAAGCACTTGGCAGTGCTCTGCAGCTGGGGTGGTGAAACAAAAAAGGGTCCTAGGCACGGGGGCGGCGGGCTGGTATGATACGGGTCGTCAGGCGTGACATGTTTGAGATGGGAGACGGTTGCATGAATCAGCGGGCTGGGCCTGCACGGGCGGTGAGGTGGGCGCACACCTAGTGGAGGCAAGCCCAGAGGTCAACGGGCGCTGTGGATACGGTGTATGGCGTGATAGTCAGGTGTTCAGTGGTGTGGAACAGCGGAGTTTGCGCACAAAGTCCGCTTGGGAGGAATGGCCCCAAGGCCGAGTCGTGCTCACTATGCCTTTCACCAACCAGACTATTACGTCTTGTAAGCGAAGGAGGATTGGGATAGCCCGCTATGGTCTTTCGAACCACACTGCCCAGCTAATCGTCTCACTGTCGCAGCGCCGTTAAACCAAAATGCCATGCACGACATAATTGCAACCAACCAAATCCGCACTACTTAGCTAGGCAAGTAGGAGTATGCCTAACTCGACTCGACTCGCGACACCCCCAAGACGTCACTATACCCACAAATTCCCTTGGTATCGTTACGGTTGCACCCAATGATGCCACTTCGCCCCTCTTCCCTCGACCCCCCACAGCCTGGCACTTATTCCCGCAGCTCTTGCACTTTCCTCATCCATCCAAGTTCACACACATGCACACATAGCACACCATGCTATCGGCATATTGAGCGGCATCGCACATGCTCTTGCCGCAAAACCACGCACGCAGGCCGATCCTCCCTTGACCTGCCGCATGTGCAATCACGCGCCGACTGCTCTGGCTATCCCGCCCACGGCCAAAAAAAGAAATAGATGTGCAGTTGTGGTCCAAGTACTACACCTAGTCTACTACTTAGTGCCCTCCCAAGACAATGTCCGCCACATTTCGGCAACTCCCGCGCAACAACGAAGCTTGACTTTTTTGCGATATTTTAACAATTTGCCATTTGCTTTTTCCATCTTCTTTGCTCTTGCTCTGCGCTTTTGGTTCTGATCTAATTGACTCTTAGCGTGAATGCACGCATTGAAAGCAAAGAGAGCGATAAAACGTCACCAGGCCGTTTCTCCTCCCCCAGTTTACAGATTTGTCAAAGAATAGCATACATGCCTCACCCCAAAAAAACCTATGTGTTTAATAACCCACTTCCCCGGTTCATATGTATCTTGCCTCTTTTACCCCAATCATTCGAGCAAGGATTATACATCGGCATTGCGTGTGCGTGTGTCAAGGCCAAAACGCAGAAAAAGCCAATGATTTCTTTTCTTTTCTCCTTCCCAAGTCCGTAAGTATGCAGGGTCGCAAAGGGAAAAGAAGAGAGGCCCATGGGTTTTTGCTCCGCGGAATGCATGGTGCATGGGAAGAGGGGTCATGGCGCAGAAAAGTAAAGAACTAGCGGGTATTGCAGAACCCCTCTTTTTTTTCCTCTTGGGCTTGGGCTATTTACATGGGTGGGGGGAAGCGCAGAGCGGGTAGCATGACGAAATATCGGAGGGGTAGGAGACAAGGCTATGCGCCCGCTGATTTCTAACCTGGACCTATGGCAAAAGCAGTCCCTACCCGCGTCAGCAAACGACGGCAAGTGGGATACGGCAAACTGTTGTGTTACTGTTACCTGACGATCCCCATTTGCCTCCTCACTTTGAAGTAGGACAGACGCATGCACGTAGTACACGGAGAGGCGTGTAGATCACGGCATTTCTTTCAACTTCTCGAAGCCTTCCAGAAGAGCAACCAGGTGGCCTTGATTTCCCACGTGTCACCACCACGCTCTTACTTCTTTTATTATTCGATATGCTTCCCTTTTGCTGGCCTTACGCGCGGCTGAAAGCGGAAAAGTAGACGGGCCAATGCACGTCACTCGATTCGCGATTGCATATACTGACGTGTGAGAATCGTAATACCGCTGGTATCGATTATGTATGCCTACGGATGCAGGCGGTGCGTGTGGGTGCCCAGCTGCTCGGGATGCTCGGGATGGTGGTGGTGGTGGGGGGCGATATGTCGAGGGTTAGGCTTGCTTGGGGAGTATGTAGTATGTACCTGCTCTATTGTAGAGTAGGATAGAGGGGAGTGTGGTAGTGCAGCCAAGGCTTTGATATAGTAGAAATAAATAGGTAGTCGTTTTGCACTTATTACAGCCAGTGTATTCATCACATAGCCATTTTGCGTACGATCTTTCCATCCTGCTAAAACTCCACTCATCTTCTTTTCTTTTACACAATAGCATCTACAGGACTTGCAGCAGCATCATCTTCCCACCCAGACCCACACAAGGGCCTTTTGGCTATCTCCAAGTTCCCCAAACGGAACACAACGGCATGGTGCAGATGCTGAGCATCCAGTTTAAACCCTATTTTCTTTCGTTTTATGTTGCTGATTCCACTACTCAGTCTGCTTACTGTGACCCCGCACGGCTTCAAGATACGAAGATACACGTACTCACTTGTACCAATAAAGAAAGAAAACAATAGGATTGGCTACTTTTTCATCGTAGATACGAGGCGATAGTCAGCTTGTTTCGTTTTCCCTCGCCACTCCCCAGCCAATCAAAGTGCTGGGCGCAAAATCCAACTCCACGGAGCAAAAACAAAAAAAGATATTATATATGCAAACTTGCGTATTCCCAGGCCGTCAAGAAACAAATAAAGTAAAGAAAAAAAAGACACAAGATAGAGCATGCGCAAGCAAGCAAGTTGGAATTCACGATACATTGAGACTACCATCTCCATCCCTCCCCTTTTCGCCTCTCATCACCCCCGCACCGATCCGCATCGCCTCCCCCAATCCCAACCCCCGCAACTCGCGTCTCCCCCCCGTCTCTAATTCGACACTCCGCCCGCATCACAAACCCAAACCCCCAAACCCATGCTCCTCATCCCCCTCATTCCCCCTTCATGCTTCCTCTCTCTCTCTCTCTCACACACACACACACACACCCAAATACAGCCCTCGGTTACTTGCATCCAAGCCCCCCCCCCCGGCCTAAACCTGGCCAGACGCAGAGAGAGAGAGGCACCAGGGATGCGGCCAGCGGAGAAAGAGAGAGGAGGGGGGGAAGGGGGAAACTATGCTAGCAATGCCTAGCTAGTTTTTTCTGCGCAAAAGCAGCAATGCATTGATCGGCGCTTTCCGCAAGCAGCCAAGATGGTCGATATAGGGCGCATGCACATGCACATGCACATGCACATGTCTATCTTGCCCTAGTTTACAAGCCTCTGGGAGAAGGAGCCAGGTGTATGCTTCTGTCTTGGTCAGCGGAAGCTAGCGGACAGCGCGAGAAAGTGAGTGAGTGAGAGCGTCGAGTTCAAGTCCGCATGTGTGCAGTACTTGCTTGCTCGTCCGACAATTTTTTTTCTACTAATTGCTATTATCGCTTGTCTGTCGAGTCGCGCTGTTCTTCCTTTTTTTTTCTCTCCAGAGAGCAAACAAGGATACGAGTACTAGCATGCTTGCACGCTTCGTGTTGATCTGTGCGTTGTTCCCACGCTACTACGCTACGGTCGATGGGGGGGGGGGCGATGCAATGGCGGACTTGCTAGGTAGCAAGGCAAGGCCATTGTACCCTTAATTGGGGGGGTTGCCAAGATTATACATATGATCATCTTAGCATGATTATACATAATATACAACAAGGATGTGTGCAGTGCACAGAGACAAGAGAGAGAGAGAGGGAAAGGTTGTTGTTGTAAATGGTAACATCAATTTCCAACCCCCGCCGCTCCTTTCTTTCTCCGCATGTTTTACAATGTGCCCCTCCACTCTTTACCGCTTTGGGGTTAAGGGGAGAAAGACAAGTTTGGGCGGTTTGATTTGTTTGAGTTTAGCAAAAATGCTTGTAGTTATAGAATAGTAATCTCGGTCTCGAGCAACAGCGCGCGTGCGCGCGTCTGTGTGTATGTGCGCGTGCACTGTTGTTCGATCGGGCCGGTCGGGGCCCGGAAGACGGGGGCATGGGCCAAGATGGACATGGTAAAAAACTAATAAAATTGATTTTATATGCTTTGTTTCGCTTTCGTTTAGCTACTCAGCTACGGGTTGGTTGATGGGTGATGACGATGATGACGGGGCGGGCCATTGGGGGGGGGTTGTCATCTTCGTGCTTCTCGGACATTTGGGCAATTCAGGGTAAGGCGACGGCACGCGGCGGATATAACCAAAGGCTAAGGACGTCAGGCACGGGTCGGGGCTTGCAAACTTGTGTAGGTAGAGTAAGCAGGGCGCGGGTTGTATTGCATGTGCATGTCCGTTGCCACTATATTGATAGCATTACTTAGTTTGCCATTGCCATCTCCCCTGTATTGGGCGTTACAACTTGCAGTGGTAGCAAGGGAGATACGAATGGATCAGCACTCTCAACGTCCGTACACATCGATCGAAGTAGGAGTAGGCTGACCATTGCATACGACTTACGTTTCTTTGCCAATGCTTACTTAGGTTTGTTCGTGTCATCTCACTTGTTTCAGATGGCGTAAACAACCGCCCTTACAATGTGTATACGCATTCCTGCCATGCAGTTTGCGTGTTGGGTACCTCTGCTTACTTACTACTGGGCAAGACCGGCATGCCCAGAAAAGGCGTTTCGGCAGCCAAAAGGTTCGACCGAAAGCCACACACGCACACACATGCTTATCTAGACTTTACCCGTACACCGAGAGCTTGTCTCTGCGCCTCCTTTCTAACGGGCAGCGGTGTGCAACCAACACCAGTGATGCGATTCGCACACCCGCTGTCGTTCTGCTTATTGCCATCACGACCCATGTCGAGGGATACTGTAAAACTCTAAACACGCAGCAACGCTGATCACCGGCCTCTTGGCGATCTGCCTAGTCCTTAGATTCTTACATATATTAAAAAACTATGTAATAAGTCCTGCACGTACCATTCGGCATGCCGGTCGGCATAATCAGACGCACAGAACCACAATGTACATGTACATACGTAGGCAGAAAGGAAGTGAAAAAAAAACCAAGTTCAAGCGAAAAACATACCTTGACCTCTCACTCCCTTCACCTACTATACTTTACCAATGAATATATACAACCCAAAGGCAGTAATTCTCGGGAAAATCTCTTCAAAAACTTGGCACCGCGGCCAAATTCTAAAATACGTAGAGTAGCAGTATCAAGTAGTATCCACTCCAAGTCCGATGCAAAAAAACCCAACCATCACGTACCTTTCCCCCTCCCCCCTTCCAACCCTTCTAACCCTTCTCCACATGCCGTCCACCCACACCCACCCACCCACCCACATCCGCATCGTGGGGCTCTCAATCGCGCCGAGCCGGAATCCATGCGTTACTTGCTCACACCCCACACACCTCTCTATACTACTTATGCCCCTCCACATAGCCTAACCGGGCATGCATGCCAAGAGTCTTCACTTTAATTTGGCGATATTGCATCCATATACTGTATCTGTGACAGTGACCACCTGCTGTTTCATGGGATCGGGGGAGGGAGCATGTGAGAGCGATGTCATTGTAAATTTCATCTTCTCTCGTTGGTTTTCTCTTGCTGCTTTTGGGCGGTCGTTGGACCTCGATTCGGGTGAGGTTAAAGTTGGCTAACATGTCTGTGTGTGTGGGTGTGTGGATTGGCGCGCGCAGGGACTAGTTTCAATGGAGTATATGGCGAAGAAGGGAAGGTAAACGACGAACACCAAGCCAATTTTTTACGTTTCCTTCCTGATTCAGCCTCTTGTGTTGTTGTTGTTATTGTTTTTTTTTTACTTTAACTTTTCTTCTTTGCTTTTGCTTCAACGTCGATGTTGGATTTGAGAAGTAGAAGAAAAACATGGTGCTTACTCAGATATGTGGTGATCAAGAAGATTACTGCATTTCTTCTTTTCTAGGAAGGTAGTACGAAAACGCGGCTTATCGGTGCAGAATGAGAGGCAAAAAAAATCGAAGGATGAAAGGCTAGCGCGATCGAAACTATCATACCAAGATCGCAGTGTTTCTGTTTCCTTCTTCACTGGGATAAAAAAGACACGTAGAGCGTGTGTACGTGCGGTGCGGTGGAAACGGGAAATGGGCATAGTGATGATGTAATGCATTTGCAGCGGTAACATTGAAAAACAACAAAGAAGTAAACATCCGTATATTGTTCTGTCGCGTGACAGTAACATCAACAGATGCCGTCTCATCTAGCGTACATGTTCTAGAAGCCTCGCTTGCAACGCAGAAGGACTGACCCAAGCACGTGTTCCTCCCGTACGAATAGATGAAGCCGTTGCATTAGCCGATGAAGCTAGAAGCGACACACCAGCGGCCCAGAACGAACTTAAACGCCATCGCTCGAATATCTAAATAGTTTTTAATAAACGATCCTGGAAATTGAAGATATCGTCCCGTCCAACTCTTAAAGCGTAAACACATGTCCAAACACCCGTCGTCGAACTAGGCAAGCATGGTGTGCAAGGACGAAAACGCGCGCCCTGATAAGGGAAAATGCAGCATGCACAACACTGCATATACCCGGTACGCGAGACCTGCGTCCCGGGTTTTATTTGCCCTCTACCGTATTCCTCGAGATTGCAATGATCTGAATCCACGTCAACGGTACATTAATAGTACTTGTGATAATACCCTTTGGGGGTACGTTAATGGCGGAACATGGTCGCTCCTGGACACACCCCGTTGCACTGCATCCCATTCCGCCATAACCAAGCGCCCAAGTCTTGTGGGATATGACCCAGTTGGTCCATATTAGATTGACGTGTGGGTGATGCATAAAGGACGTCAATGACCGTATCCGGTGTCCGAGCAGAGGGAAGGATGAGGCGGTTTCTCGCTGCAGCAGATATTAACGATACCACTAGCATCAAACCGCAAGTTGGTAATCGTATGCTGGGTAAAAGCAGCAAGCACGTTATCTGGAACATGTTGCCAAGGAGATTCGCGTACGAGGTGCCGGGTAGAATGGCAGTGTGCATGAAGTAAAACACCGACAACACTAGAGGAACGTATTACCAGCGATTGGGCTGGCCCATCTTCCCTTCTTTGCTGCGCGCATCTCAGCGTACAGAGCTGGATTGATCCCCTTCTTCTTACACCTCTTCAGTTCCGCCTCGGACAGCGTGCTGGTGTCAAAGTCACTTGCGCTCCATTTGCTGCTTCCGCTGGATTTTGACGCTGATCGATCTCGTCCAACTTCTTCTCGTATCGAATGAAGAGAGCGATACTCCTCACTTGGTGAAGTGGTTGATCCTGATAGAGTGAACGAGCTTGACGATCGGTTAACCGACGTTGTCTTTTCAATAACCAGACGACTAGGACTGGAAGACCCATCTTGCGTCTTATCAGACAGCTTGCGAGGCATCATTTTCCGGAACAGTGATTGGGGTGTGTGGTGATCAAGACTTGCGTATTCCAGAGGAGTTTCTACAGGCGTGGTCGACTGTATCGAGCTGGAAATCGAAGAATGTGTTGATGATGCTTTGGATATGATACTAGGCGGTGGATTGGAGTACAAGTCATCTTCCATAGCATACCATTCCGAGCAAGGAGCCTCGGCTTCTGGGGGGTCATGCGAATCTTCGCTTTGATTATCAGAAGCAGTCGTCGTCACTGAATTGATTGTTTCCAAAGAGGTTTGTCGCCGCAGATGCGGAGGCAGCTTCTTGTTGATCTTGAGTTCCCTCTTGTTATTCCGATAGGAAACGAGCCCGCGCGGATGTCGGCGCGAAGCTGGCGGTTCAATGACGGGTGTTGGATCAGGTGACGTTCCGTCTTTGGGTTCTGACACCAGGAGCGGATACGAGTATTTGCGAGCTAGATTTCGGGGCGATGGTGCGCCGACCGGATGCGATCGCAATGGATTAACACCGGGTGAAACGGATTCGTGAAGCGTGGGTTCATTGTATCCGTTACGTCTGACTGAGGCTGATTCATCTGGCGCTATTGGGGGTAGTGGGGCTTCGTCTCCCTGCTCGTTGATGTCGTCAAATATGAAGGTACGGTACTCGCTACGCTGCTTCCGTGCTTCGAGAGCAGCCCTGGGTGAGCGACGAATCGGAGGAGGCAATGCATCGTCAATGTCCATTGTAGCGCTCGAATGGGCGAATGATGAGTGAGGTTGCAGCATCACCAACTGTGAAAAAGAAAGGAGACCCAGACGCAAAAATGCGCCGATCGCCAACTATTGAGTAGGTCCCGCTGAACCTCCCCAGGAAGAGTAGCTATGACGCAGCTGTGCCTGCCAGAATCTCATGGCGTTGGCTAGCGCAAGTACAGGAACATGGCTGTACCTTGCATATAGTTCATGGTGATAGATATCGGGCGCCGAGATCAGGTATCAACTGCCATGGAATAGGGATATCGACATGGCATCAGCAGGCTGTGTGCGGGGCATTATATCGCGTCCGTTATATGTGCTGCCGGATGTGGATAGCTTGTACAAGGTGGATGTTGATGGCAGCGATGAATACAAATAGAGCTGAACAGCCGGGTACTTGGAGGTCGATTACGCGGGTGGCTAGGGCGTCGGCCGTTTCACGCCGTTGTAGGGCAGCCAGCGGTGGGAACTGTCACGTGACCGACTCCTCTACCTCGACTCTCTGACGGACGGTCACGTGTCCTGTCGACCCGCCGCAAGATGTATAGTGGCTGGCAATGGCATTGTGGGTGGATATACGAGAGTGTGTCAGGCCAAGCAGAGAGGGTGCTAGAGCTCGTTTCAAGTGTTGGGAGCGTGTCAGAGGCGGTTCCAAGGAGATGTTTCATGGCGGGCGGGCCCTGACAGGTCGGGAGAGGGGAGAGCATCCAGCCAACCGCACGGCGGAAACGGGCTAGACTGGCCGTCGGCGTCACCACCAACTCTAACCCCAACTAACCAACCAACCACGACGACCACGACGATTTCTTGGGCGCTCCCTACCCGTGCTTGAGCCTCACCTCACCGCTGCTGTCCTCGCGAGCAGCATGTATGCAACGACCATCCTCGCACCACTCCCGCCGCGCTGATCCCGTGCCCGCTCGCCATGAGCAACGACACGCCCACGCCCATCTCGGACGACGAAGTCGTGGCCCTTACAAAGGCTGCCTTCGAGCACTCCCGCCAGGATATCACCCAACGCGCCGCCGCAGAGGCGCCCCGCGAGTTGCAGCAGCAGCCCGGAATCACCATCGACCTGGGCCACAAGAACATTGCCCGCCTGCCCGACGAAGTCATCGATGTCATACGGACAGAGATTGAGAGGTACATGCGATACAGGACCCCACCCTACCTCTCTTGGTCTTCGATAGGGGATATGCTGACATGTCAGGCTCGCCCTCTCCCACAATCTCCTTGCCACCCTCCCCTCCCGCCTCATTGAATGCAAACGCCTCCGTTATCTCAATGTGCGCTACAATGCCATGCGCGAAATCCCCGATGCCGTATGTTAGCCCCCCTTCTGGCACACACATACACATGTCGCAACTAGACCGCTGACGCTTATCAGATCCTCGAGATGACCTCGCTGGAAATCCTCGACGTCAGCCGGAACAAGATCCGGTCTGTCCCCACCAAGATTGCAAACTTGACCTCGCTCAAGGTGCTGGCAATTGCAAAGAACAAGATTGAGGAACTGCCCGTATGTCTGGGAGAGATCAACAGCCTGCAAGTCCTCAAGCTCGACGGCAACCCGCTGGTCTTCCCGCCGCCCGAAGTGTGCACCATCAAGGACAATGCCCCCTCACCCGCAAACGAGAACGAACGAGATGCCGTCATAGCTACGCAGGTCAAGCGGTTTATGCGCCAACACATATCCAGAGAACGCCAGCGGGTTGAACTAGAAAGAGTGCGAGTTGAATCTTCGGGAGACGAGAGCTGGACCGAGAGCAACCCAGAAACTCCCCGCCCCTCGAAACGAGCGAACGGTGGACGCTTCCCGGTGCGACCGAGCCTAGGCAACATAGAGGGCTTCTCTGACCCCAAGCCCGACTCTCCCGGACATGCCATTCCGCCCATCCCAGTTCGTTCCCACTTTCGCGTTGCGTCTACGACAAGTAATGGTGCTAGTACCGGCATCACTGTTACCAAGAGGCCTCCGGTTGCTCCCCTAATCTTGACGAATGTCAACAACGAGCGTAACCGTAGCCAGAGCGAAGGCTCCGGTCCCTCGTCGCAGCGCCAGAAGCGTATGGGCATTTACACTAACAAGACATCTGAGCTGGCATCAGTCAATGAGTTGCGACAAAGCAATCATTTCCGCGGCTTCAGCCAGGGTGTCCTGGTTCCTGCTAATGCTGCTTCGAACGGATTTTCTGCATCTGGAGCCTATGAAGACACTGGTACTGTCCGATATCTCGCAAACCGTCCGCTCTCTGATGTCCGTGAACACCGACGTGGGTCACGTGCGCCTGATATTGTTGTCGAAGCGGCAAAAAACTTCCTCTATGCTATTTCCCAGCTCCACGATTGTGTCTCGCACATGGTACGTTCAATAAAGCTGACAGCTAAGACCAAAGAAAGTTTGCGTCGCAAAGAAGACTTCTATCGCAGGTACTCGACTACCTATCTCAACATCCGAGCACTGAACGAGGTCCTGCACAAATTTGACACACTAGTCGAAGAGGACGAAGAAGAGGCGCAGAAGTTGTCGAGAAGTGTGTACATGTACGCGCTGAGGTGTCTCGATTCCTTCATGTCCATTACTCTTTCAGTTGCCGAGAATCGCATCGAGATTGCTCAAAACGCGAATGCGCGTATCATGCGGACTTTTGTGCTTCTCCAACAAGGAAGTTTGATCGAGATGAGGAATGCTTGTTCAATACTAGGTGCACAGTTCAGAGACACTTCTGCTGCAGCAACGAGGCCCACTGGACCCGATAATCTCGCCACAGTACGCGCGCGACCGTCAAGAGCTCGTCGCTTCCCGACATCACCGCCGCAGCAGCGGAACGGATGGCAAATGCCCCCACCAGTCATTCTCCATAGCAACGAAAACAGCCGATCAAATACCCTGACGAGCATCAGTGCCGCAACCCCTCGCTCGGGAGGCTCCTTTTCCACCACTGCGCCAGGCATGACACGATCTAATACGCTTACTAGCAGCTTTGATGAAACGGACGAAGACGCTCAGTTTGACAGAATCTATACAAAGCTCCGGAACGCATCCGAAGGCTGCAGAAACTCCATGGCTCAGATTACGCGCATGATGCGAGAGCAGTTTGATAGTCTGCGGCGTGATCTCGACTCTGAGGACCCTCGAATTAAGGCATTAGCGAACCTCATTGACAAGAGCAACGAAGTCCAACAAATGGCAAACCCTCTTGCAACTCGCCTATCACAGATGCAGCTCAAAGACAATTATACCCGGGACCAGCCTGAGTTTTGGCAGCAATGTATGGGTTTCGTCAAGGTATGTACAATCACGCCTACACAAAGCCTAGCTGTTAAGACTGCCAACTAACACAATCATTGTAGGCTTGGCAGGAACTCGCTGCAGCATACACCCAGCAGGGTAGAGAACACAAGCTACTTACTAGCGAAGTCAAACAGCTCATGCGGCCGCTGCACAAGATGGTCAAAGAAGCCAGTCTGGCTATCAACGATAGCCCATGGTCACACCTTACTAGTAACAACATCGGTATGATGGGTCCACCGAGCCTAGCATCGTTCACATCACGGACCCAACCACCCAAGGTTCTACATAAGCCTAACGGAACTATGTCATCGAGTGGCGGACCATCGTTCCCTGGCCCGATCAACACAGCAATACCTGCAATGGGATCTGTCTTCTCTGGACAACCTTATTCTACAGCGAGCTTCGGATCGCAGGGGTCGGGCGGATACAGCACGCCAGTTCCTGCGACGCCATTGAGTGCTGCGCTGGGTGCGGCGGCCCAAGCAACTATCCCAAATACACCCAGGATGCCTTCACAAGGTTCCAACACACTCAACGTCTTCGAGCGTGCTGATCGCCTATTAAGTCAAACAAGCCGACGCATATGATTGTGTTCGACAAGGGTTGAGGGGGGATGCTATCCTGTTTCAAATCACGGTTACTGCTACACGTCCGCTCTTCAGCCGTAGCATATGGGAGTCCACAGACCCAGGTTCCACACCAAACAGTAGTAAGGTAATCATACCCTTCCTTTTTCATTATGCTTTTCCCCTCCTTATTACCCTTGCCTAAGCCTGTTTTTTCGGCTATCTGCACAACATTAGCGACGGCGTTTGTCCGGATTTCACTCCTTTTCTTGTTCTGTCTTACTGCACATGGATTGCATCTTGCGAGTTTGCATATCAGGGAACACGGCGTTTGAAGTCTTGTGTTTTTTTCTTTCTTTCGTCATTTGCATGTACTAGGCGTCTTTTTGCTTGATTGAATATGGGAACTTCTGGTGGGTGGGTTAGTCGGCGGCAATGGCCAAGCTGGATAGATGGAGCACTGGTGGAATCGACGTGATTGAATGGGCTATGCATGGGACGTGCATTTTAATGTTTTGTATGAAATGGCGGTACTCAAGCTGGTGTGGATGGAATATCGGACCACGCGTATAGATTAAAAGAGGAATTGCTGGCATTTCTTCTTGATTGAAAGTTATGAATGGGTGGAGGGGGAATGAGGATTAGGAAGGAAAAATAAGAACAGAGCAGGCAATCCAATGTGCGTGTTCTGTTTATCTATTGGTGTTTACTAGTGTCATTCTTATCCTGATTCCTTCCCTTAAAAGGGAAAATGAGTGTTCAATAAAAAGCGACTTCTTGATAGGATTACAGCAGCTTTTTTTTCTTCTGAAGCTGGAAAACTCAGCTTCTCTCTAGAGTGATTTCATTTACTTTTTTTGATACCCGATTAGCCAGATCGGGTATCAAAAAGAAGACTTTGCAGAGAAAGTCCTGGTTCTCGTGAGATAGAGAGATAGACTCCAACCCGCACACACACCCACAGTCTCTTAGTAACGCGACTTTGAAAGAGAAAGCCCCGTGTTCAGATTTGGGTATATCCGCGGTTCTAAGCCGGAGTTCATTCTTAGAGATATATGCCTTTGTTTTAGATAGGTCCGAACCCAGAACAAACATGTTGGTAACACTACCAACGCCTTCTCCGGTTGGTAGTATATCATATTATATTAATTTAACGTGCTTTATGGAACCATCGGTATGGTATCTCGAAGTGTGGAGCCCAAGCCGTACAGTGGTGGATCACAGCCTGACTGTCTAGTTATGTAATCGGTTGTGTACTATGGCTATGTGGTAACGGTTCCACTAGTTGAGCAGCTGTTACAATGGCTATGGGCGATTCAATTTGGTATTCACTACATTGATTTGGTTGGCGATGTTCAGTGGCCGACATGGTAGTCGCGTTGGTTCTTTTCGCAGTGCCAGTTGACTTCAGCCAGGTTTTCGAAACTGATCATGCATGGTAACAATAGCCATTGTCCATTGGATCTTGTTAACATTTCAAACGTGCACCGGTCCCTAGTGCAGACATCGAGTAAGTTTAGAGACGCACAAAGATATCGGGAAGCTTGCACGTAAATTCCTCGCTGAGACATCCACTTTTGCCTTGGCCAATCGAAAATAAGGGTTCGTGCACAGTACTCTCTCACCAGACAGGTGGCTGTGCAAAATTGACCAATCCCATGTAAGACACAGGTATAAATATCTATGCCCTACGTAATCTTGAGATTGGTGTTGGCGGAAGGAGAAGTGGCCTCTTGCACGCCGTGTAACCTCGTGGCGCAGGATATTTTCGGTCCAGCCACGCATTCCACAGCATGACCGAAGCCGTGCTCGACGACCAGTAGAGCATCAAAGCTGCGGGAAGGTTCTGACATAGTGGACCAACCAATAGCGAAACAAAGAGCAAAGTTCGCCGAAGGACATTTGGCCATTTGGCACCACTCTCAACGGTGTTTTTTGAGGTATAGATGTTTGCAAACATGATGCCCGATGCAATGAACGGGAGGGCGCCAGTTGGGTCCGGAAGAAGCAGGTCCGGGAACCAGAGCATACCCTCTGTGGCCAGAGTTGGCTCGAACCAGTCGGTGGGAGTCACTCGTGCAACAACCTCGCCCGTTTCCGTCGTCATCCGCGTGCTCTCGCCTCGAAAAATGGACATGGTCATACCCAACAATCCGTCCTGGGCGCCGCATTTCTGGCGTATAGTCTCGGCCATGGCAAAAAAGATGGGTATCTGCGCCAATGTCCAACTAATCTGACCCGAGAGAGAGACATTCCACCTTTTGTCCAATGTTGATGTGACGTCCTTGACTTCCTTTTTGACTGTGACTAGAGCTTGCTGGGGTGACCGGAAATTGCCCCGCTTCAAGATCTCGTCTCGCTTTTGGAAGGCAAGAGCTTGTCGCAACGGGTGCAGGCCAATGTATCGTGCCATGAGAGCGCGCGCACGTGTTCCAGCGGTAGTAACAAGCAGACCGCGAGCGACAAAGGCACTGAGGGGGATGGCGGCATACCAGGGGACAGCCGTGTGGATTAGCGATATCATCTCGTGCGGGAGGTAGAGGATAGCATCAATGATGGGATCCTGCCGTGGTGTCGAAGCATGAAATGAGCGTGCCGAGGGACGGCATGGCGAAGCCCTGGATACCAACACGTTCCTCCGAAGTAATTGACATGCTGGATGCCGTAGTGAACAGGAGGGTAGCATGGTGGTGTGATGTTTTCAGCTCGCGGCGTCACAGGAACATATCGGACTCCCGAGACGAAGAGGGCGCCCCACTAACCACTACCACTAGCGCCAGGGTCCCATGCTCCCCGGGCCGGCGCCAGAAACCGTCATCCCACCGCATGAACAGCTGCCGGAACATCCACCCTCCATGGATTGACAGTCCACTGCTCTGACCAAGATGAGTGTGCTGCTCGTCCTCCTGTCGCTGCTTGTGCCTGCACTTGTAGCCGCTCTCTTTCTCTCCAAGACGCTACGCTTTCTTGCAGGACTAGTGGGACAGCATCTCCGTCGATCCTCCCGTACACGACGCGAGCTGTTACTGGCTAGGGTAGCAAGCGAAACCAAAGCCTATGAGGCCGACCTGAAAGACAAGAAGAAGGAGGATGACGACTGGGAACAGGTGGGAACCACACCTCCAACAAGTGCAGTCAAGGTTGGTCAAACGAATAGCGACTGGGGCGGCATCGTAGGCTTCTTTCACCCCTTCTGGTATGCATAACGAGCTTCAGCACACGGATGCATAGTCGCTGATAGTCTATTTTCACAGCAATGCGGGCGGTGGCGGCGAACGAGTCCTTTGGGCTGCTATTCGAGCACACCAAAAACGCTGGCCAAGGTCTACTTGTATCGTGTATACCGGTGACCACGACGTTGACAAGGCAGAGATACTCAAGCGAGTCAAGGATCGCTTCAACATCCAATTGTACCCGCCAACCGTCCACTTCCTCTACCTGACAACTCGCGACTGGGTGCTCGCAAGCAGATGGCCACGCTTCACTTTGCTAGGACAGTCTCTCGGGTCGTTGATTCTTGCCTATGATGCCTTCTCGCTCCTCGTTCCGGACATCTTCATAGACACCATGGGATATGCGTTTGCTCTCGGCCTCTCTTCATTCCTCTTTCCTACTGTTCCGACCGGCGCATACGTACATTACCCAACCATCTCGACCGACATGCTCGACTCGCTACAAGTGGGGGGACAGGGCGTTCATGCAGGGACTGGGTCAGGATACCGTGGACAAGCAAAGAAGAAATACTGGGAGCTATTCGCAAAGCTCTACAGCAAAGTCGGTAGCACCATCGATGTAGTCATGACCAACTCCACATGGACACAAGGTCATGTCAAATCGCTCTGGGGGCCATACCGCAACAAGCGAAGCAAGCAAACTGAGATCGATGTTGTCTTCCCACCTGTTGCGGTTGAAGAAGTCGCAGAGGCCGTTCAAGTCTCCGAGGCTAGTGAGAAGAACCGTGGCCCATACCTCCTCTACATTGCGCAATTCCGACCTGAGAAGAACCACCAACTCATCCTCGAGGCTTTTGCGTCATTTGTGCAATCCAAACCCGACCTTCCAGCATACCGCAACGAGACTCCAAAGCTAGTGCTGATAGGCTCGGTGCGCAACTCACACGATGACGCAAAACGGGTTTATCAGTTGCGACTTCTTGCCCACGAGTTGCACATCAAGGACAACGTAGAGTTCATTTGCGACGCGCCATGGCCTCTAATGTTGGAGTGGATGCGCAAGGCTAGCGTGGGAGTCAATGCCATGTGGAACGAACATTTCGGCATTGGTGTGGTCGAGTATCAGGCCGCGGGTATGATTTCTGTGGTCAACAATACCGGTGGCCCGAAGCTGGATATTGTAGTGGAAGTTGACGGAAAGCCTACAGGTAAGTTCTGATGCATGGGATGTTTATGTTTCCATAAGCCAGTTGGATTGTTGTTGACCCAAATGTGCAGGTTTCCATGCTACCACTGCACAGGAGTATGCAGATGGCTTTCGCAAAGCCTTGACGCTGTCGCCACAGGAGACTTTAGATATGCGCCGCCGTGCGCGCAAGTCTGCTGAGCGCTTCACAGACAAGACGTTTGCCGACAAATGGACCAAGAACGCGGAGAAGTTGGTCGCTCTACAGATTGAGCGGACGTCCAAGTGAGGGAGTAAGATACTCTTCCACCTCTCTACCTCTTGTCAACCAGAAAAAAAAAGGTGGTGATCATGGCGTTTGTATCTTAGTAATACTTTTTTTTGCCTTCTTTCCTTCCTTTTTGATACCATACGTTAGAGTTAGCATTTAGCAAAGGGTGTACCATAGTTGCATGTTTGTTTTAAAGAAAAAAATCTAGCATCCAATCGAAGCTTCAAAAGTTCAATCATCACCGGTGCAAGATAACCGTACAAGACAGAATCTCAGAAGAAAAAAGGCAACCGCCCATAAGGACGTTGCAGAATAAAGCTTTTAGTATTCCCTATTCATCCATTCCTCTCCCAATCCAACCAGCAACCAGCCTAATCTAGATAATGTATATATCGGCCATGAACGGTTTGCCTTCACGCTCCCCTTCTAATTGTTGGCTTTGCAGTAAAGTCCAATGGGTATACAATTCATGAAATGCCATGATTGTTCGTCTTGTCCCCCCCCCGCCTTCCTCTCCGTATCTTTGTTCATCAACAAGTGTTCACATGAAAAAACAGCAAAAGCATTAGGTAGTCCGAATACGCCTAGGTGCCCCCCGAAAAACAACCACAGACTACCGATTGTGATATGTATAGTGAAAGAGAAAGAGATAGTTGGTTATCGTCGATATTCAGAGACGAACAGGCAGAAAGAAATGATGGTCATTTGCTGAGCCAGCCTAGGCAAACGACACATCGTGCAGTACATGGTGGTAAAATAATCCTCTTTAGTCCTTTGTTTCTCAAAGACGTTCAAGTTCCTGGAATCGCTGAACCGGATCAGCAAACGATCGTGTGAGACCAACTGAAGCCCAAAAGTCGTCGCTGATATCCTCGCGGGAGGCAAGGCGTTCAAGTAGTGATCTTGCGTCGCGAAGTTCCTGGTCTAACGGCGTAGAATCGGCCCGTGTGAGCGGGGGAGTCTCTGCCTCACTTGTGCTCGCGGGCTCGTCAGCCGGCCCATCGAGCTGTGAAGACATCTGAAGCCTTTGCGGCTCTTCTGTCTGGGCAATTCTCCAGTTGACTCGGTTGTAGTAGTTGTGAATGTAGTCGCTGGAGCCGCGGGACCGGTCAATCACACGGAGCGAGTAGCGATCTGCGTCTCGGGCTGGAGGATCGCTGGAGAAGTACGATGGACGCATTCGGCGACGGGGAGCCGTCGAGTTTGAGAGACTGAAGCCATCCCTCGAACGTTCCATCTGGGCTCGGCGCATGGGTGCAGGCACGTCTGTCTCTTCCTCTTCGGTATCCGAAGCCGTGTCGTTATCTGAAGTATCGCAAGCGCGCAAGAACTGGTCGTTCTGTGGGGGGCTTGGTAGTCGCGAAGGAACTGTAAGGTGGGTTTGTGAAGATGCTGTCGAGTTTGAACTTCCCGATCGCGAGCTTGAGTGAGAGTTTGAGAACGAGGCTGAGGCTGCAGCTGACGCAAACGACGATGCAGCAGTTGGTGCAACGGGGTCATCGACCACAGTCGTGAGGAAGCTATCCCAGTGCAGTTGGTCGTCGAGCGGACTGACGCTGCGATTGCGGTCGCCCAAGCCATCAAGAGCAGGTACTGGACTCCAAGACTCACGTAACGAGCTACTGGGTAATGGTCCGTCGGCAATAGTGCGGCGCCCCATCCTGCGCAGCGGTGGAAAGGCTACGGCGTTGTTGTCACTGCTTTCGTGGTCTTCCTCGGGCGCGCTTGCAGTATCACTTCTTGCTGCAGATCGGTCAGCGCGGGGGCTCCGTGAACGGGTCAATCTCGGAGGGGCAGCGCGACGATACGACGCCCTCTCCCGCATGCGAGAAAACTCGCGCGCGCTGTGCGTCGTGTCTGATTCTGAGCTCTGTGAAGCTGCTGCGGGTGCAAAGCCGGGGGTAAAGACAGCAATGGGGCGACCAGTCTCCAGGGCTCTGCGCGCCGCATATGAACGCATGAATTCATCGAGGCGATTGCGCGAACGATGCAGGGTGCTATTGGGGCCCAGGGGTGCAGGTGAGTTGGCCGCAGCCTCGTTGCCGCGGTAGTCGGTTCTCGAGAGTTCAGGCACTGGTGGTGGCGCCAGGCGTGTGCGATGCGACGAGCGTGGTATCCATTCTATGACGGGAGCAGAGCCAGAGGCGGCTATGAGGAACTCAGTATCGAGCGTGCTGTTCGGTCGTGGCGATCTGTTCGGTCTGACGCGACGGCGGATGGGTGAGCGATGGCCCGTCAAGTCGGCTCTCAGTACGTCCTTGTCCTTTGCCTCGTCGCGCTTAATGTTCCATCCGATGGGAATGCCCATTGCGCATCAACGAGTGGATTGCAAGTGTTTGGAAAAGATGAGTGGAGTTGTGTTGTTGATGGTGACGCGCGTGGACGGGTGGGCTGGGGATGGTCGGAGGAGGGAACTAAGGCGGCGGAGCGGCGCAGGTCGCACCCACCTAAAACAGTGCAGCGGCAGTAAGGCTGAAGCGTCTGGGGATGCGCAGAGAACCGCCGACGGGATGCAATTGAGCGAACATGTGCCTGGGCAGCCCTTAAATACACAAAAGAATAGACTGGCTATATGCATCACCTCGCCATGCTATTCTGATACTCCTTTCGCACTCTGCACAGCCCCCAGGCAGCGACTGCCTGACAACTGGTCGTCTCTGGCAGGCGCGATGGTGTTCGCCAAGCCACGGTTGCCTCTTGCGGTATAGTCGCTTTTGCGTGCAACCTCTGGTCCAGTTGCCACGGTGAGTCAACTACCACCTGCAGGAACCTCGTTTCAGATCATCGCCCGTAGAAACGGCCATGATCCAGCCCGGCCTGGGACGGATCAGCCAGCTCCTGAGGAAGGTAGAATTCCCATGGAAATCGATACACGTTGCCGGAACCAACGGCAAGGGATCCATCTGCCATCATGCCTCGCAGCTGATCAAACGTAGAAAGATCAGGGTTGGCAAATTCACTTCTCCCCATCTTGTAGACAGGTAGGCTCTCCGTCAGCTGGCCCTTCGTTGTCTAACCTCCGCAGATGGGACTGCATCACCATCAACAATGAGCCCGTTAGCGAGTTGCTCTTCCGAAAGGTCGAGAGCCATTACCGGGAACTCAGCCAGAGAGATGGCATTCCTGCCTCTCCTTTTGAGATTTTGACCGCTACTGCGTTCCACATCTTCAATGAAGAGGAGATCAAGATTGGTGTTATAGAGGTTGGCATGGGCGGCAGGGAGGACGCCACCAACATTCTGAACAACCAAGCAATTTCCGTCATATCAAAAATCGATCGTGACCACCAAAATTTTCTTGGTGATACTCTAGAAGAGATCGCACTGCACAAGGCTGGCATCCTCAGGCCCAACGTGCCTTACATTATCAACCCGAGGAACGAGAAAAACGTGCAAGACGTAATTGACGACTACGCAAAGACCATCCAAGCAGGCCCACGTCTCACCCACGAACCTTTGGATTTAAAGAAGAGCTTGTTCAACAAACACGACTGGAAAACCTTTATGCATCCTTTATTACCCGTCCAACGCGAAAATGTACTTTTGGCTGTTACTGCTGCCAGGCAAGCTGTGGAAAGCGTAGGGCTCGATTTTCGACCTTTTGATATCGGGCGCTCTCTATTAAAGTCACGGTTGGTTGTCAATCATGGCCGCATGGAATTGATTAGAGTGCCAGTCATTTTTGGAGACAACAAGGACTCGCAGGGCCCGCGGATATTAGTCGATGGAGCTCACAATCCAAATGCTGCCAAATTACTCAAAGATTATGTTCGTCTTGTTCACAGTAGGGGCAAGATACTTGGCGAGGGCTTTCCGGGTAAAAACGGATGGCCAGTTACCTGGGTGCTTGCCATGACCGAGGGCAAAGATGCACACGAGTACCTGAGGATACTATTGCAGCCAGGAGACACTGTCATCACTACGACTTTTGGCCCAGTCGATGGCATGCCTTCAGTAAAGCCAATGGATCCAAATCAACTTCTTGAAATAGCAAAGTCTGTACAACCTGGGGTTATAGGAATGGCGATGCCGAAACATGGTGCGATGCGAGCACTGTGTGCAGCGAAGTTCATCTCAAAAAGACACCGACCTGTAGTGTTGACGGGCAGTCTCTACCTTGTTGGCGACTTCCATCGTGAATTCCGATCGCGGAATAGCAAACACTACTGGAGAGATCCAGAGTTCGACCCTGACCGCAGAATTTTCAAGATGATGCTGAAGGAAGAAGAACACCGGGTCAATAACTGGTTTAGTGGTTATCCTACAGACATTGTCAATAAAACCGGCGCAAAGGATGAGAAGGGGCATGCAGAGTGGAACAAGCAGATTGCTCATCGGGAAAAGAAGAGATCTATCCAAGAAGAAATAGAGGCCCTCGATCGAGAAATGGAGCTGCTTGCAGTAGAGGAGCGGCGTATCGGGCATGGTATCGGGCATCGACAATCTTCAGATGCCGAAACCCTTGGCGAGGAGCACGACGACAATGCAGCTGAACCTTGTGAGTCAATCCAACTTTGCAAAAACTCACATACTCATAGTCACATAGTCCAGAGAGATGAGACCACACATGGAAAAGACCAAACACCAGAGCAGAGTGGAACGTTGAAACTTCGAAGGGTCGTTTGGCCGGGCAGATCGGTAGTTGGGTAGATGAGTGTCCCGAAGTCCAGATACTTTCCGAGAAGAAGTGATGTGATTGATGAAGAGGCGGGGAAAGAAGATGTCTACTGTGCGTCACAAGATCATGGGTATCCGGATAGGGGACTCGGTTACTCAGCCAATTTGAACGAAGGAGTTAGAGATTTTCCCGGTCTGTTTCAAGGACGAACGACCCTGCCGGTGGCCAACAAAATAAAAGGCTTTCGCACAACATACCACATGTGTGAATCTGAGTTAGCCGAAAACTCCAACCTCACGATTTACCCTGACTTATCTAGGCTAAAATACTAAGCGGATCGTCGATAACTACCAAACTGAAGTACCTTGGCCTTGCCTACTACAGTGACATGGTGCAGGCGCACAATCAAGTATCCAGCAGCACCAGCAGCCTAAAGCAGCGTACAAATGCCCCAAGACATTCATCCTCCTGGCATTGTGCACATGGAAGAGAGTGCCTCCGAGCCAAGGCCGTGAGAAAACCCACAGACAGTGGTTTGTCTGCAGAGTTTCAACGGGCACCAATGTCAAAACAAGCCACACTCCCGTCCGGGCGGCAAGACCTACATACATATATGGGGCCTGAGATCACGTTGCTTACTGCAATGTGTGTGGAAGCAGCAGGTGTGGCGGCAGCACTTCGGACAATAATGCAAATAATGCCCCAGATTAACATAGCCTTGCTTTCTTGCCTATGAATCGGATCCACCCGAATACTCACATTCAATCCGTTGAGGCACAAAAAGCAAGTCGGACGAAAATACCGATTGGTGTTCATGTGATGGATCTGCTAACCGCCATGCACTCATCACTCCAGGGAGTCTCTCCAAGATTGGCCAAGTGGAATTGCATCCTCATTCCTTTGGCACATCTCCTCACACACTCCCGCCTCCAATCCCACGTCAGCTTTAACGATATTCTCCTGGAACTAAGATGTGGCCTAGGCCTAGGGACGTAAGTATGCGTTCCAAGTTTCTCAAGCCTCAGCCGCTTTCCCGATAGGATTGGGTCCAGGATCATGGCCACAAGGTCACTCGGGTCTTTGCTCAGTCGACATGAAGCCGAACTGGGCATGATCGCCTGCCAGTAGGATTGGCCCGACTGGATCCTGAGCATCCCGTGGCTTGGCACTGCAACATCCTCCCGTTTCGGGGGGGGACCCACTTTCAAGCACCATAATCTTGGCCTCATCACGCAAATGCGTGGGGTTATTCTCAGTCACCGCACTACTGCTACTGCCCTCTAGGCTATGTGACACTGAAAACACCAAAAGCAAAGTCTCCTGAGGTCATATAGAAGATGTAAAAAGTGCAAAGAGTGCTTGTTGTTGTGATGCAGATGACACGAAGATGACATGTCGTCGATGCATTCTTTCATAAGCAGCGCGCGAATTGGCAAACACGGGAACTCGAATATTTGTAACGCCGTTACCTGTCGGTGCACTTATCAACCTGTTCACAGTGGTGAAAAACCATCCCCAGGCTCCCTTGAGCATCCTAGTCGCTTCCGTCGCAAGCCCTGCTTACCTCCCTCGGTGTTGCAGGCCATCTAAGGAATACGGCTAGGGCTTGGGACTTGCTTCTGGTTGGTCCGCAGATTACATGGGATATGGTAATCCCCCCTCCTACCTGATACATGGCTGGTAGAAGAAGAAAAAGCCAGTAGATGCAGAGAGGCTCAGGAAATGTCCAGTACAGTTTTGGATGGAGGGATGGGATAGTCGCTTGTTCAAGGTGCAGATCGAGCCGCAAACTGCTGTAGTCGAGGTGTGTTTCAGGGAATGATCCCTCTTCATGGTTGCTTCCTTAGTATTGGGCTTAGCACCTGGTCGTTTGATGCCGTCTATGTAGATAGTGGCTGCCCATTTGCCCGGCTTTCACAAAAACCAACGTTTTTTGCTTTGCACTATGTCCTTGCTATTCCTTTTTGTGTGAGCACTTATTGGTTATTGCAGCGACGACCCGTCTTGCCATCAGCTGAGCGGCTTCTTTATATCCCCTATCCCACCCCATCCAGGCTTCACTGCGATAGCCACGATGAATCATAACTACTCGAAGGATTTGATGATTGGTCTGGCAATCGCTTTTGCCATTCTACCAACATTTTTTGTCGGCTTACGCCTCTGGGCGAAGCGGATATCTAAACGCATTGGATGGGATGACTTCCTCACATTAGGTGCTCTAGTAAGTAAATTTTCGGAGAGTATGTGCATGCACAAAGACAGCCAGCTAACTAAGTTCAGGCGGTCTGCTTAACATGCTGTTTTCTACAACTAGCCAGTGAGTAAATTCGATCAACCCCGCAGATAATCATTAACTTTGTAAAAAGCGGCGATACATGGCTACTTGGGTGCCCATCAGCCTCTTGACGAAAATGGCCAACCAATTATGGATGACCCTGGATTAATATTCTTTGAGGAGGTAAGTTGGTTCGAGGGTTGCGTAATTCTTTGTGCTGACATGGCTCCAGACAAAGTTTGCTATCAACATGATCTCCATTGTTGGGCTCGGACTCGTCAAGTCGTCAATCCTGATCCTATACAAGACCATCTTCGACGTACGAAAGTTCCGTATCTGCGTATACATTGTGCTTGGATATGTGGTAGCCTGGACCGTCAGCTTCACATTCTCGCATTTGTTTACGTGCTACCCTATCACCGTCTTTATCGAGCCTTACTACGGAAACAGCTGCGTCGAGACCGTACCAATGTTTTTGGCACTGCTTGTGAGTCACTCATTACACGATCTACTTGGTTCTTTCAAGCGAGGGACTGGTCCATGTCCGGTTGGAATGGCGACTTCAGAACCTATGCTGACCGGTGCTCTAGTACACTGACGTTATAGCGGACCTTGCCATCCTTTTCCTCCCTATACCCATGGTCATGAGCGTGCGCATGCAAATGAAGAGAAAGATAGCAGTCATTGTGATGCTTTCGTTGGGCGCGGCGTAAGTCATTCAATCTTCCAGGAACAAAGAGCCACGGCACAATTGACAAAACAGTGTCTGCGCTGTAAGCATCACCCGAGTCATAGCAACATACTCAATAGCAAAAGAGTACATCAAACACCCCGACGATGTCATCTACTACACAGCCCCCGTATTCTTCTGGACGAACATCGAGCTATCCCTAGGTCTCGTATGCGCGTGCTTGCCAACTCTACGCCCCATTTGGTTCTTCTTCTACCCGAAAGAAGAGACACGGAGTGGCTACGGCTACGGCTACGGGTCTTCTGGACGTGGCTATGGATCGTCGGGCTTGCATGGCACGAAAAACAGCTCGTTTAGTGCCAAGCTCGCACGTAAGCCTTACCAGTCAATTGATGAGATGGGTACGTAATGCCACTCGATAACATACTATCCAAGCAACACACATGCTAATGCCACGCAGAGCTAACGACTCGATCTGAAGAGGTTCTTCCTCCACCAGCGGAACGTGATTCTCCAAGCAGTACCGACGAACACGGGATCAGGAAGGAGGTCACCATTCATCAAACCCTTGAATGATAAGCCCGATGTCAGGTATATTGAGCTGTTACGATAGTCTTAGGTACCCGGGCAGTGACATTTAGCGCATTGGCTTTTGTAATAGTATGTCGCTGCATGCACATACACCACGGATTAATCCTCAAACGGGTAGTCTGCTGCCAGAACGTGACAGGCACACTAGCCGGTGATTGGCGGGTGGCGTTCCCAGCTGGATGGCTCACTCGGCCTTTTTTTTTCTCCAACCACGCCACGACCAACCCCCCTTCACCCCCAACGCCAAGTCATGAATGATACGCTGTCTTTCCCTTATTTCGACAGGACGTTTCAGGGAATACCCTGCGTCAATGTAACCTCAGTTACGTACCATTATCAAGATATCTCACCCGGATTACACAAATCACGGACATCGCAGTTCCGCCCCACAGTACCGCTCACGTTATCCCGAAACTGCTGCTACAACGAGCATCTTGTTCATGCCCGCCCTGTCCAATTCTAGCCGTGGGGTTCTCGAGCGGCATATGGGCCGGGGCCGACCCGGCACTTGAGGTGGGGGAGCGTATCGGGAGCGGCTTGCTCCAGAGGGCGAGACCCCCAATGCGGCTACACCCGCGGGCGTCGGGCTAACTAAGTGCCATCGAGCATACATATTAATAAATCAACCCATGTCTTGCACAACGGCCTTGATTCCCACATCCAGGCCAGCGCAGTTCGACATGCACTCATTCGCTAATGACAATGAGATTTTATTGACTCGGCCGTCAATGCAAAGCGGCAACCTTCATTGCGCACTTCTAGGAGATTGCGGCTCAATGAGGATTGCATATCGGCATGCACGCTTACCGAGTAGAAGGCCTAATGTGAATTAAAAAGCCGTTGAGCCGCCTACCATGGATTCGGCACCGACTGCCTTGTTTCTGTCGCCATGAAGGTCTTGTCACTCTTGGTCTCCTTCACTGCCGCGGTATCTGCGCTCGCCCTCAAGCAGCGCGATGTCGCATCCGACTTGAAGAACCTGGTCCCAGCATCTTCGGTCAACGTCGAGGTGAAGGCACGATGGAGTGACTTCAATGCACCCTTGCCTTCTGTCACTGTCACTGTGCAGGCTGAAGACGATATTGCGAAAATCGTAAGTTCTACCCGCCAATGAGGATTTGCGGTGGCTAACATGCACCCGAGGTCAAATACTGCACAAATGCTGGGATATCGTTTTTGACACAAAACGGGGGAGTCGGATGGGGCAAGACTTTCAAGTTGGGCGAATGGGGTGTCCTTATTGACCTTGCTGGCCTGAACAGTGTTACCGTGGCTGCGGACAAGAATACTGCGACTATTGGTGGTGGCGCAAGCATCGGAGATGTCGTTGCAGCGGCTGATGCTGCAGGTGCTCTGGTCATCACTGGCAACTGCAACTGTGTTGGCGCCCTGGGAGCCATGCTTGGTGGTGGTTATGGTGCGTTTGTTTCGATTAGCGACATGAAGAGAGTTGAGCTGACTGGCATCTAGGCAACCTGATGGGTGAAGTCGGTTTCGGAGTCGACAACATCATTTCGATGCGCGTCGTCACTGCAGCAGGCGAATTGCTCACTGCATCAGCCACATCGAATCCCGACCTTTTCTGGGCGCTTCGCGGAGCGGGACCAAACTTCGGTATCGTCGTTTCCGCAACTGTCAACGCAAGGCCAGCAACAGCTGAAGATCGCACCGCCTTCATCAACAATCTCTTCTTCTCACCCGACAAGCTAGAGCAAGTTGCGCAAGCAGTCGAAGATCTCCCGCTCACCCCGGAACAACGCGTCTACCTTGTCTTGACATCTGGCGGCCCACCACTCAACGAGCCCTCCATCCTTGTAACCGGTTTCCTCCGCAAGGGCACGCTTGAAAGCGGCCGCAAGGCCTTCGCCCCCTTCTACGATCTCGGTCCCCTATCAGACTCCAGCGTCGTCACCACATACGATCACTGGAACGACGCAAATATTGGATTCTGCACCCGCGGCGGCCGTAAACCCACATTCAGCTCCACAATCAAGGGCATGAATGCCCAGAAGTGGCCGCAGATCTGGGACTTGTACAAGGGCTTCCAGGCCAAGGGACCGAACTCCGCCATGCTCGTCGAGCGCTACAATCTAACCAAGGCTCAATCGGCGCCCGTTGGCTCGATTGCGTTGAACGAAGCACTCCGCCGTGATGCATTTGCACAAGCTCTTGTTATCCCATGGTACGACGACGCCAGTTTGGATGCTGAAGCATTGGATTTTGGAAGCAAGGTTAGGGCGTTGTGGGCGAGGAGCAGTGACCCCAAGAACGATCCTACGTAAGTTTAACTTTCCATTTTCCATGATCAAGAGAGAGTGTTTGGCTGATAGAATTTGCAGTTACCCTAATTTCGCGCATGGTGACGAGACAAATAAGGCTATTTATGGATCTAGCCTTCCGAAGTTGCAGACACTGAAGAAGAAGTATGATCCTAAGGGACAGTTTAATCAGTGGTTCCCGATACAAGTATAGACACTAGATATTGAGTCACCTTTACAGATTATAATGTATATATTCAGGTGTTGGAGTGCCCAAAGCCTCCGAATTTGGACGCTCCAACATCGCGTGCAACCCCTGCCATCTCTTGCTGCTTTATTTAAGGATCTGAGCGAGGCACCTATGTCGCCTCGTCGAAATTGGACCACACCAAGGTACATGCTACGCCTTAAGCGTTCATGCTCGAAGCACTGACATTCGCATGGTACAGGTGTGTATAAATAGTTGAATCTGCACTGGTGGCACCATCCCCACCTTCAGCACCGTCGTCCCTTCGCATTTCTCTGTTATCCTCTCTGCGCTAGCACACTCTACCAAACAGTTTCATGCCTGAAGCGAAACATCTAACTGCTCTCTTTCTATTCTTCTCCAGCCTTTATTGCTGCTCCTATTTCTCTTTTCCTGCGATCCCGTGGTGATTTGTGTAGACGCTTGTTGAATTTCGAGCACCGTGAAACGCTCTATCGTCTTATTACAGCTCTTTGGCAGTGGCGATAGATTTAGAATTCGTATCATAATAGCCTATACATAGTTATCTCTAAAATAGCTATACGTGTTACAGTTTTATCTCTAGATTTCAGATATTACTTTTATAACTAGAGAGACAGAGACTCGAACTCTTAACCTTACGGATTTATTAGTATTATAGTAAAAGAATTGGTGTTCCAAAGAAAACCCACTGCGCCACCCTTCTTCAGTGTTACAAAGGACAAGACCTTGTGAAGGAGCCTCTCCGACATGTTCAGACTGGCTAGTCGAGTACATCATCGAGAAGTATCACGGTTTGCGAGGAGACGACTCATGAGCATCCTCTCTGCCAAAATGGATCCAGGCGAACCCTTCGAAGAGGAGCGACTCCCTTGGTACAACTCCGATCAATTCTATCCGGTTCGCATCAGAGAGACTCTCAACTCCAGCTACAAAGTACTGGGAAAGCTCGGGTACGGTGCACATTCTACAGTCTGGCTTTGTCGAAGAATCAGGTATATATTCGGTGGCATTACTATTCTCGTACTGGCTAATGCAAAGGAAAGAGATGCCGGCTTTGTAGCGATAAAGGTCTGCACTCGAGACGTTGACCGATCTGTTCATCGAGAGCTACAGTTCTACGAGCACGTCAGCTCACTCGGTTCTCAGCACCGTGGCCAATCCTTCATTCGCGGTCTATTGGGAACATTCGAAATCGCAGGCCCTACCGGTCAGCACCTGTGCCTAGTTCATCCTCCCATGCACATGACTATCCGAGAGCTCCAGTACTTGAATCGATCCCATCGACTGAATGAGCAGCTCTTGAAGTGGACGCTATCCAACTTACTAAACGCTCTGTCGTTCCTACGTGATGAAGCCAAAGTGGTACATACAGGTAAGCCCTCGCAATTTCGTGTTTTCGTAGCTAATAAATGGAATCAGACATTAGTCCGTCGAATATTATGTTAACCGTGGATGATGAATCTCTACTTGGTGATTTTGAAAAAGCCGAAACAAACGAACCATCACCAACAAAAGTCATCAACGATATCCGCATCATCTACGGCTCCCGTAAACTCGGTCTCCCCAGGGATACCTTGTGGGGCCAACCAGTCCTCTGTGATTTCGGAGAAGCTCGAATAGGAGAATCCCACAGAGGTCTAATCCAACCCGAGCTATACCGTGCCCCAGAGGTATTGTTTGATATGAAGTGGAGCTCAAGTGTTGATATTTGGAACGTTGCCGTTTTAGTGAGCATATTCACCTCTGTATGCTCCAGCTTATCACTGAAGTTAAACAATAGATATGGGATCTGTTCGAGAATCGACATTTGTTCCACGCGCTCGATGAAAATCTCCAGCCATCGGCAACTCACCACGTCGCTGAAATGGTTGCATATCTCGGGTTGCCTCCTCTTGAGTATATACAAAGAAGCGAGATCACGAAGAAAGTTTTCAACGAGCAAGGTTAGCAATAAGACTCTAACCGCATCACTCAACTAACCTGAGATGCTTTAGGACGCTGGACGGGAGCTGGAGGTACGGTCGTACCGCAGCTTTCCCTTGAAGAATCAGTATCCTCCCTCGATGGTGAAGCCAAAGAGCAGTTTCTCAATTTCATAAGATCAATGCTCAAATGGTTACCAGAGAAGAGAAAGCAAGCCTCTGAACTCCTCAAAGACCCATGGATGGCTGGAGCAATACCATAGAAAGAATCTGGTATATCTCATCCTTCAGGGACAACTGCGTTCCAGAGGGGATGAGCCTCTAGCTCGACGGCGTGGGATGTATGAGGGTTGGTACTCCCTGCTCGACAATACAATAGCAAAAAGATGTGGTCTTAAACGAGTAAGTGAATGATGCCTTGCAGGCCCGACACGTGGATTTCTTCACATGGGGGGGCTCCCTGTCCTTGCTGGTTTCCGCAATCGGTGCAGAAAGGAGAGTACCGACTAAGGCCATGATTTGACGGTCATGAGGTTAATGGCGCATAGAAAGAATAGAAAACTTCCTGAACTGCAAGGAATTAATTGTAATTTACCATGAAGGAGTAGGCACCCGGTTGGGTCGTGGCTTGGTAGTAACGATCTCATCAATCCGTGCATCGCTGGACGATCTGGTTCGCTCTAAACGAGCCTCCGTTCCAACAACCCAAGTGTATTAACTCTGCAAACCTTAGAAATATTTCCCTGTTTCCAGACTCAGTGTTTCCGGAGTAAACTGATTGTACACGTGACGTCAAGTTTATTAGATGGTAATCATTCCTTGACTTTGAATTGTCTTATTAAATGTTTATCTCAAGTTTTCCCGCTGTCCCTGCGCTTCGCTGGGAGAGTAGATAGACAGCAAGGCGATTGAGAATGGGATCCATAGTACGATACGTATCGATGACCTGTTCCCCATGATCTATTTGCCGCGTTTTTCGTGTCATATACACAATTGATATGTAATATCCGCCGACTTCTTAGCACCGAGTCCTGTCATCTGGCTTGGCCGTAACGGTTCGTTTCTCTGAACGGCTTGAAAGTTTATGTGAAACTCCCCGCGTCAAAATACCAAGGCCCTTTTTAAACATGTTTTCGCCCATTTTCTCTTGGATGAACGCCTGACATGACATCACGAAGCTCTTTCGTCTCCTAAACTTTCAGTCGAGCTTTCAATCCTCATCCTCCACCAACCTGATCACCTCAAACACCTGCTCCCCAAACGCATTCCTAAACGCCGGAATCCTCTTTCTCGTCATCCAAACTGTCAGAACAGGTACCTTCCTCATCTTCACCTCATCTTTCTCCTTCGGCCCCCCTCGCCCATCCACATCCATAGATTCAAACGCCTCTTCTTCCTCTTCACTCTCTACCTCTTCCTCCCCTTTCTTCTTCACCTCTGGAACCCTCGCTTTCCGCTCTATGTCGATGCTTGTAAGCATCGTGTACATAGCCCATGTCTCTACCAGTCCATCCCCAACCTCCTCTTTGCTACTCGGTGCGACGATCCTGCGAACCATGTCTACGATACCAACCAGTTTCGTAGTGCCCTCGCCTTGCGCTGAAACGGCTATGACAACGTCATCTCGCTTCAAAGCGTCGGGCATGTCGATGGTCGATGCGGGATTCCGGTATGCGCCTAGGTATGTTTTGAGGCGATTGATACCGGATTTTACATTTTGATTCTTGGAGAAAACAACGGGGATGATGTTGCGTGTACCTTGTAGTCGTGTCTGAGATTCGAGGAGCTTGAGTAGGTCCGGTGGGAGGCGAGTCCAGGGTTCGTAGAGAGATGGGTGGATTGTATGTGGATAGACTTCTTGCGATTGTTTCTTTGGAGCGGTACTTTGAGTGTTTTTCGAAGCTTTTCGCTTTTTAGCGAGATTGGAGTCGGCTTCCTGGGCCCCGATGATGGGGAGCGTAGGACCTTCGCTTGAGTAGGGTGGTGTGGCTGTGATTGCGGTTGTGTCGTTATCTTTTTCTGATGAGGACGCGAAGATCTCGCTCATGCGGTTTGGTTTGGCCATATCTGCTGCTTTTCGAGTTTTTGGGAAATTCTTGTCTACCTGGTATTAACTTCTGAGGGTTCTGGGGACTCCACAGCAAACGGCGCAGTGACGAAATTTGGGGAAGCAAGACGCGCCAAAATCTCAAAGACGCGCCGGAGATAAGATGCCGCATGCTCTTATCACCGAATGGCGGCACATGCATACATCATCCCATCGAGTTCCCCAAACCAACATTTCATACCTTGGCATTTCTCGAGTCCGTTACAAAGCAAGCTAAAGCCAGTAACTTGCGATTCGTTCAGCACACCATGAATGATGTAGAGTCCAAACTCTGCATCTCCGCAGGCGTCGCCACACAAACTCTTACCCAAAACCACCTTCCGTACGTGCGCCTTCAGACATACCAACGAATTTGAACCCGTGAAATTACATCCAACTAATCCCGGCCTCCGCGCAACAGAAATACTACTTCAGTCCCAAGCCTTCTCAGTCTGCCAACCGAACTCCGCCTACTAATTTACGAACACACCTTCACCCACCAAATCATCCACGTGCACCCCAAAGCCTTCTCTTGCCTAGGAACCCAATCTCCACTACGCCCACATGGTACCCGAACATACCAGTCTGTAATCTCTCTCCTTGTAACCTGCAAAACAACCCGTAAGGAAGCAACTTCAATCTTCAACGCACTCGTCACTTTCGACCTAACACCCTATTATAACTGCATGGCCGCCGCATACGAACTAGGGCCCGATATATGCCGGGGTATCAGAAGTATAGAGGTGGATCCGAGGTTAGCGAAGAGGTTAGCAGTGGGAATGCAGCAGGGCGGTATGAAGGAGACGGGGTATCGGGATTTGCTGCCGGCGTTGCGGCATGTGTATGTGAGGGATAGTAGTGTCGTGTTTGGGGTGTTGGCGGTGAGTCATAATTTGGCTGTTAGGGCGTTGAGGGTATATTTTGGGTGGGAGGGGTTGGAGGTGCATTTTACGTGATGACTCTGTGTAGTCATTCTACTTGATATGCTACGTTGGATTGTAATGTTCTTCGCAAATGCATCTTGGTAGATAGTTGTATACTTGGACATACAACACAAGTCTATTGTCCGAGTAACTTCAAAAAAGAAAATTGAAGTAACGGAACTTCTCAAATCCTCCGATAAATAGCAGCATCAATCCCCTCCGCCGCATTCATAACTTTCTTCGTCCACTCGGTCACAGGTTCAAGCGCTTTCACGGTGTCCCCTAACTCATTGCTCTCATCAAACTCATGAATAGCCAAGAACGACAACTCTGTCTCTTTCTCATCGCCACCCTTCTGCGCAACCAACGAATACCGACACGTCCGCAGCCAACCGGGCTCTCTCGACATCTGCTCATTATGCTCATCGCGGTACCAAGCATCCAGATCCTCAGCACCATCCGGCGCAGGCTGCATGAGCGCTACAAGGAGAGTATGTGCGGGATTATCTTAACGGCGAGGGGGGAGGAAAGTTAGTAATGGTTCCAGTTAACTCATCTCACTTTCTTTTCACCTTCTTCTTCTTCTTCACCCCACCCCACCCCCCATCAACCCCAGTAACAGCGAAAAAGAACTCCGCAAATAAAGAAAAAGAGCAACCTACCCCTCCCCGCCTCCCTCCCCCTCCCCTTCTCAAACACCTGCACCTCCTTAAACCCTCTAACATCCGCCTCCCCTTGCACCACCCTCTCTCCCGCCCAAAACTTAGCCACCTGCTCCACGTTCACGTGCGCAACATTGTTCATTACGCTGACGAGAAGATGTTGTTTGGGGTACGAGGGGTTAGCTGCTTTATAGAAAGTCGAGCGGGATGTGCCGAGAACGTGAGATGTGAAGAGTTGTGGGAGGAGAGCAAATTCGGTATCATCTTTGTTGTTATTGTTATTGTCCGAAGAGGAAGGTGTAGGTTGGATGAAGGATAGGATGAGGCCTGTTGTGGTGGTGGGGGGAGAGGGCATTGTTGGGTATGGAGGATAATAATAGTGATTGTGAGAGGTACGAGTGGGTTCTAGATGTTTACACTTCTTTTATGTGTGAGAGTGGTAGCAAAAACGAGACAAGTAGGATAATTGGATTATTCGAGCATCATATGTTGCTGTAAGTATGTATAGCGAAGCAGGATGCCTTATCCCCAATTTAACCGGATTAGTTTTTCCGAAAAAAAAGGAATAATTATTTGAAGCAATCAGCATGTATACAGAATATCTTTACTGAGATGGAAACAAGAGATGCAAGAGATGGAAACTAGTAGTCTTATTAAGAAGCTCCTCTATGAGTATCTTGTCTAATGGTTTAAAAATACATCTAACATCAAGACAGCTTCGTGACATAACGTCAGCTACAACTTGCTCTTTTCAATACGCTTGAACAAAACATCGCTGTCAGGGTATGGGTCGACAGTAATGTCGTTGAGTGGGTTGAGCTCGCTGGCCCTGTAGAACATATCCTCGTACACCTTTCCGTCTGCACGACCCAGACTGCTGTCAAGGACCCAATCGTCGAAGCCCCATGCGTCGACGAGCCTGACAGCATGTGGTCGGATATCCTTGAGCAAGTTCATGACAGTGTTTGTCCTTGCAAGCATAATTTGGATCTTGCTGCAGGCACCCGAGGCGTAGAACTCGGACCCTTCTTGCTCAAGTGTGTGCAGAGCGAAAAGGCGGAACAACTTCATGAGGACTTCAAGGAGGTTCTTGTCAATCTTGCCTTCCTGCTCAATCTTCTTGAGTGTGGAGAGGTTAGTCTTGACCACCATGTATTGAGCGTGAGCCTTGCTCAGACGGTAGAAGTCAACGAGAAGGTCATTCCAGGGCTTCTTCTGCTCATCACGGTGCTTGCTGGCCTCGAACGCGAGGAAAGAGACGCGCCAAGCGAAGGCAGCGACGAGATCCTCGTCTGAGCCAATGATGTCGAAGGCGCAGCCAATATTGCGGCGAGCGTGGAACTCGGAGAGAATCTGAGTGGTGTCGTTTGTGGGCTTCTCCTTGTTAAGGACGGAGCGGACGGACTTGAGCATCTGTAAAGAATGTCAGTATGATACAGTCTTTATCAAAAAGGATGAAACTTACGTAGCGAGCTACTTGCTGTGTCAACATGTAGTTGTCACCCTCCCAGGTAGTGGTAGGAAGGTAGTCAGAGTACCAAGGTCCGATACCGCTGAAGCTAGAGTAGCCGTGACCACCGCAAGCACGTCGGCAGACCTCGAGACCCTCACAAGCGATGGAACTGCTGAGCGACTTGAGCGCACAAGATGAAGCGTGCAGATCCGCCAGCATATCACTGCCAGACTGAACTTCTTCGGGTCCGGCACCGCGCTTGCTTGGTGCGTTGCTTGCATTGCCCTGTGCAATCTTCTTTTGGTTCTCTTGGTACATATCCATCATCGCCTTTCCGGTGAAATGAAGAGCGAAGGTTGCTGCAAGGAGTGGCAGCAGACGGATCTGAACCATGGTGTAGTTGAGAACGGGAGTCTCAGCCTCACCAGCAGGAGCATCGCGATCCTGGAATTGACGACGTACGGCACAGTAACGAGTTGCAATAGTCACACCACGAGCGAGTACGCTACCGGCTTGCATGACGATCGTCGATCGAACCCAAGTTAGGGTACCGTAGACGAGAGATGGCGCGCCACGGCGACCAAACTTGTTGGTGGTGGGATCCACGTGCGTGTAGCGAGCCAACATGCTGATGTGGGGAACCTTGACCTTGTTAAACAGAAGGAAACCGTTGTCCATGGTATTGTAGCCAAACTTGGGGCCAATGTCTCCAATGTGAATGTTCTCGAGCGGCTCATGTGTTTTCAGATCTCGGATCTGGACACAGAATGGGGTAGGTCCGTAGGACTTTCCATCAATGATGAGTTGAGCCATGACGATGGCGTGGTTGGCTGTCCTTCCCAATGATCCAATCCACCACTTGCTAGCTGTCAGGTGTGGTGAGTGGATGGTAAAAGTCTTGTCGTCTTTGTTCCAGGTAGCTGTTGTTTCAAGCCCACGGACGTTGGAACCGTGGCCAAGCTCAGTCTGAGCATAGCAACCGATGATCTTGTAGTCGTTGGCCTTTGTAAGCCACTTTTCCTGCTGTTCGGGGGTGCCTTGGCCTTCCAATGTTACCTGTATACTGTTAGTGTACAGTCAATTCAATTGGTGAAGGAAACATGCCTTAAACATGGAATCATGGAGACCATATGGACCAGGCTCGCCAACGAGCTCTACAGCCATTCGGAATTCCTCGAGATTCCAGTTGTGCTGCTTCTTCAAGATCCTCAACCTCTTCTCTCTTGCAAGAGCACGCTCGAACTTGTCTATCCTGCCCATGAAGTAGTTTTGTGACTTGTCAAAGACCTTCTCAGATTTGAGAATGTCGAGGATCTTGTACCTCATGGCGATGACTTCTTGAGTGTGCAGAAGGACCTCCAGGTCCTGCACCGGCACGTTTGAGCCGGCGCGTTCTGCTGCGAGCAATTCATGCCCTTGGACGCCCGAAGGCTTGAGCTGCTTGACCCAGTCTGGAGTTTGCTTCATTGTGATGGGTGGCTGATGATTGAGTTCGTGGGGAGGGAAAGTTGTCTGGGGGAGTGAATAAGTATGGGTTACGAGGTGAGCCTCGGCTGCCGATCGGTGCCCAGAATGTCCATGACGCGCTAGCCAAAGTCCCGAGGTTTATCTTCCGCACGAGGCGCGCGTCAGGCCCGATTGCGATCAGATGAAAGCCCGAGAGGTGAACATGACTGGAACCAGAGCCATAGAATGGTTTGTGTCTGCGCTCGTGATAATGCAGATGTTGTAGGTGCGGCTAAGCCCAGAAGCCCAGCCTTGCGTCAGATGAAGACCCTACTGGACCAATGGGGCATCTGGGACGGATTTGGCCCAGGCGATTGGTAGAAGCGAGCTCTTGGAATATCGACCCGAAAATGCAGAGTCGGTACGGGCTCCCCCGAGGCCGGTCGTATATGTATATGCAGTCGTGTGCGGACAGAGTTCGAGGTCGCGACCACATGTGTACGTACAAAGTCAGTACATAGGCGTAGCTGCCTGAACAACGATGATATCCATCAGCAAAGATACAACAACCTTGGGGCTAGCGCGTGTTCCCTTGACCTCTGTCATGGCAACCTGGTGAGACGTCCATGGGTACGACGATGCTGGTCAAGACAGCCGCAGCCCCGCGGCAAGCGAGCACGGCCTTGCCAGAAGGGCGCCCAAAGTGAGTGTAGCAGCGTGCGCGTGTCTCAAGTAGAGGTGAGTAAGTATGGGCAGGGAGCATTTAGTATGGAGTACATGTTAGAGCCACTGGCCCCTCTGCAGGTCTACCCGACGGACTAAGCAACGGACTCCGACGCGGCATGTGGACCCTATGGAAGTTCCGGACTGGCGGTTGACCATGACAAGCAAAAAGCGTTTCCTTTCTCGACGGAGCAAGCCGATAAGGGCGGCCAGGCAGAGCGGCAGGACTGCCGCCCATGTATGTGTGTATGTGTGTGTGCGTGTGTGCGTGTGTGGCACGCGAGCTCCTGCAAGCGGGCGAGGCAAAAGCAAGTGTCTCTGTGCCGGCTGCCTGACGAGCCATTGCGGTGCACAGCCTCGAGGCGGCACACAAGACGACGGACGCGGCCTAGGCCAGCGCGTATTCGCAGGCTGAAGCACGAGGGATCAAATCAGTCGGGCACAACAAGAGAGCTGGTGGGGAACAACGACACAGAGAATGCGCTCCCCGTCGTCATCGCGTTTGGCCTCGAACAAACAGCCACAGCCCCTAGCGTGCACGGCCTTGCTGGCGGCTGTCAGGTAGCGCAGCGTCACTTTCTTTGCCTACAACACCACGCTGCCCTGTTGAATTTCCCTTTCCCCCCTCTGCGAGCTAGAGCACGCAATTCTTCTTCCCTGTCCCTCTGGCCCGGACTCCATTTCTGTTCCACCGCACGGCACTAGGCTTCCTCCTGTCTGGCCTTACGTCTACACATCTCCCGAAATATACCCCCACACACCACCCTCGACACTGCCTGCAATTCTATGCTCCTAGCCACGATCCCGGCGACCCTCAGACTCCTTTTCCTCTTCTCCCACCAGTCCTCCTAGATACCGGACAACATGGGTCAGACACTCTCCGAGCCCGTCGTCGACAAGGTAATTGCCTCCCAATGCTGCCGCCCACCCCCGCCCCCGCACTGTGTCCTTCTTTCAACCCCCCCTTAAAACGCGGCGGCAGTCGCTTTGCATCGCCCGGCCACGGCGCGCATGCTGTGTTGCGTGGCCTCAAATGCTAACACTGCATCTTTCCAGAAATCTGAAAATGGCGAGGGCGAGTCACTCATCTACGGTGTCTCCTCGATGCAGGGCTGGCGCATCAGCATGGAGGACGCACATGCCACCGTATTAGACTTCAATGCCGACGACACCAAGGGCACGCCCACCGACAAGCGACTGGCCTTCTTCGGTGTGTATGACGGACACGGTGGCGACAAGGTGGCGTTGTATGCTGGCGAGCAGCTGCACAAGATTGTCGCAAAGCAAGAAGCATTCAAACAAGGAGACATCAAAAAGGCTCTGCAAGATGGCTTCCTAGCAACAGATCGCGAGATTCTGTGTGGTAAGTCAACTGTCAACGTCATCACCATCCATCACGGGCCACCTGACACTTGCCAACAGACCCCAAGTACGAAGAAGAAGTGTCTGGTTGCACGGCATCAGTCGGCGTCCTGACAAAAGACAAAATCTACGTAGTATGTCAACCCCGCATTCCACCATGTTGCGACGCTCACACAGACAGGCCAATGCAGGTGACTCGCGCACTGTTCTAGGAGTCAAGGGCAGGGCAAAGCCCCTTTCATTCGACCACAAGCCGCAGAACGAGGGTAAGCAAATACGCCAACACAGTGCGATCATTACTGACATTTTCTAGCCGAGAAAGCACGTATTCAAGCCGCAGGTGGCTTTGTCGACTTTGGCCGCGTCAACGGTAATCTTGCTTTGTCTCGCGCAATAGGCGATTTCGAATTCAAGAAGAGCGCCGATCTTCCCCCAGAACAGCAAATAGTCACCGCTTATCCCGACGTCGAGATACACGATATCAACCAGGATGACGAGTTCCTGATTGTGGCTTGTGATGGTAAGAGGACTAGTCTTCATCACCACAAACTTTTACTAAATGGATTTCAGGTATCTGGGACTGCCAGTCTTCTCAAGCCGTTGTCGAGTTTGTTAGGCGCGGAATTGTCGCAAAGCAGGATCTCGCATCCATTTGCGAGAACATGATGGACAACTGCTTGGCCTCGAACAGCGACACTGGAGGTGTTGGCTGCGACAACATGACGATGATTATTGTTGGTCTCCTGCAGGGAAGGACAAAGGAGCAGTGGTACGAGGACATCGCAAAGCGGGTTGCGAATGGAGAGGGTCCATGTGCGCCGCCAGAGTATGGCAAGTCAGAAGATCCAGCCGAATCGCCCAAGGCGGAAGAGTAGTTCAGTTCTAATACAATCGTGTAGCCGAGTTCCGCGGTCCCGGTGTTCACCATCGCATTGACGATTCTCCTGATGATATCGATATGGATCTCGACAGCCGCTTCCGGCCGAACAACGGCAATGGTGGCCGCATCATTCTCCTCGGTGATGGCACAGAAGTCTCTACCGGAGACAATGAGCACGAGATGTTTGACAACGAGGATGAGGACAAGGATCTTGACTCGCAAGTCAACAAATACAACCAGGAGGCCGACAACAAGTCGCGTCAGGACCGCCAGGGCACCCCCGGCCCCCAGCATGAGAGCAAAGTTCAAGTAACCGAGTCACCATCCTCTGTAAAGACTGAACAGTCTGATGCTCCCGAGCCTCAATCAAAAGAGGCTCAAGCCAAGAAGACAAGCGAGAAGTAGCTTGTGCTCACTTGACCTGGCCACAGCACTCACACAGGGCCTTGAAAGGCCGACTTCGATGCATATCAACATGCGGTGCCTCATCTTACGAATCTTTTTGTCTTGCAAGCGATGACGGGTATTGGTTTCTTGCAGGATCAAAGTAGTGGGCCATGGAAACAAGCCTCATGGAACCCATGCGAGTAGTGTTATGGAATGATACCTGGCGGGCTAGAGTCGCCATCTCCTATGCCTAGCTATCTCTTTTCTTCATGATACCTTTGTTCTAATGAAACAGCTTACCATTGATGTGCATGCACTTTTCCCCGCAGAGACTGTGACCAGCTAGCTATGACGTCATAGTGATCCGAATGTGCTCTTGTGTGCATGTGCTCAAGAGCAATGCCGTCAGTATTGTACATGCCTGTTATTTTAGGCTTTCTCGTCCCAATTGGAATTCAGTTCATGGGCCTTAGACCAGTTTTGGATGTGCTCACTCACGCTATCGTCAGTTGCGCATTATCCCATCCAGTGAACATCACCACACGTCATCTGGACGGCATTGCGATTACAACGACGAACCCGATCCAAGACCCCCAGCGCTTTACGAAATTGAGCTACCATTCACACCATCTAAACGTTTTTTAGCCTCGTTTCAATTCTAATGCTTGCAACTCTTGGGAGTGTGGGTTCGTGTGCAGAATGCCGGAGATAATACAGCTGTCCAGGGTCCATGTCCTCGCATCATCACATTTGGTCATGATTTGTGGTGCCGGTGCAAGCGTCACAATTATAGTGTGACTTTGGTAGTGCCGGAAATAACAAGCTATGATTTGAAGTGACTGTCTCTGATCACAAATTCAAAAGAGTTTATATCAATTTTCAGTCTCATATCCTTCCGCATTTCCTAGCACTCCATCTGCTCAGTCTTTCTCACAATGGACCCCGTCAACCCTAACCAGAAGGTCCGAACAACTCCGCAGTGGGCATTGTACCAACGGGAGAACTTTTGGAAATCGAATGAAGGCGAAGTCCCAGTCTTCAATACCGGTATGGTCACCTTTCCTTGCTGACATCTTACTTCGTTCATGCTGAGATATGTAATAGATCCCGGCAAGCTTGAAGAGTTAGCAAAAGAAAAGCTTAGCCAAGGAGGCTGGTTCTACGCCTCCTCCAATGCTGGTCAATCGCGCACCCACACCGCCAATAGGCAAGCTTTCTACCGCCACCGGATCATTCCGCGCATGCTTGTTGACACCAATCAACGTGACACTGCAACCGAGATCTTTGGACACAGAGTTCCTGCACCAATTGGGTTTGCACCTGTCGGGATCAACAAGATCTATAACCCGCAAGGCGAGTTACCTGTAGCGAGATCTGCGGGAGTATTGGGACTTCCCTACTGCCTTTCAACAGCAGGTTCACAAAGTATAGAGGAAGTCGGTCATGCCAATGATCAAGGCGTGAAGAATGGCCGAGGCGATGTCGGAACCGCTGCCGGTGGTTGTGAAAAGGGCCTCAGGTTTTTCCAATTATATATGCCACATGACGATGAGCTCACGCGTTCGCTCCTGCAGCGCGCAGTGGACAGTGGATTTACAGCATGCATCCTTACAGTAGATACATGGCAACTCGGCTGGCGACACGACGATGTTGCAAACTCAAACTATGCTTTCTACCATGGTATAGGCGCGGACCTGGGCTTGACTGACCCAGTTTTCCAAAAGCGATTGGAGGAGAAGGGCATTGATCCCACAACCCAGCCAAACGAGGCCGGTGCACTCTGGATTGACAATGTATGGCATGGACGCGCGCATACATGGGAAAAGGTGGTATGGGCAATGAATCTCTGGAAGGAACTTAGCGGAGGCAAACCATTCTCTTTGAAGGGCATTCAAAGCATCGATGATGCCAAAAAGGCCGTGGAATTAGGCTTCGACGGCATCGTTGTAAGCAACCATGCTGGACGACAGGTTGATGGGGCTGTTGCAAGCTTGGATGCTTTGGAAATGATTGCCGACGGTGTGTCTTCCAAATATCAGATTCTGTCACGTCCTTTGCTAACTCTTCATCAGCTGTTGGTGATAAGATATACATCATGTTTGACTCGGGTGTTCGCTCGGCTTCTGATGTTGTCAAGGCGCTTGCTCTGGGTGCAAAGTTCGTCTTCGTTGGCCGGCTCTGGATTTGGGGTCTTGCCATTATGGGCGAGACGGGTGTCACTCATGTCATGAAGAGCTTGTTGGCAGACTTGGATATCCTAATGAATGTTGGCGGGTTCAAGAACATCGGAGAGATAACAAGAGATGCGCTGGACAGTGAGCCAAAGGGATATCAGCTACTGCCGACGGCTAGTAAGCTGTAGAGCATGGAGTAGGGGATTTGTTTATCAACCGCATGTCTGAGGACGTATATATTTCGCAAGACAAGGACTTTGCGTTTCTTTCCCACAAACACTCGCTCACATTTCTCTAGCGGCTTGGAAAGCTGTAGAAGTAATTACTGTATGCTAGCCAATGGGCCAATGGGAAATAGTACATGGCGCTAGGCCAGGAAAGGCTGACCGCCGTAGGGCTGGGAGATGGTCCAAGCACTCCCGAGCCACTCCAACTCAACTCGCACTCCACTCAATGCGCAGCTTCCCCTCCTGTGACTGTAGACAATACACACAAACAGTATGTTTTGTATCGTCGCGCTTCATTGATTTTGTTATATCTCGGGATTATTCGACAAGAAATCATTGCGACGCTGCCCAAATCTACTTGTGTTGTTCGACATACAGACACGAGCCGGCCAGTCTAGAAATATCTCTGCGTTGACTGCCCATCATGTCAGTCATTCTCTGCACTGGTACGTGGAAGTGCTACGAAGCTCTAAATAACAATACTGACTTCTCTTATAGCTGGTTATGACCACACTATCCGGTCCGCATACACGTTAACTCGCGTTGTTCACAATCTATACTGACAACTCAACGTCAGATTCTGGGAAGCGCTGTCTGGAATCTGCTCCCGTACCATTCCCCACCCAGACTCGCAAGTCAATCGTCTTTGCATATCGCCCGACAAGCGTTACCTCGCCGCTGCCGGCCATCATACTGTAAAACTCTACGACATTAAATCGACGAACCCGAATGCGATCCTTACCTTTGACGGCCATACTTCGAACATCACCGGTGTCGCGTTTCACTGCGAATCCAAGTGGCTAGTCACTTCATCGGAAGATGGCACGGTTAAGATTTGGGATACACGGTCAGGCAATGTCCAGCGCAACTACACACACGGTGTTCCGGTCAACGATGTTGTGATCCATCCTAATCAGGGAGAATTGATCAGTTGCGATCGCGGTGGCAACGTAAGGATCTGGGACCTCGGCGAGAACAAGTGCTCGCATCAGCTCATTCCCGAAGATGATGTTAGTGTCGCAAGCGTGACTGTTGCCAGCGACGGCAGTATGGTTTGTGCTGGAAATAATGCTGTGGGTTTTCAAAGAGCTGAAACTTTAGGAATGGATTCTAACAAGAGCAACAGGGCAATGTCTATGTCTGGCGAATGATTCAACGTAGCGATACTACATCCATCTTGCCTATATGCAAGTTCATCGCACATACAACCTACATCACTCGGGTTCTCCTCTCCCCCGATGTCCGCCATCTAGCCACTTGCTCCGCCGACCACACAGCCCGCATTTGGTCCGTCGACACCTCAGCCCCCCATAATGTCACGCCCAACGACAATCTCCCCTCAGCTAGCGAACGCGACCCAGCAGCCTTCCCGCTCGAGACCACACTACACGGTCACCAGAGGTGGGTCTGGGACTGCGCTTTCTCGGCTGATAGCGCATATTTAGTCACGGCCTGTTCGGACCATTATGCGCGACTGTGGGAACTAGGTAGTCAAAGCATCATTCGGCAATACAACGGACACCATCGTGGAGCCGTCTGCGTGGCCTTGAACGACACTGCTGTTGGTAATTAGGAAACACAACTAATCCACTCGGTAAGTAAGATTAGTGAATGATATGTGCATGAACCCATGTATTTGCATCAGCGTTGGCGTTTTTGGCAGGAAATGATACTCAGTAACGGGGAGGTAATTAGTCAAACATTAGATGGGCATCTATGGCGAAATAAAGGGGGGAGGGTTTCTTAATCATCAAGGTCTGGGGTGTGATTATCAGGTTACATACACACGTGTGTCTGTTTGAGTGACACGCTGTACTTATGGTGATGCGAGGGTACATATTATTGTTGCATAATATACAAATGAAGGCAAATGGAGGCAATGCAACAACAGAAATACCGGTGCAATCAGTACGTAGTGAACGATAACACTGCTTCCCTCTAGTTCGGGCTCCCTTGAACAAACTCTTTGACTTGTCAATCGCATAATGAAATTAATCCCACTTACACCCAACGCCATGATGGCTATGCATGATTTCCCCTTTATAACTCTTCTAATTCATAGAGATGACAAAAAAGAATCATGACGACAGACTACTGGTAATGGTAATAATAATAATATAGTACGCACGACTGAGGTTTCGCTGCCAGAAAATCCCAAGAAAGGAAAAGAAGAGAATAGGGGAAAAAAAGGGGGGGGGGGTGGTAAGTAAAAGGGAAAAGAAAGAAAGAAAGAAAGAAAGAAAGAAAGAGAAAAAAAACATATACCACGCCCAAACAAATGCCCTTTGGACTGAGTTTCCCTCATACCAAAAAAACACACACAAAACAGTAATAACAATAATAACAACGACAATGCTTGAGCATAAGACGTAAAAGATTTCTTTAATCCATAATTCATTTCTCCTTGATGTGTCTCCTGGGGTACCACCTACTATTTACCCACGCACCCACAAACTCACTCCTACTCTTCCTCTTCCCCCCCCCCCCCCATCCCCCACCCTGTCCTAGCTTCTCTCTCTCCCTCCCACCACCATCACCTCTCGTTGCAACGAAAAAAAAAACAAAAACTCACCCTCCTCCCTCCCATGGAATCGTAAAACCAGCATCCGGGGTCCATTACAACAAACGGCTTTATTTCCTGCATCAAAGCCGAGAAAAAATAAAAACCCAAGATGATAAGATCTTACTGGACAGACTTCGGGGATAGAAGAAGAAGAAGAAGAAGAAGAAGAAAGCGGACTGTAGGTTTCGGTGTGGATGCTGTGTGACATGCTCGCTTCTCTCCTAACCGGTGATGGTATTTGTGTTCTGACTCGAGGATAACAAGGGCGTGTCGTCATGTAGGATAGGTAGTAGTAGTAGCAGCAGCAGTACTAACACTGCGATGTGGCAGCAAGGAATGAGAAAACGGCGATGAGAGATTCGGCGAGGAGGATGATGGAGAAGATGATGAAGAAGGAGGAGGAGGAGGAGGGCAAGGTAAAAGTGTAGTTGTTGGTATAGTATCTAACAATGCTCCTGGCACGGAGGCTGGTGGTGGTGGGTCTGGCAAGAATATGGGGTATCGAGGCGGTGCAGTGGTTTCGCTTGTTGCTTGGCTCATCATGGGGATGCATGGCGAGGGGTCGAAGCGTGGCGTAGTGGTAGAAGATAGAGGTGTATGTATAGGTGGAGGCGGTGACGCTCCTGGCATCACGAGAAGATGTGAAGCCGTAGAGTCTCTGTAGGACTCATCTGCATGGATAACGGAACGTCATAGGGTTGCATGCAAGGCCGGGTTGTAGAGCGGCTTTGTGGCAGATGTAGAAACCCAGAGATATCAGCTCTTTGTGTAAGATACCCGAAAAGGTAGGACTAAGAATGAGGATGAAAAGTAGCCGTTTGCCTAGGCGGGACCGCCTTCATCTCTCTTGGCTTCCTCTGGGTTCTCTGGTGCAGCTTCAGCTTCAGCCTCCCCGTTCTGTCCTTCAGCGCCATCGCCCTCAGGAGGGGCGGCGGCAGCGGCGGCGGCAGCAGCAGCTGCAGCGGCCTCAGCTTCCCTAGCCTGCTTCTCTGCCTTTGCTCTTTGACGTGCCGCCTCGCGCTCAAAGTTCTCCTTGCGGGCTCGCTCGTCCTTTGCTTTGCGCAGACGCTCCGTTTCTTCCACGCCACCACTCTTCTTCAGCTTTCCTTCTTCAACAAAATTGCCCAGTTCACGCTTAAACTCGTCGTCATTTCTTGTCGCAAGATCGCGTTGACGCGCCTTTTCAGCTCGCTCGATGGCTTCCAGTCTGCCTTCATGGTTTGGTTGCAGAGCCTTGACCTCGCCTAGGACACCATCACGAGCTTGTCGGGGGTCAATGACCTTGTCTGCCGCAACTGCATTGAGCATGCTGCGACCGCTCGCAGAGCGCATTCCCTTGCCATTTTCCTTCTCGCTCTCCAGGTTCTGTTGTTTGGTCGCCTGTTCAACCAGCTCCAGCGTCTGGGCCGCCTTCTCAAGATCGTCTTGCAAATCGGCCGCGAGCTCTTCTTGCATAGTAAGCATGTCTCGCTCTTCGCAAACAGTCTGCAGTTCTTGCTCCCAAATCTTGGTCCAGAGCGGTTTCTCCTTGGCCAGAACGTCCTGCAACTTCTTGAGCTCTGCAGTGGCCATTGACAGATCTTTGGCTGTAGTCTCAAGTTGACGAGGTAGGGGCCGAACTCCACGCATGACGACGTCCTTTCTGAGATCTTCCACAAGATCTTGGAGATCATCCACCCTGTTGACAATCTTCTCCGAGTCGTCCTGCAAAGCCTTCTTCCCGTTGTTGATGTAGGCGCGACCACTATCGCCGTCAAGCGGAGGTAATGCAACCTTGATAGCAGTAGATTTGACGGCCCCCGCCTTTGTGCGTATTGTCGCCATGCTCGCTTGTATGTCCGAAACAAATGATGAATACGTCTGGCGGACGACGGCTAAATCTCGACGTAGCGCCTGCACTTCGTTGAGTTGGGTGGCCGACGTAACCGTACCTTCAGAAGGCCCACCACTTGGAATGGAGCGTGAAGCCAATAGAGCAGAGTTGCGATTGGAAGAAAGTGGCGCTGCAGATATGCCAGCGAGCTCCTTACTAGTTTGCTGCTGGCGTTCTGCAACGCGCTGTATAGTCGCTTGTTGATCCTCAACAACAGTCTTAATACTCTCCACCAACTTGCTGAGACCACCAAATTTGTCGTCAATATGGTTCTTTACTTCATCAAGCTGCTCCACATTCAGAACAAGGACCGCCCTGTCCTTGATGTCGCGTATATCCTCCAATTCGTATCGTACACCGGAAACTGGGTCCTGAATATGAATCTCGGGTAGGTCGCCATAGCGGTGGGTGTCCCAAGCGAACTTCTCGATAAAAGCCAATTGCAGGCGAGCAGAAGAGAGCTCGGAACCATCAGCAAACACATACTTCTTGATCTTGCTCTTGTACTGAAGGAAAACGGTGAGTTCTTTCCCTTGTTGGGGTGACTGCTCTGGAATGAAATGTGAAGGCTGCGGAGATGGCGTCTTGGTCCTGTAAGAACTGTGGCGGCTAGCCGCTGGCCGAGGACTTCCGTCTTTGGCTGGTGAGCCAGGCGCGATTTCGGCTGGTTCAGACAATGGTCCGTTGAGAGTGGCGCCTAGAGCGAGTTGGTCATTTTCGGGGAATTTTGGCGCGCCAATCTTGTCCTGTGGTGTCTTCTGAATGGGGCTATCTTCTGTCCCAGATTCTTGGGGTGGCGGCAGGCTTGGTGCTTTGCCCTGCGAGCTCTCCTCAGAGATGCGTCTGTCGTTGTGCTGCTCATAAGAAAATTTGGTTTCGACTGCTGGTCGCTGTTGGGCAGGTTGTTGGTTTGATCGCTGCCGACCGTGCAGCGTCGGTGCTCTTGTTCGGACTGCGTTCATAGACTCGCGCACATCCCGACCCCTATTCGGTATGGGCGAGTTCTGAACGGGCGGAAGTGGTATGCCATTTGTACCGAGATGCTTCTGGATCTGATAGGCTGAGAATCTCCGCGAAGCCCTCCGCTCTAGCTCTCCTCCTCTTTGCAATGCAGCCAGCGCATCTTCTTGTTGTGGTGGGGGCGGAGGTGGCGGGAAGTCGACGGGATAGTTGGGTTGTGGTTGCGGGGCGTGTTCTGGTGGCTTGGGCATGGCGTCCTCTGAGGGATAAGGAGCGATGACGGGCGCTTGCTGGGCAGAGTTACTCGACATGGACGAGTCTGTAGAGAGCTGGCTCGCATTCGTAGAGCGATTTGATTTCGGGTTCGAGGGCAGTGAGTCGTACTTGCTGGGCGATGCTCGGCCGCCTCCTGCTACTGAGGACGAGCGTGGGGGGAGGCCGGGGCCACCAAAAGACGGACTTTCGCCTCTTGAAGGCAGTCTTTGGCTTGCTGAACGGGCTTGTTGTGAGTCCTCGACTTCACTAGAACTACCGACGCTGGCCTGTCGGGGACTACCGCCGCCGTTGAGTGAGCCATCTCTTCCAGTACGCTGCCGTAGCCGCTGCTGCTTCTTCTTTAGGCCGTGAAGGAGGTTGATTATGATGTCTCGTATGCGAGGTAGGAAGTTGTCGAGGCTGGCCTGGGACGCTTCCTGGCTCAGGGTCTCTTCCAGTATGCCGCGCAGCAGTTCGGGGACATTTCCCAGGTCGTTTGTGTCAACGCCAATGGCATTGAAGGCACGCGACGCGATGTTGAACTCATAGCCCAGACGGACATAGACGTCGGAGACCTCGCTCTCGGTGGCAGTCCCACGCGACCATAGGGTCAGTGTCTCTGGGTCGTGTCAGCGCATGCGATATGGGATGTGGGTGGGGGCTGAATGCGCCGTAGACTGACCGAGCAGTTGCTTTGTGGCGACGAGCAGATGTGTGACGGACTTCTCGATTTGGGAGAGTTGCTGCTGGGGCTAGGATGCATGACATGTCAGCGGGCGCGGTTGGACTATTGGGCGCGGAATGCCGAGAGGGTCAGTACGTACGTTCTTGGGCGCACGGCGTGACGATGAGGACCCCTGGGACGAGCGCATGGAAGAGGCCTCTTCGGCCATGATGGGGGAGGAGGGGGGGCGCAGGTATG